TAAAACTTTTAATTAGCCTAATTTTTTTACATGACAAATTCAATCATTTTGCCATTTTTGAATTTTAGCAACAATAAATTAACCTAACTCATTTATTTTATTTCCATTGCAATTTGCGCAAATGTCACTAAACAAAGTTTGCTGTGAAAAAGTTTGTAATGAAATAACTAATCAATAAGGATCTAATATTAAAATATCTTTTTTTTTTTTCTTTTGGCTAGATGTAATCTTTACATCTTTTTGATCATAGAAAGTAACTCTGAAAGTAACTCGAGTAACTCGAGAATTCGTCAATTGTGCTTGAAATTAACAATTGTAATTGGCAATGAACGAAGAATCTCTTTGATACAATTAATTTATCATTGATAAAAAATTAGCTTCGATTTATCATTGATAAAAAAATTAGCTTCGATTGATAAAATCTTTTTTTTAAATAAATTAAATTATTTTAGTTGAATACGCCTAAATGATTTATTCATTGTTACCTTTCTCGATTTAATCACATTCAATTTTACTTCTTTTAATTCAATTCGATCTCTTTCAGTAGTTAATTAAACGTTTTTGTTTAAAATTTAGTAAGAAATAATGGAAAGAGTGAACAAATTAGCAATGAAAATAAATAATTTCTAAATACCAAATGGAGAAAGTTGAATGATAATGAGAAGGCAAGAATGCATGTAAATGATTTTTTGTAAGGTTAAACATTAAAAATTTTTATGTGACATTTAAATTTCAATTAAATTAAATTTTTTTTTTTTTCACAGTTAAACACATTCTTTCCTATCCAATTCACAGCTATTTCACTAACCTACGAGTAAATTCCATCATTTTCATCTTAGCTCTATAAAGAAGTCATAAAGAAGCATTTCAATAAATTTCAAATTACAGAGATCAGAGATCAAATTCATTTTTAACTACTCAAAACTTCAAACCTTATTTGGTATTGTTTACCGCGGCTGAGTGGTCTAGTGGTATGATTCTCGCTTTGGGTGCGAGAGGTCCCGGTTTCGATCACCGGCTCAGCCCACCTGCTATTTTAGAATTAATAACTTCTACAATTGCTTTTTACAATTTTGAGCCAAATACATTACTTTGGAAAATGGATAAATTCAAATAACGAAATGTCAGGTAGAATGCAATCCCACTTTGCTTTTTTACAGTATTTCCTTGCCGGATCATTTCCGGATGACAATTTCAAGTTTTACGCAATTTCAGATGCAAGCACTAAATGATGCTGCACATGAGAACGTTGTAAATCATCGTTTTCTCCTATTGCTTTATTGCTCATATCACAAACTTTTGTCGCTTTCTTTTCATGCAAACTTCGTCACTAAAAATAAAAGAAAAATTTCTAACCTCAGCAGATGATTAAATTTCTTGCATGTGATGATAGTTAGATTTGAAAAGTGTTAAATGATACCAATTTGTGATATTTATTTCGACGTGTAACTAAGTGATCAATTTTTATGATCTTTTATGATATAGATTTTGTGCAATACTATAATATATGTATATACAGGAGTTCAAAAAGTAGCTAATGTTCGAATTCTCGAGAATTCTCGATAATCGAAAAAAATAGCATCGTTGATCGATTGACTGTGAAAAGATGATTTGAAGTGAATTCTTCAGAGCGATTTGATACATTAGTGAATCTCTTTTATAAAGTAAAAATATGAGAGTAATGTGGAGTGTTGTCTGAGATATGTTAAAATTTAAACTGTCTCTTCTTTATTGAATAATAAATTTCAGTTGACATCGAATGGGTAAAAAATACCTGCGAAGGTGTTTCACATTTGCTTTTTGCTTTCATATGGATTTTATAGAATTTATAAGTGAGGCGCACAATGATTGCGCAAATTTCTCATTTACTCTTTCTTCATTCTCTTCAAATTTCTATTCATTGTTCAACAGAGAAACTATTAGTAAAACATTGAATTTGATAGCAATAAAAAATGATCCAAAAAAAAAAAAAAATGAACCATTTTTATTACTTTTAGACTTATTAGGTTCTCAATTCTTTCCATGAGTAGAACAATGATCTGATTATTTTATTGATTTCTTAAAAAAGTTTCAATCATAGCTATAACATCCTGAGAAGATCACTTATGAATATCTTTTTTTAAAATAGTTTCAAAAGTATATTTTTTGTTTTATTAAACATTTATATGTTGCTCGCAACTATCTTTTAATTGACTCTCATTTTGCTGCAAAACTAGGAATGATTTAAGCTAATTACAAGTATGAAAATATATTTTGCTTTATAGATTAAATATCACAGAATTAAATTGTATATTCAGAAAGAGAGATGAAATTCTTCTAAACTACTTTCGATTAAAATATTAACTAAAGAAATGTTTATTTTTTGAACTAAATCAGTCAAATCTGAATTCTTTACTTAGCATAAACGAATAATTTTTTCATATTTTTATTGTTCAGAATTCTTCCTGAATGAATTTAATAAAATTGAAGTTAGATTTAAAAAGTTGTATCTGAAATTGATAATATCTAATGGTGAAACTGTTTGGATGCAAATTCAGCATGATTTCTAATTTTATTAAAATACATTGATAATATATAAGATAATATTTGAAATTATAAAAAGAATCACAACAGGAAATGTAAATAAAATAGTTATAACATTAAGAAATAACAGAGAAATATATCAAAATTTACAAAATGGAAAAAAAAAAATGATACAAATACGAAATATATAAATTCAAAATACATATTTCTTTGTTAAAAGCAGTTTTACTGATAAGGTTTCTAGTTCGGTTAGATCAAAGAGAAAACAAAAATTGCTAAAAATTTGAATTATATTATATAACGATATTTGAATTAAAAGAAAATGCGATTAAACAAGTGAGAAAATTAATGAATTATATAATTGTGACAAGAATTTGTTGAACTAATTAAATTTAAAATAATAAAGAAATAGGAAGATTTCATGTTATTATCATAAATTTCTTCTTAAATTCTAAATTATTTTTACTACAATATATCAAATTTTAAGATAATTTTAATAATTATCATCAATTAACTGACGAAATCTTTGTTTTGTTTATCTTTTGCTTTGATGAAACTTTTGTTACATTAAAGTTATATGGATGAATAGTGGTAGTAGTGGTAGGATTAGTTGGAGTGGCAGTAGTTTTAAAATAAGATTTTATAAATTCTTGTTCCACTTGAATAGCTTCTCGATCAGCAGCTCGAACATCATAACGATGATTGCGATGATATACTGTACTCCATAACATATCATGAATTTTTGTCCTATAAAATACAAATTTTCTGCATGTTATTCCATTTCAATAATAATAATAATAATAACAATAACAATAATAATAATAATTTCAAATCAGATGAAACATTCAACATTGCTAAATTTAAAATTATTAAATTAAAACAATTTAAATTCATAGAAAAAAGAAGCGAAATAATGAAAATGAAATTAACCAATAATGTGCATAATTTAACAATATTCATAAATTATCAAAATTAGGCTACATTTTTTTTATACTTATCTTACAAAACTTTTATAAACTATTTTGCATCACTAATGATTATTATTCTGTGATTGCATTATTACATTCCTTTTTTTTTTTTTTTTGCTTTTCTTAAATTATTACAAGAAAGAATTAAAAAAAAATTCAAAATTTATTACTATCTTAAAAAATGCAAGATTGTTATAAATAAATTGCTTTTATTTAAAAAAAAAAAAAAAAAAAGGCAAAAATAATAATATGTTTTATGTAATAGCTCATTCATACATATTCATATTAAAATAGATTAACAAATTTTGAAAAAAAAAAAAAAAATAATAAAGAAAACAAACTTCACTTCAAGTAAACTATTTCGCTTTCGTTTTCGTTTCGAATTTGATGACAAATTGGTATGTTCAATTTTGTTTAGTGATTTACGAATAGTTTTTATTTTTTCACTGATTACTTCTGAATTCTCATTAAATTGCTTTCTTTTTGTAGCTCTCTTCATCTCCTCCTTAATTTTTTTTATTTGTTTATTTCTAATCATTCAATTAAAATACATCATCTGTCGATTTGATTTGACATAGAAATTAGAATTAGAATGAAATAGCTTAACAGTATTCTAACAGTAAAGGAATTGACCTTTGACTGTTGCAACAGCTGTTAAGCTGAAAGAATTCATAAAATATAAATAAACAACCAGCTATCAGTTAATTGTCATTCATTTTAGCATAATTTAACTCTTTGAAAGCTTTCACATTTATCTGTTTTAAATTAGCTATGAGAAAATTTGAAAAGCGATTAATTATGCATAGAATTAAATGTATTACTTACCTCAATCTTTAGACGACTATCTTAGAAAAAAAAAAAAAAAAGAAGTAAAATGAATAATTGGACATTATTTACTTTCTACTATTAACCATATGCCGCCATTCATAAGAGTAGAAATTATTCATAATGGTCATTAAGAGGTCAAATCACCGACTGCACATAGACATGTTGCGCAATATAAGTTATAGAAAGTAAATATGAAAGTAACCGACTGCAATATGAGTTATAGAAAGTAAATATGAAAGTAAAGTTATAAAAGTTACCGACTGCAATATAAGTTATAGAAAGTAAATTTTTCGAGAAATACATAATTGGATAATTTTTTTTTTGGGGTAGAACAGACAATAAGATCGAATGTAATAAGAAACGTAAACATATTGCAAAGTAAACAAAGTTATTGTTATTTTTAGAGAGAAAGAATTGAAATGAAATCTATAATGTAAGTTAGTTAGTTAGATTAAATGCATTTATTAAATTTGACTTGAAATTGACTTGAAGTTGGATTATAGAAAAGAGAAAAAAAAAATGAAAGATAACAAGAAAGGAAGGAGAAAATTATCAAAATGAAGAAAATTGTTAAAATTGGCTCAATCATAGGAACGTATGTAACAAACTTGTCTACTATAAATGCATATGAAAGTTAGAAAAGTATCACAATTGGTGTCATCTGACGAGTAGCATTATACTATGTCATCAAATGGGACAATTCGAACATTCTTCGATTTAGCTGCTAATGGAACAGCAATTGGAAGACTTATTTTTCAGGTTTATATCAGTTAATTTTACACATAACTCGTAGAATTTGATCTCAAAAGAAAATTCCCTCTTTGTTTTAAAAAAATTTTTCAAATTATCTTTCTTCTTTATCATACAAGCAAATCATTTAAGTTAAATTCGATGTAAATTCTCTAAATAACTTATTTTTTTGAAGTTGAGAGATGATATCTGTCCGAAAACATGTGAAAATTTTCGAGCACTTTGTACAGGTGAAAAAGGATTTGGCTACAAAGGTTGCATTTTCTATCGTGTTATTCCAGGATTTTGTGCATGCGTAAGTTGATCGTTTTGAATGGATAGTTGTTATTAATTGAAAATGATTTAAATGAATTTAAAAATAATTTAGTTTAATTTGAAATACATAGAAAAAATGCAAGATAAATAAAAAAAAAAATAGTCTTTTTTGGAATAGCTGTTAAAGTTTGAAAAAACAAAAAATTTTCACATCTAAATATTTTCAACTTGTAATTCTTGTATAGAGCGGTGATTTTGAAACAAACAATGCTGATCGAAGTGGTGGACGTTCAATTTTTGATGAAAAATATTTTGAAGATGAAAATTTCATCCTAAAACATGACAGTCGTGGAATTCTATCCATGGATAATTATGGATGGCCAAATACTGTTAGTTCACGATTCTTCATTACTTTCGATGAAACTCCATGGTAAATATTTTGTTTCTTTTATTTCATTTCAAACTTTTTTTCTCTTTTTTTATTTAATCAGCTACAGAAATTGCAATTTTTGATGGAATTTGTCATGCTGAAAAGACAATTTGAAAAGACAATTTGAAATATGTTAAAGCTTTATTAATTATTTTTAATGCTTTATTTTTATCTTGGGTATATTTAAATATTTTGGTAAATAATTTTTTTTTTTCTTTTAAGATATAAATTTTAAAATAATCCTTCCTATTTTTTCATTTTTTGGAATTATTTTATTGTAGGTTAGATGATTATCATGTGGCATTTGGTAAATTGATAGATGGATTCGATACTTTTGATTGCTTAGAATCGTACGGTATTTTGGAAGGATACGGTGCACAGAAAGGACGTACCACTGCGACAATTACCATCGAGAATTGTGGACAAATTTCGTGAATGAATGAGCATTGTTATTCATTTATGGTTGAAAAAAAAAAAAAAAAAAAGAAATGTATTAATTTAGTGAAATAGGAAGAGAAAAAGAAAGAAAATCCTTAATTGATAATCGAATATATGAAAAAGCAGTAGGAAGTATCTTAAGTTGAACAAAAATTGACGCTAATATTTATTTGAATTGTTTTTTATTTCGCTAGAAAACTTTTTAACTAATCAATTCTTTAATTTAATCCTTAAATTCCATTTTCCACTCTCAGTTTACTACTAAATATCGCAGTATCAGCATTATTATTAATATTATTGTTATTATCATTATTATTGTTGTCTTTTTAATGGTTAAAATAAGTGATAGTTTAATTGATAAGTAGCAATAATTAACTAAAATTAAACTTAACTAAAATTTGGATCTATAATGAGATCTGTAACATTAAAATACTTTGATATTTATCATATCATGATTCAATCACTGTTCTGTAGTACATTATGCAATTTATATAATTAGTTCTATAAATTTCAATGAGCAAGTGGTTAAAATGATTTGACCAATGAAATAAATATATAATTAATTAAAAATAACAGGAATTACTATTATTGTTCATATTGAAAATTCTTATCGAATAATATATCATTCAATTCTTTTTGATCCATTATTAAATGTATGAATAATTGGAATAATTCTTTCTTCTGAAAATATTGAATAATTCTTTTTTCCCGAAATTCTCAAAATCCAAGAATGAATTTTCATTGCTTTTAACACATATCAACAATGCAAGCAGTCAAAATTCTGAAATAAAATCCATCTTATCATCTCATATTACTTCTTTTTTGCAATTAAGGAATTTACAACTTTTCAGACTAACTCTTACTTGTTAATCGATTGATCGATCGATCGATTGATCAATTTGTAAAAGATGCACAATTATGAAGGAATGATGTAAATGAAACAATTGATTATGCATCTGTGTAGAGTGAAAAGAGAGTGACAAGTGCAAAACTGATGATAATCATGGTGATAACGATGGTAATCTTGCTAATTATAGTGATAGTTTTGCTGATGATGATAATAATTTTGCTAATGATAATGATAGTTTTGCTAATGATAATGACAATTTTGCTAATGATAATGATAATTTTGCTGATGATGATAATAATTTTGCTAATGATAATGATGGTTTTGCTAATGATAATGACAATTTAGCTAATGATAATGATAAATTTGCTAATGATAATGACAATTTTGCTAATGATAATGATAATTTTGCTGGTGATGATAATAATTTTGCTAATGATAATGATGGTTTTGCTAATGATAATGACAATTTAGCTAATGATAATGATAAATTTGCTAATGATAATGACAATTTAGCTAATGATAATGATAATTTTGCTGGTGATGATAATAATTTTGTTCAGCAATTGTTGCTTTAAGGTGAACGAATAAATTAATGAATTTATAGTACATTGATATTTAATATATTAACTGAGAAAGGTGGCATTTTTTTTTTTTTGGTCAGACTAATTAGTAATATACATCTGACAAAATAAAAAGTAAAGTTTATTTTTTTCAATCGGAAAACGATAACGATAGAAAATGAAAATTTTATCTAATTATCTCCTAAAGACTATCATCTGAATATTATATTCTCCAATTTTCTCCAATACTATTCTAATCACAAAACAGATGATTGCATAATCATCTTCAAAAATAATTCTTTCCCTTTTTTCTTCTACCTTTCCATTTTCTAGAAATTTTAAATTTTATAATGTTCCAAAAAAAAAAAAAAAAAACCTCCAGTAAAACTTTCTAAAAAAAAGCAGAAATGCGCATGCATTTATCACACAATCTTAAAATTGATGAATGTATTTCTGTAACTGAAAAGATTGAAACTTTAAAAAAAAAAATTCCTTTATTCTTCTGATATTTTGCAAAAGCGAGAGAAAAAAAAAAAAGAAGAAAAAACATACATCATTTGGCAATTTGTAGTAAAATGAATTAAAAAAAAAAAAAAAAAAAAACATTTTTATGTATGCAATTATTTGATAATGTAATAAATTATTTGAAGATAAAAAAATAAATAAACAAATAAAAATCAAATTTGCATAAAATTGAACTATTATTTCATTGATTGATCATTGGTGTGGTAAAATTAAAGAAAAATAAACAAAAGAAAAATTAATATTAAATTATGATAGCAACGTATACATCAACAGTGGCACAAATTTGTTGAGTATTTTATTTAAGTACGTTGATGACTCATCAATTCATGCTTAATTGCTTTTTCATCGATATCTGAGATATCACTTGCTTGTACTTGCATTAAACTTTCCAAACCCAATGTAGCTTTCAAAGCACGAACCGACGATGCATATAACATACGTCTACGTACTGGTGCTTCATCTGGACAACTGCAAAAAAAAAAATGAGACATTTAAAGAAAGTATAAAAATTTTTTAATGAAAATATATGAAATTTTCTTTCTTATATAAATTTGACAATTGTCAACATCCAATCAAATATCAGAATAATAAATGATCAAAAGTAAATTTATAAATTTTTTCAACATCTAACAATGAGTGCTAACAGTATCGATTGTAAAAGCGTAACATAATTGACTTTGCAATCATCTTCATCAAAACAAATCAAACAATTGTTTCAAATTTCTCTTTTCAACAAACTTTTTTCCATCCGATAAAATTAAACTTTTTTTTTTAAATAAATAAGTTAAGTTAATCGTTTCGTTTTTGGCTCTTTTTTACCTTTTCTCAGCAAAAATCAAAAGTAAAGAGTGCAAAATTCAAATGTGCATTCATAAAATTAAGTTTTAAAATAATTGAAGGTCAACATTTATCTTTTTTACTCCAGACAAATATTACAACAAATGATAGTAACTTACTATTGCACAAAAACAACTTTAGTAAGTCGAGATGCAGCATCTGTACCTTGCCGTTGTACCTGTACTTCAACGTCCACTGCAGCATAACGACATTCCTTACCATCACCTACACTCTTCCGAATTTCCTGAAATTTTTAACTGATTAATTGGCAAAATTGCTAGCATAAATAAGTACCAGAAATAGGTGAAAGAAATGTAACAGTAAATGCAAATGTGAAGTGTAAAAATGAAAAAGAAAATTAAACGATTGCAGTGCTTGAATATAAACTATTGTTTGGGTAAATTTCTTTCTTTTTTTTTTCTTTGTTTATTTAAATTTTCTAAGCATTAATAATGCTTCAAAAATTTCACTACTAATAGTGGAAAGATAGCAAAATTTTGTATTAACAATATGAGCAGTTTCAAAAATAATTCATGAAATGTAAAGCACTCTTAAGCAAAATTTTATTTTATTTTTTTATTTAACAGTAATTTGTGAAAAATATAGCTAACATCAACGAATTCAGAATACGGTGCATTCTTAGTGCCAATTTTGTCAACAATAATTGTTGTATCATCATCCGAAATTCGAAATATTATGTATGAATGTTGATGCTTTTGATGTAATTCATCATAAGCTTTCTTGCAACTTGCATCTACTTTTACACCTGATGCCTGCAAAAGAAAAAAAAAAAATAAACAAAACTGCATATTTGTTATTTTATTTGAGAGTTAAATAAATTCCTAATTCTAAGAAGAAAGAGAAACTACACTATTGATTAAAAAAAAAAAAAAAAAAACTATGAATAAAATTTGAGAATTTAGAAATTATCTAATTTCATGATCAAGAAATTTATCATTCTTAACACTCCTTTTTTTTTTTTTAAAATCATAGTTTTTTTCATGAGTAATTTTTAACAATTTATCGTTTTCATTCTAGTGCTCTTTTAATAACTGACAATAAATAGATTTTAATAATTATCATCGTTTGATATTTGTTCATTCATAAATACATTTCAACATTCATTTCTTATATTTACTCTACGAAAAGAAAATGATCATACCATTTCGGATCAAAAATACAAAAATCAACAAAGTTGATTCACTCGAAAAAAAAAAAAAGTTATAAAATGCAATGAAAATATATGAAATTGCTTCGGAGGATGGGAAAATTATTTCTATATTTTTGATTTAAAGATTGTTGTTGATAAAGCTGCCGAGAATTATCCAAATTTAAATCATTCAAAATATACATGCATGATTTTCTCTTAGCTTTCATTTCTTTCCACATGTTATTTGCTTGTTGTCACATAATGTTTTTAAATCATTAGAAGTAAATAAAAATTTTTTATCAGCAAAGTTAATTTTAACTGAAACAATGACAGAAAAAATAAACAAATCACACACTGCAAACAAATTGAAAAGATGAAAAAAAAGAGAACAAAAAAAAAAAAAAAAAAAAAAAAAATAGACACAATAAATATGTTAACACGTAATCAAATTAGTAAATGAAAAATGAGAAAAGATTTTATTCATCATTCTTAAAAGAAAAAAACAAAAAAAAAAAACTTTGAAAAAAAATTCAAAAAATTTTTTCATAATTACTCACTGAAGAATTTCGGTATACATGTAAATTCTTAAATTAATTTCATAGACTTTCAAGGTTTACTTAAAAATTGGACTCTCAACATGTTGCTTTATTCATCCGTCATCTGACATAGTCACCACTACTTTGACATTAATTAATCCAGAATCACTCCAAGGATTCTATGACAATTTTGGAAAAACAATGTTGCAAGAAAACGAAAAATGATATCCACAAAAATTTGGTAAGCCAGAAAATCATTCTAGATAGGAAAAATTTTATTTACTTTCTTTTAAACAGAATGTAAATAGACTGAGCGATCTATAAACTGCAATATGATAGTAAAGCGTGATCTAGATTTATAATAATCGTTGTGAATTCTCTTGAACAAAAGTTTAGAGGCAAAAAAAAGAAAAAAAAAAAAAAAATTACAATTACAGAGTTATAATCGTATGCAGATTATAAACGCTGATTAAAAAAGTCAACAAATGTAACTTCTATGATCGCTACTGTAAATTAAGCTAGTCCATATCCGGATTTTTTATTCTAAAAAGCAATATGAAAATTTGGAAATTTGAATAAAAATTTCTTAAAATACAAAATTTGAAAGTTATTTTTCGTAATGTTAGTTTTAGGTTAGAATGAGGACAAAAACATTCTCTGTTAAGACATGAAGTGAAATGCAACATTAATTTTGTCACTGGCATAGCATGAAATAAGGGACCAAACTTTTAATTAAAGCACTTATCGGTCGCCATATTTCTCAGTAAGCTTTGAAATCAACTCTCTATGTGACATTTCAGACTCATCGGATACCTAAAAAGAAGACATAATGCTGTATTACTGAAAAAAACCAAAATTAAAACAACGCATCAATAAAATGTTGAATCAAACAATTAACGAAAAGAAAAATAAAAAACATCCTTCATAATTTGTTTTGTAGGAATAGCTGCAGTGCATCCTTTTTGCTTAATTTATTAAGTTTTAAGTCAATACAATATCATAAATCACCCTAAATATTAGTCTTAGGAGATATATGTGTTTAGCTATTTTACTTTAGGATCAAAAGTGGCCAGAGGAAATAAATTTATAAAAGCAGCCGCTTTTGTTGTAGACAGGATGAAGTAAATTTTGTCTACAAGAAAAAAAGAAATACATAACTACAATAAATACAATAAATAATAAATACTAGAATTACCTGGAATTGAATAATTTTCTCAGTACCAAGTGATGCCTTAATTGCTGATGCTGATGAAGCATAAACCATTTTCTTTTTAATTGATGCACCATCAGGACATCTATAATTGAATGAATTAAAACAAAACATACAAAGATAAGGGACATCAAATTCATTCCACTAAAGAAATTTTATTTGCTTAAAAATTTCAACATCAAACAAATAAAGTTAGTATGGACAAATCAGATAAAAATATAAAACAAACATTTGAAGGAAAACAATTTTGTCCATTTTCGAAGTTCCTGCACCAACTCTCGAGCATGTAAATTTGAAATCAAAGACCGCATATCGGCAATCTTTGAAATTATCTGTCCTTTCTCTCAAATCTTCTACGAAATGTCCAAATGCTTCTTTTGAATTTGTTTCATAATCATCCACAGTAAGGTCTAATTCATCTTGAGTTACGGCAGCTTCAACAACCACCTCACGATCCTTCAAAACATGAAAGAAATCAGAGAAATGCTATTCTTAGTTTAAATATTTCCGAATATTCTCTCCCATCGGCAAAGTTATCCTATTACATCATCTTATCACTTCCTCAAATGCCGCAAAATTGCTTAGATAAACATTTCCAATTCTTTTTTTTTCAGAAAATTTCTCTTCCTTTTATTATCCTTGTCATCATCTCTTGTTAAATGCATCGAAGTATATAAAGAAAAGGTAAAGCACATATTTCTCAGATTTATTTTCCTATATCAGCCAGCTATCAATAATGTCAATTACTCAATTAAAAAAAAAATTGTATTAAATCTCTCCAGAGTAGTTATTCCTATATAGTGATAGCATTGTCACCTGAGCATTGTCACCACAAATAATACCTCAAAAAACAAATCTTATAAAATATAGAGAAAAGAAGAAAGAAAAAAAAAAAGGCAAAGAGATTTAAAAATAAAATGCAAACCTCTATTTTAAAAAGAATATATCTGTATTCTTTACTATCCGAAAGACGTTGAAATGATCGCTGGACATCAGGATTAACACTTACTCCAGACGTTGACTGCAACAACACAAAAACAAAATTAATAAAATGTATTCTATCAAAAAAAAGAAAGACTGCAAATTTTCAAAGAGAAAGAAAAAAAAAAAAAAAAAAAAAAAACGAAAAACATGCATTACATAAAACACATCAACCGTTAAGAAGAGATGTCTGGCTGGGATAAGTAAGATTTTAATGGAGAATGTATTAGCAAACACTGCAACACACACTCGGCAGTTTTATCGATAATTTACAAAGCTTCTTCAATAATTATTAGCATCGAAATTAAAATTTGTATTTCTTTTAGTATTCCTACTAACTCAAAGTTTTTCTCTTTTTTTTAAAAAAAAAAAAAACTTATTCTATACGAAAAGAGCACTTTTATGATTTTTATTCATCTTATTTTCTGTTAAGTTACTATTGATTCCATGAAAAATGAATTTAACATACTTTTTCACTTACTTTTACATGTTTTATATAAATACCGAAAAATAGGTAAGTTTATTTTAATATAAGTCAAAAAAAAAAAAATGGTTCTACAAATATAAGCAAAAGAAATAGAAAATGAATCAATATGCGTAACTGCATAAACCCTTAATTAATACATCTAACAATACTACAGTAAAAAAAAAAAAGATCCATACTTAGTAATTATGTTAACTAACTAAGAATCAGTATAAAGAACAATATCAGAAATGAGATATCATTTATTATTCGGTCAATCAATCTATCTGACTATTTCATTAGTAGAATGAAACATTTTTTTTTCCCAAACAAATATCGTTATGTTTGAACAGACTTTAAGTAAATAAAAATGAAAAAAAAACCTAAGTATTTACACATATTACATAAAGCAATAAATGAAAAAAAGTAAAAGTAGTACCTTAAAATCTCGAAGATATCAATTATTACAAATTCTAGCAATCTATATACTTCTACTGTTATAGGTATAGAAAGAGGTCATTTGTCCTAACAGAAAAACGAGTTTTTTTTTTTTTTTTTTTTTATCGTGAATCTATCCAAAAAATTTTTTGAAAATCAATAAATTTTTATATTTTTTTCAGAAAAAAAAAGTTATTCTAAACATACTCATTCTTTTTTTCAAAAATTTTGAAGATAAAGTATAGCTAGAAGAATTATATAAACAAGCTTTCAAACTATGATCAAATTCATATTTTCATCTACTCTAGCAAAACAGTCCGTAAATTTTTTTATTACCAAAAACTATAAATAACTAAATAAACAAACAAACAAATTAATTAATTAATTAAATAAATATATAACCAAACATATATATATAATTGTGCTTGGTTCTGTTATCCTCCTGTAAGCAATAACGACAGCTGCTCCCCAGCCATATGGCCATTTTCCTCTAACATTCACCACAACAAACACTCTTGGAACTAAAGTACCAATAGCAAATGTCAGTAAAGAGCAAATAAAAACAAAGCTAGTAAGAAGTAATACTTAGATTTCATGATACTAAGTAGGAAAATTAAATATGCATATTTTTCTCTATTTGACATACATTCTTTATCCGATCTAAAAAAAAAAAAGAAAAAAAAAAACAATCTTCCGGTGTTCTTATCAGGAATACAAAAAATATTTTAATAAATTAAACAGGAGAGGAAAAAGAGAGAGAAAGAAAGAGAAGACTGCTTTTTTAGTAAGAAATAAGATCGTTCACTTTCTTTGACTGAACAAATGAGGTAAAAAAATTTCTCGCAAATTTCTCAAAAACAATCATATTTCTGAATGAAAAATGAAAAATTAATGACTCTTTTGATTAAAACCATAGACTGAAAGAAAAAAATAAAAAACTTATGTAACTTTCGTGAAAAACAAATGAAAATCTTAGCGTAAATTTTCCTGAATCATCAGAAAGAATTAAGAATCTGAAAAATTGAAGCTGATTGATCCACTATTATTATTTTTTGGAAGTATATTAAAAACTAAAAAATGAGATTGGGAATACTAACCATTGTGCAGTAGTAATGAAGAAGATGATAAAGAATAGATTAATAGCAATAATATCGTCAATTGTAATTATTGATAGACAGCCTGAAAACATTTTTGGAATTATAAATTTAAATACAATTACCTTACACCAAACGATAGCATCAAGTTGTCACATGTAAAATACATTATTAAATGTAAGAGATTAGTAATACCAATAGAAATGAAATTACTAGTGAAAACACAGAAGTGCATTGTTTATGACATTTTCATGTTTAACAACATTTATCCTTAAAAACTTTGCAAATACGAAAAAAAAAAAAATTGTTTTTTTTCTTTCCATATCTGAAATCAAAAAAAAAAAAAAATAAAATAAAATAATAAATCAACAGTATTATAAATTAATTTAGAAAGTAAATGAAATATGTACTGAATTTCAAAAATAAATATCCGAAATGGCATTAAAACAACGAAAACAATGATTATTGAAATGAGCTTATAAAGTTCATCAATTTTAGCCTACATATGAGAAGATATGTAAAGAGATTTAATTGTATCTAGCCTTATCCTCTAAATACAATTTCAAAGCAGTGAATTCGAGGAAATTCTAAGCAATAAACAAAGAATAATTAATGTACCTATTTATAGGATAAAAATGTAGCTTTTCTGATTAGTTTACTATGAAGCATTCAAATAAAATATCTAAATAATCGATTAATACTTTTACAATATTTAGATTTTACAAAAACTAATCAAGAATTTTAGTTACAGCAAACTCAATCATACTAAACCAATTCCATTGCAAATAATTCTTTCTCCAAATATCTTACCAGTAAATTATTTATGAATAAGATATATCTTCTATTACTCATACTCATCTATTTAATGAAATTCTGTGTAGCAAATAAATAACCGAGATAGAAATAAAAACTGAAATGCATTCAACTGATGTACACAATGGCGCTCATTCCCATATCTGAAATCAATATCAGTTAGACACGAATGAATTACAATTCTGGAAATCTTAACGTTTCATTAATTATTACTCTAACAACGCACATCTTAATCATCATTTCATCCATTTACCTCTCTAATATAAAATATAATTAATTAACAATGAATAATAGAATTGAATTAAATTTCATACAAAGCAATCGTGTTGCAAAAGAAATGGTCAGTTAAATTAGATTATAAACGATAAAGTGAAACAAAAAAAAAAAAAAAAAAAAAGAAAGACGACACTTCACTTCACTTCACATCACATCACATCACACTGGCTAACGAACAACATTTTCAACTGCAAAATGCCAAACAGACACTCCAAAATTAACGTTCAACACTGGCCGCCCCCTTCACACACACATACACACACACACACACACACACACATACACACATACATGTAATACATACATACATATGTATATGTAGTTATATCTGGAGCAGTGCTGTTGGTGAGGATGAATTGCTGTGGCTCTTCCACACTCTTCGTACACCCGATCTGTCTTTTTCGAACTATTTAACCCTTTCTAAACCAAAATCAACCAACTAAACCAATCTACACCGTACACCATACACCATACACCATCATACCACACACACACACACACACCAAGATCACCTAGTATCACTAACAATGCCTACTAGTTGAGCAGCATTCATCTACATCAGCTACCGGTGTACCTACCAACACCACTAAAAGCATCATTTTGGTAGAAATAAAAAGAAAAATAAAATAAAATTTTAAACAAAATTTAACTTATCACTGTTCAAAATTTTCTCTCTACCACATATTACACTAACTCTAACTTTGTCTATTTCTACAATCAAATCAACAATGACGAATGACATTTTCTCAGAAGCAGCTTATCTCTTTAATATTCATTCTTTCCTTTATTTTTTTTATTTTTTTTTTTTTTAATGACAGTAATGCGAAACTTTGTTTTCCATTTTCTTCATCATTCCAGTAAATCCAAAAACTGATCTTACGAGTAGATGAAATTTCAAGTCCTACAAGCTATAATCGGTCAAAAATGACTATACCAATAATAACATCAACAAATCTGATCATCACCAATGTGATTGACAAATGCGCTACCATAAATGATTAAACCATTCAAGATATACCAGAAGTCACTCATTTCATTTTTGCTTTATAGCAGCAAAAATTTCACATTCACAACTAATAATAGTAGTAATAGTAAGGTCGTTAAAATGATGGCATCAAGGAATAAAAACATTTTTTGGAACCGAAATAAGTAGTAGGTAAGTGTTGAAGATAAGTAGAAAGTTTAAATGACTTTCACTTACACATGATGAGAAATAATGATGAAGAGCAGAGCAAAAGGACTGAACGATATTGATATAAGCGATATGAGAAATGAAAAATAGTAAAACTGAAGTGCAAGTAAAGAATACAATGATAATGAAGAAAATTAACTGAATGAAATCATCAAGTTTCCACAATAATTAATGATCATCAAAGTTATTGGTGATTTAAAAATGAATGTAAAACTTAATTTCAATAAATTTGACGACTTAAAAGATAAATATCAATACCACAAGAAAGCCATTGATCTTTTTACTGAATGCCCTATTAACAATAAACTGAAATGAGGCTTAGTAATTGCATCCTCTAAAACATCATCTGATACATCCGGGAGCATTCAACAATAGGTTCGTTTATATTCTCATTTACAAAGAATCACTTTTTTTTTTTTCTTTTTTTCTGAGTCTCTCCTACTAAATGACCGTAACAGGAATAAAACTTAACTTCAATAAATTTTAGTAATACTACTTTGTGTGTTCACACTCTTAATGAATAACCAGGGATGTTTATTTTTTATTTACTATTTATTATCTCAGAATCTTTGATTCACAAGCTATTTTTGTTAATTAATTCCTGAAAATATTAACTGTAAAGTAATTAATAAACATAGATTTTAAGGGAATTCATGGCTTCATCATACAGAACAAATTTTAGCAATAATTAGCCTTTGATCCACAACCAACAATCAATAATAATGTTGTTGAGGTTCAACAATGGTAAGAGTAGCTTTCCTCAGTTACTCAACTCCGATGATGAATAGTGGCACTACGGGAAATAAAGGCCAAAAATTAGTTAGCAGTTGCTATAGTTTGAATCATTCGCCAAATCATCCGTCACGAGGAGATAAAACTGAACGTTAGCCGACAACAAATGCTTCCATACAATGCAATGTTACACCTTCCTTCTCCTACCTATCACAGAATCAGATAGTTATTTCCTTTCTAAAGGCTCAAAAAGCACTCACTCATATGATCAGGAGGAAGAAATCAAATCGATTGATCAAATTGAGAATTCAAGATTTTAATAGTTACTGAGTTGGAGAGCATCCATTTCCATTTTGAAAATTGAGTTACCAACTAAAAACATTAAGTAAGAAATGAAAATGTAATTTTTTGCAACATTCTCTTTCAGCTAACACATTTTTGTAAAACAATAACTAGAAGTAAGGGAAAAAATGATCAAATATTGGTAATTAAAATTAAATACACTATTAAATAATATAATTAATAGGATTAATGAGTATAAATGAGTATAACTATAACATTATCATCGATCAATCACTATTTGTATGATAAAAATATAAAGAAAACATAGTGATGTTTAAAATTTATCACGAAAAAATTACGTCAAAAAAAAAAAAAACGTGCAACAAAGCTACCATCATAGTCGGTGCAAATCTTCAAAGTGATCCAGATGAAGAAATATTCAAGAAAAATATCACCAATCATTTGCTTCAAATCTAGAAGAAAAAAGATAGCAGAAATGCATCATACAGAATAACTCCCAAAATTAAACATATCAAATTTGCACATTTATTGAATACATACATGAAAAATAATACTCAATTTGAACTCTATAACATTAATTGATGCGTATGCGCTTTCCGCATTAGCAATTTAGTCAGTCATTAATGAAATTAACTTCGGGATTATGTTGCCATCCGTTTGCTACCGCATCTGCCGTTTTGCTACCGCACCTGCCGTTTTGCTATTGAGCGATACGATTAACGAGTGAGATCACTCAGTTATTCAGGCACTCGACATGAGTATTGCTAAGCTTTCTCTTATATATTTTTTTCCACTTCTCTACATATATAGTAATATATATCAGCGAACACACACACACACATATACACAAACTTAAACACAAATACACATACACACACTTTTCTATATATACATACCTACAAGTTTACAATGTATAAAATGTTAGAAAGGTTTTTTTTTTTTTCTTTTTTGCGCATTTGGTTCAAAAATGAAATCTGAAGAGGGGAAGAAGAAAGATAATTGCTTTAAGACGACATGGTAACAGATGTTCCGCTAACGGAGATAAGATATATCTAGAGAAGAAGAGAAAATGATTAATTACTAATGAAACGTCTTCTCAATTAAATGCAAAATGCATCAAGAATGAATGAATTGGGAAAGTAGTCGAGTATTCATCACATTCTTATGTAAACTTTGCAGTTTGCATAAAAATGATGGAAAAAATTATGAATGTTTAAATTGTGATATTTTACAAGACATTCATTTATTAAATCAATCAATATGAACACTTCTTTTTAACCTATATGAATTAATTTTGCTTTTAAAGTTACTTAAGAGACCATACTCATTACAAAAAAAAAAAAAAATAACTTAGGACGAACTCGTGAGATATTAAATGTAGCAAACATCCTTCAATTCATCAAACTGTAAACAATATACAAGAAAATGAATATTCCATGGAAGTCTTGAAATGTGACATTTACTGCTATATTTGTAGGTGACAAAAGTTAACAAAAAATAAATGGGTCAAGATAATCCCGTAAAAGGAAATGAAGTTTAGCTTAAAAGCCAAAAACCCCAGAAAACCAAAAAACGACTGCAAACGCCCAATAAAAATTTTATTGATCATGCAAAACTTACAATACGATGCAAAAAAATAAGAGACGAAATCAAATTCATACTAACTTTTTACATATCAAAAAAAAAAAACCTTGAAACAAAGTCTGAAAATTGAGAAATCAATGACAACTTCTAAATACAATGCAAACAAAGCACACAAACAATCATAGTCACGTATAAAAATCTCACTGTACAGAAAATTTAAAATTTTCGAACGGTAGCACTAAGAATGAACGCTTGTTTCGGAAAGACAAAATTTATGTGAAAATTTGAGATATTCACAAGCAATTTAAACAGTAACAGACGTTCGTAGCGAACTATGTTCACGCATAAAACGTCATTGAAAAGGGTGGAAAATCACTCAAAATGACAAAGCAAGACAAGTAAAAACGAGTCTAGTATTATTAAAATTCATAGTAATACCGAATATTTTGAAACTATAAAGCAGTTATCAATGACTAAGAAATAGGATTGCTACGAGGTTATCAGGTAGATAGCGGTCGTTCCTTTCTTATAATAGTTTTAAAAGAAAGAAGTTTTCGAGATGCAAATTAATCTAATAGTTGGACTGATCACAAATAATCAAATATTAGTTACTTGTCCACTGAAAAGGCGCTCTAAGCTTTCCGGTGTATCGTTATGCTTCAGCACGTTTTTGGACCATAAGATCAGTCGAAAAAGGTTCTCTAGCTTCGGTGCAGACGGCTTATTCAGAGCTTCCAGAATGGCACTATTTACATCGTTGGCAACCTGGAGAGAATTTGAAAATCATATTAATTTAAGGACATTTTATTTGCGATCACTTAGCTGATTAATTGCTTTAAGGTTACAGAAGAAATAAGGGAAGCAATAACATGAAAGAAATGAAGAGACCATTAGAGGATGAGAGAATAAAATCGCGATGAAGCAGGTCTAGTAGATGAATGAAACCTACTCCATTCTCATTAACACATTATCTGAAATCCCTACCAATTTTATCATGTCTTAAAAAACAGTGATCATGTGATATGAATGATAAGAATGAAAAACCATCTGACGATGACTCATTTCCAATAGATATGTATATGGAGAATCTTCAGGTTTTTCAAAAGCAATCATTGCAAAAGCTTTTTGCATTTCTTTTTCCATTTCAGGATGTGCATCCACTTTTTCAACAATGGACTGCGTAAAAGCAACGGCTTCCTCTACCTGAAAATCTTGTTTTGTAGCTATCCACCTTCTACTTCAGCTGCTGTTTGTTGCTAATAAAATGATATTAGCTGTTATAAATAAGCGATATATCATTTAACTTATCAGTCTCAATTTAGAGCAATCAATAAAATGATATTAATTTTCAAAATAGGACAGAACAAGACTAAATGCCGTATCCCTTCAAGATGGTAAAACGAATTGTGATAAGAGGAGGAAAAGGTCAGGAGAAACTATCATCCTACGGATTCTATAAAATTTTAACTACTATATAGGTCAATTTTGTTGCTAAATAAAGGCACTGAATATACTTCAATTCACAAATCATAACATTTCTTTTTATAACACTTAACAAAAAGAGAAAGTCAAAAAAAGAAAGAGCATTTGATTCTTAAACCAACCATTTTATTGCGAATAAGTTCAATGAGATGCTGCTGAAGTAAACGAAGATGAAGAACTGGATTGCGTTCCAACAAATCAGGGACAACTTTTACAACTTTTTCGATTGCACTCTGTATCTAAATATCCAAATTAAAGGTTTGAGAGAAAAGTGGTTATCAAAGATGACAAAAGCATTCCACTTCTACATTTCTGTTACACTAACTTTACTTTCGTCCCCATATTCCTGATATGTCAATTATTCTCAATCCTTTATATCTAGGACATCTAAAATCTTACCTTTAACTCAAATTCAAATTTAAGTAATTTGTAACCGCTACAATAAAAGCTGACGATTAGAATGTTAATAATACAAACCTTTCCTTCTACAATATCATCACGGATACGCATTCGCTGATCAAGATTTTCAATTGCGTCTCTCGGGAATGGTATAGAGGCGTCTTCGCACAAATATTCCGCTGCCTCCCTGTGTCCCTGAGAGATTAAATAGTCCAATACAAGGAATTTCATATATTCTGGACTGAAAAAAACATCAAGTCATCGCACTGAAATAAACTAATCGAATAAAATTAGATGAATCATTTCGAGCTAACGATGTAAATCTTTATCATAATGCTCTGTCTAAATAAAAACGGTATATTATCAAAAACTATCAAAAGGCATATTTCGTCGAACAGCTCTAGTACACATGGCTAATTCGTCATTTCTAGAACATCAAAAAATTTCTCAGTATGATAAAGCTTGAACTGTGCTATAAGTCGTCACATATTGGAAGATATTTATTCCGTTAAGCAAATATCGACTTCATTGAATTTACAAAAAAAAGGAAACAAACGGCAACTCATCCGCAATCATTCCCTGGAATCGATCATACCATCCAACAGGTCCAGCTGTACTATTTGATGCTGTGTTCGCTGGAACTTCACCCTCGCCACTTCCTTCCATTTCTCCTAAAAATTGTTTTTAAAATAAAAAGTTTTTTGAATATGAATCTATTATTGGCTATCTCTTAAAGATGGTTCTTCATTATCAATAGCTTCCTATATTGTATCGCAATTATTTCACTATTTTACCTGTCATAAATCTTTCGCTAGGCAACATATATTTTACACATACCCATGCAAAAGTATATCTCTTATTAAACTTTTATCAAAAATAAAAAGTTAAACATCACAAAATGTTAAATTTTTCGAGAATGCGAATAAACTTTTCGAATTGAACGTAAATCTATGCAATCAATTGACCAGAAAATAAAATTCCCCGTAACATACATAAAAATGTACATAAATGAAAGGTAAGACAGACAGAAAAAGAGAGAGGGAGAGAGGAAGAGGGAGAGGGAGAGAGAGAGAGAGGTACTATCATCAATTGTCACATAATTCGTCACTTCGCTACGTTAAGCCCGCCCAGCTGTGATTCTTATTTAAAAACGTTTATTTTTAGCATATGCTATCATTTCATTTTATTACACTGATTAGAAGAGATGAAGAGGGTGCATAGATACGCCTAATGGAGACGTGACGTATGTACACGTATATATACGTACGCATGTACACACACGGCCATATGGAACGTAAGATATACACAGAAATATGAGAAGATGCATACGTAAGCTTAAAGGTTACAGGGGTTAAGATTAATGCTTACAATAAGAGATTCAAGAAGTAATGCATTTTAAAAAGCACTGAGAGAGGGACAGAGAGAGAGAGAGAGAGTTGTACAAGTGCGCAAGTGCGCAAATGGAATATGATATAAAAATGTGTTAAAGAGTAGAATTCATTCATTGAATCTTTGATTACTTTTTATTGCAGGCTTCTTTTGACTGCTACTGCATCCGGTTACTTTGAGAAACAGTGGTTTTTTGCGATTTTATCAGTTTTGGAATTGTGTTTATAAAGTTGGTGGTACCTTTGTTGTGTTATATTTCTGAATGCTTAACTCTTTTCTATTTCTAACTTTAATAATATGAAACAATTTAATAAGTTTTTAAATGTCCTTCTTAAAGCGCTATAATCTGTGGTAATTTTTGTTTTGTTTTGAGATCAATGCGCACTATATCGATGATATCAAGAAATAAAAACACCTTAACAAATGTTAATTGGTCATTATGAATGCCATTTCCTTAGAGAGAGAGAGAGAGAGAGAGAGAGAGAGAGAGAGAGAGAGAGGGAGAGAGAGGGAGAGAGGGAGGGAGAGAGAATAAATTTACATTGTAATGCTTAGCTTCATTATTAATCTCAGTGCTCATTTATTTCACTTCTAGAATCTGTATGGGAGAAGTGAATGTTGTTGAAAGATTGAAAGAAAAATTGAAAATGAAAGTTGAAAAAAAAAATAATTGAAATAAAAAAAAAAAACTGAGAAAACATTTCTTTGTCATTTTTTCATATTCAATATATCATTTCTCTAAAGTGAAAAAAAAAAAAAAAAAAATTTTTTTTTGAAGTAAAAGAATAAAAGAAATGTTGAAGTTATATTTGTAAGGAAGAAAGAAAGAATAGAATTGAATTTTTATTTTTTATTGTAAGCTTGTAATTAACATTAGAAAATGATTTAATTTTTAGTTTACGCATTTTGAAGTGATAGAAGCGGAAGCAAATACTATTAGTCTTGTTGAGATTACAAATTCAAATCAAATGACAAAAAAGCGTTCTTCCAATGGTTTTATGTATTTTGCTGACGCACGACGAGCTTTTTATGAAGCAGAGAATAATGGTGTACATCTAACGGCCAAGAAATTAGTCGAACGAGCTGCACAAGACTGGAAAATGATGAGTGACGGTGAACGTCAAAAATGGCGTAACGAAAATAGTCGACGTCGTAACGAAGTAGTATTATTCATTTTCTAGTGCAATCAACAAATCATTATTATAGAGTAGAGTAAGCTTATCAATAGAATAGATCAGTAGATCTATGTATTAAATCAGTAGATCATGTATTAAAAGTAATTCGTTAGGTTTATACAACTTTTCAATAATAATAATTTTCTTTCTGATAAATATAAATACTAATAATGATAAAATTAGTTTATACTCAATAACGACTCATATTATCTAGTAAGTGAAAATGATTGTCAAAGAAATTGTCTGAATATTATTAGTACAAATAATATCTGGTTGCAAGCTATCTGTAACTGGTTTAGTTTTTTGTGATTTTAAGAGATAAAAAGATTGTAGTTTTGAGCATTTTATTTTCAAATGAAAACAACCACTGATTTTGTTTACTTTTCTTTTTTTGAAATTTGATTAAATGGTTGTTAATTTATGAGATCTTGTCATTCCACTTATCCATTTTAGTATGAAGACTATTAATGTCCTTGTATCCATATTCATGAATATTGTTGATGTAGTCCGGAAGCTTTCATCTTGTTATTATATGTGCTCAGCAACTTCAAAATTTTACTATTATCATTTAATTATATTCTGGTGAGAAATAATGAACGAAATAGATTGCTGTTAAGATAAGATAATATATAAGATATGTTAGAATGACTGTTCGACTAAGAATTAGAGCCTTGCTTTGTGAAGAAAAAAAAAAAAAAAACTTGAACTAATCAGTAAATCATTCTCAGGATCTTTATCATTTTGTTAAAAGCTGATTGTGTTTTCTCTATTAAAAAATGATTGAAAATATTATTTCTCACTGATATATTCTGCATTTACAAGAACGATTGTAATTTTAAATTAAAATCGTTTCATCAAATTTACTAAATTTAAAGTGGTTTCAAATTCTGAGATGTTCCAACTTCAATTTTTAAAATTTGAATCGAATTTTTCCAGAATTAAAATATTTTAAAAATAATATTTATCAAATTTGATTCTGATTAAATGCTAATATAGTCAGCAATATGCCAATTTAGTATGAGCGGCAAGTTTATCAAATGCAGTCAGTTTCAATTATGAGTAAGTCAAGGACTCGACGGTTATCCAAACTGGAACTATCACTTCAACCAAAACCATTTTCCTACAAACTCACGGAATCGAAACGTAAATCACTCCGTCAAAGCACCTATCAGAAGTTAATTTGGAGAGAAAAAGGCAGCATAGTTCGTATGATTTGTCATATCCTTTTTGTACTACACTTTATCAAATACACATTATCGTACTGCTCCAATGTAGTTACCGTACTACCACACTGTGGCCGTCATACTACTGTACTGTAGTTACCGTACTATTGTACCATGGCTACCGTACCGCTGCACTGTGACTTACAAACTATTCCTTATTATATTGCATCGAGTAAAGCATAGTTAGTTCATCGTTAGAATGAATTCAGAGCCATAAATATTCAACGAGATACTGTTATGTTCATCGTTGACAGGATGACAGTATGAGGTGACACAAGATGCAGGATATAACACTTCATTGTACGATATATCGTACATCATACTGTAAACAATTTCTCATGTCGTAAACAAATACAATTGAGAGAGGTGAAAATTAGCATAAACTCAACGAAATTTTCTTCTCAACAAAAAGTTTCCCTCTAATGATATTTGTCTTTGAGAATTAATTGCAAAAATAATAAAAATTAAAAATTACATTACAGACAGAAGTGGTTGCTAAGAAAAGATTCGGATTGCTTACAGTTCAGCCTTATTGCATCTTAGAGTCAAATAGTACCAATGATGAGCTAATTTGCCCACCGGCTGAAATTTGCACGTACGTGATGAGTCTCAGCGAAGGAGTTATTAACAGTGAACGTATTTTAATACGTCACGATTATCCCGTCGATCATCAATCTTATCAGTTTTTTCGAATTTCAGGTATAATTATTGCTCATTTTAAGTTCAAAAGTTTTGTAATAATTCTAATAGATGTTCGAATGAATTATTGACTGAAAGTGATTGATAATCTGAAATAATTCTGCATCTTAATGCATCTAAACTCAATTTTTTTAGATCATTCTTCTTATGTATTTGAAAACTCAAAAAAAAGTTGAGAGAATACATTGAGCTATTGGTTATATATTTTTAGAAAATGGCTTTACTGAATTAGCACAAACACCAAATCATTTAAATGTCCATCAAGCATGTATTCGTATAGCAAACGAAATGAGAGGATGCTGGGCAAATTTGATTTTAGTACCTGCATCACAATATCAAAATTTGGCAGCAAGTTTAACCTGGATTAAACAAAAACGTGACAGTTCCCTAAAAAGTAATTTAAAAGAAATTGCACAATTTTTTATCATCGAAGTAATAAATGCAATGAAAAGAGTAAATTCTGAAGTTTATTTTAAGAACTTTTTTAAAAAAAAAAAATTAATAAAAGTAATAAATAAATAGAGAATGAGTGAGAAGAAGGATAGACAAAAGAATTTTTCTTTCTTTTAATAACAAATGTTAAAATATATATTTGACTGAAAACGTCAGGAGATACGACATCAATTCGTGCGGAACGTCTAATATGCATGGAAGATATGATAACCGTTATTGCGCATATCTTCGAGACGGATGTTGATGATAGTTCACGTTGGGAACAGCATATTTCGTCTAATTCGCATTATGCATGCGATTTGCACTCTGATATCCCTAATAAATGTCCAGTGGTTGTCGGAAAGTCTGCATGGTATGTCAGGGTCAAGATAAGATCAGCAATTGTAGAGATAAGATCATCAATTGTTTCAATGATACCTTTGACATTTATGAGTTCATATGTAAAGGTGAAAGATTTGCATGCAAAAATTTATCATTAAGTATTATCAAATGATTTCAGGTCACGTATATTTCATTACTTAAATGAAGTCATCAGAAATGATGCATACCTAATCATGATTATGTTATTCTTCCATTATTATTATGAACAATAATTTCAGTCAGCATTTTCTTGACATACTTCGCAATTTGTTTAATCGTGTTTATCGAACACATGAGGAATGTATTTTTGAAATTGATAATACGAAACGTTATCTGAATCCAATGCGTTACAATCGTATAAATCCATTTCAATTAACGTCATATTGTGATTCGAATGATAATCATACGAATAACGATGAACCATTTAGTTTGATTCGTTTACGCATTCGTTCGTTTACATAATTTTGCTAATAGTTGATGAATTTCTTTTTATTAAAGATATCGTTATTATTCATAATTAATTTTAATTAGAGTATATCAATAATTTTCAGCAGATAAAATACAATATGTAACAGAATGGTTAAATTCATTGGATTTAAATACCAATACCCTAACATCGAGCAATGATAACATCAAACAGGGTATTTTTCTGATGAATTATTATTTATTTTCTGGATTATTCATGCAAATATATCATTTTAGAATTGAAAAATCATAAGCTATATGCTACTAATCTTTTACAAATATTTCATTATTTTAGCATTTACGGAAAATCTTCAAAATGAGCTACTTGATGACAAACATTCGATGCAACTCTCTTGAAAATACCATTAATAGCCTATTTGCATGAGGAGCGACATCAATCTGTGTCATTTGTAGTGTCACATTTGTCTATCCTTTGTCAACCTATCGCTAATCTTTATTTATCATTTTCTTTTCTCATCATAATTTGCTCATTGTCATCTGTGATTTTAATATCAATAAAAACTGAAATTGTAATCAATTCGTGAACTGAATTCTTCTATCGTTTTCTTAGCATCATGATACAGAAATTGAGATTTCTATGTGCTATGCATGTTTCCGGAATCATTACTGAATGCTTCCGAAATCATTTACCGAAAGAAGCTCGAAGTTGACAACAAAAAATTTAGTCAATAGCAGGATAATTTAGCTATTAGTTCGGTGATATTCAAATATTCAGTATATATTAGACCACCCACGAAGCATTGATAGAATGAAGGAGGGATAAATGCAAGCATTACAGAGATCTGAAATGGCGGTTTTGACTTTTAAATGCATGAGTGAGATCTGAAATGGCGGTTTTGACCTTTAAATGCATGAGTGAGATCTGAAATGGCGGTTTTGACCTTTAAATGCATGAGTGAGATCTGAAATGGCGGTTTTGACCTTTAAATGCATGAGTGAGATCTGAAATGGCGGTTTTGACCTTTAAATGTATGAGTGAGATCTGAAATGGCGGTTTTGACCTTTAAATGTATGAGTGAGATCTGAAATGGCGGTTTTGACCTTTAAATGTATGAGTGAGAAACTGAAATTGCTTTTTTAACTCCAAACAGATTACTATCATGTATCAAATATGTTAGTACGAGTGAAAGCTTCAAGGATGATAACATACAGGAAGGTTACTTTTTATCTCTTTTTTTTTTTTTTTTCTTTTATTTCTTATTTAAATTTCAATTCTAAATTTTTTTCTTAATGTTAAATTGAAATTTCAGATTTTTGCAAGTTTATCTTATCAAAAAGAAGTGAAATGTGTATTGCAAATGAAATGAAATAATGTTAGAAATAGCAAATGCAATAGCATACAATGAAATTTAGAATGGTATATATTTGTCTGACTATATGGTATATTAGAGCTAAAACTCCATTTATGCAAATTTTACACATTATTATTTAGTGCAATTGGTTAAAGAAATTATTATTATTATTACAATAGCAAACGACTGGGGCGGACTGTTTACTTCTATCTTCTTTCAATTATTCTTACATTTAATTTTCTAGATTTCTCTTGTATTAGTTACTTAAGTTAGCTTATTCTATTGTACAAATTCACTTTTCCATTTTGTTCAAACATTTATTTCAGTTTGGGTAATAGTATTGCTGTACGTCTTATTTCCAGTAATACTAGTGAATCTCGACAAAGCTTTAAAAGTATGTATTTTATTCAGATATTGTTTAACTTTGAAAAAATTCCTTTTCCCGAACTTTTTAAATTATAATATTTCCCGTTGAATTTATATATTTATTCCATAATTATACAACTAATTATTTTAAAACTCATTCATTTCAGCATGCATTCTTATTCGTTAATTCATTAATGTATTTTAAAAAATTTATTTTACATTGCATTTAAGATTTGCTAAAAACAAATAAACAGTATTACAAATTTTATTAATTGATTGAATTTGATATGATTTTTTCAGCCGTTTCTCCTTAATTTTTTTTTTATCCTAAAACATTTCATACTATTCTGTGATGACGTCATAGTCCCTAATTTGCATATTTCATCTCGCTATCATGCTACCACTATTTAGAAACTTAAAGTTGGTGAATTTGGTTGCGGTTTGTTCTCGAAGGTTGAGCGCTCTTGATAATATTCCGAAAATCTATTATCCATCTAACGGATACGATTATCAATTTGCAAATTCTCATCACGGTAGTTTATTTACTTATTTATCTTACTAATTCTTACAATGTTAACGCATTATGCTCAGATAAATATATACGGTAATTGATATAACTTACTGATAATTTTTATAACTAAATTTAAATAATAATATAATTTTTATTTATGATCCAATCATTTTCTCTTTTAATATCAATTTTTGATTTAATTCAAAAAAATCGAAATGATTACCTTAAAGATAATATTGAAGATAACAAACAGACAGTGAAGAACTGATAAGGATGATAACATTAGAAGGAGATATACGGAAAAGAATGACAATGATGAATAATCATATGTATCGGCCATCAATGACAAATAATCCTTCATATTTATCCTTTCAACGATCAACTTATCCAGTAAGTTTCATTTTTGCTTTTCTAGGCTTATCAGTAATTTGATTAATCGTCTAATGAATAATGAAATAATTCGATAAGTTATTAATTTTTCCTATTTAAAATTTCCTGTTTTAGCCCACATTTCCGGATATCAAAAAATTTCTTTTCCCTTTTCTCTGTGTAAATAATATTAAAGATAAGGTAAAGCATAGTGTTAAACCTTTATTTTAGCAAAAATGCTTTAGCTAATTTTCTAATGCTTTGAAAAAAAATTTCAGCTAATAACAATTAACTTTAATAAATGATTTTCTTGATCTTTTTAAATGACTTTAAAGGTGTATGTTGCTACTTTGTTACGTTTTAAGATATCACCAATCACGTTTAATCCACGTATATCATTAGATGTACGTTCACCAAAGTCACTTTCGGACGGAAGTATAACCAATTCATCTAGCTCCTGTGCCAGCTCTTTACAACATCATTTTTACAGGTACTTCAAATTGAGCAAAATGTAAATCGTTTTAAATGAAAATTAATGAACTACTTTTTTTTTTCGAAATTTAGAAATTTGTTTTTTGAAATTTGTTTTTTCGAAACACATTTCTATCTTATAGTGTTGTGAGACATAATAAACATACATCATTTTTTCTAGGAAATAATAATTCAGATTTGTATTTTAATTTATACAATTTGATTAAAAATATATATTTCAATATTTGATCAATTCATAAAAGTTATTACAAACTATTTTATTCTTCTGTTTCTAAAAAAAAGAAAAAAAAAACTCAGTTTGTTTTATTTTAAATTTTATTTTGTAACCTAATTATTTAGTGGTTCGGTATTAAAATTTGCTGATAAAAACGAAAATGGTAATGGAAATGATTGCACAGTGGTTATGCCGCATGATCAGCTTTATCAAACATTGCCTTCATGGTCTCCTACATCCGTAAACAATAACAATGGTAATTCATTTAACTTCTGAAAATGATATCTTATGATAACATAATGTACGATATCAGTGAGCTATTGTCGAAATTTTAAGATGAACCGAATAATTATTTTTCTTCTATTCAAGATTTTTCTTTTTTTTTTTTTTTTTTTTTTTTGAAATATAATTGTCACATTTTAGCTAGTAGAATAAATTTTATATACGGAATATCATTTGACATCTAAAAAAAAAAAAAAATGATAACAGCTTTTTCAAAAAAATAAAAATCAAAAAAAAAAAAAAAATGGAAAGAACTTTGAGATCGATAATTCAGTGATTCTTTTACAGCAAAAACGGAAACAAATGATCGTCGAAATCCACCGCGTAATCCTGGTGTTCCATCTACTCCAGAAGCATATTTCATTATGGATGAATCAGTTGAAATTTTTGCTCGCAAAGTTTTCGTCGGTGGTCTTCCAATTGATGTTACAGAGGGTAAAGAGAAACTTTTTTAAAAAAAAAAAAAAAAAAAAAAAAAAAAAAATTATAAATTCTCAGTGAGAATTTTAAATTAAAATCAAAAAATTCGTGTCTGTTTAATAACCATTATTATTTTGTTAATATAAACAAAAGGTATAATTATGACATACTATCATTAGACTACAGTTAAACAACTGTCATTAGATTGTCAACGATAATTATGATAAATTAAACAGTATGAAGATAGATTTATTTGTGTTTTTAATTTCATATTGCTATTACTAATAAATGAAATCTTTTACAGATGAAATAACATCAACATTTTCACAGTTTGGTCCAGTACTTGTTGATTGGCCACGTCGTCCTGATACCGGTGCTAAAGAAAGATCCACAGGTTTACTAGTATTTTTAAATAATTTTTAAAACATTTAAATACAAGTTAGTTTTGATTATTTAACTGTAAATCTCATTCACTCTGCTAAATTTATATGTATTTTTTTTTTTTTTTTTTTTTGCTGTTCAAAATTCTGTTCCTCATAAAAAATAGGAAATAAAATATCAATTCACTTGTTCTAAAAAACAAATAATAGTTTAAAAATAATAAATAAATTATAAAGCATCCATTTTACATGTCATATTTAGCACGTCACATGACTGGTTACGTCTTCCTGGTATTTGAAGATGAGCGTTCAGTGCAACTGTTAGTGAATAGCTGTCATAAGGAGGATGACAAATACTACTTATTTGTTTCTAGTCCAACAATGCGTGATAAACCAGTAAAAAAAAATTTTTTTTTTTCTTTTTTATTATCATTAATTTTATAGGTATATTTATAATTAAGTTTTCCTATATCTATCCTCTAGCAATTAGAATTTAATATGATTTTCTTTTTGATAAGAATGATATTTTAAAATATAATTCTAAGGTACAAGTACGACCATGGCGTCTAGATGATATGGAATTTATGCTTCGAGAGGATATGCCATTGAATCCACGAAGAACTATTTTCATAGGTGGCGTACCTCGACCAACAAAAGCTCGTATGTTCTTTATATTATAATAAGCAAAAATAAAAATTAAAAAAAAAAAAAATTAATTAAAAAAAAAAAAATATTCTAAAATTATTCATTCGGTTTATGAAATTTTTATTTCAGGAGAATTGGCATGTGTTCTAGATCATCTTTACGGAGCGGTTTGTTATGTTGGAATTGATATTGATCCGGAATTGAAATATCCAAAAGGTGCTGCACGAGTTACATTCACCACCGAATATTCATTCATTGCAGCCATAAGCGGACGTTTTGTGCATATACCACATGCTGATATGAGCAAACGAGTAATTTTTTTTTGCATCATTTTTTTCATTTTAGCAATATTTTTTTAATTTATTAATTGATTTTAAATATTACTAATTGATAAAGTATTAAAGTAAATGTTTCAAAAGTATTTTGTTTATTGAGAGAAAGTAAACGTTACAATATAATTTATCGTTTATCGTCAAATAAGAATAAATAAACAATGAAATGAATAATCGAATCTCATACTACCTGTATTCTAACTTACATTTTAGATTCTCTTTCATTTTTATATTTGTAATATGACTAGTAATAGTATTTGAAAATAACTAAATTTTGATATCAGATTAAAATAATTTCTTTTTTTCAATAAAAAAAAAATTTCATTAATTGTATGAAAAGATAGAAAGATGAAAGTTATTCTATTTATTCAGAATTTCAATGATTTTAAAATTTTTAGAAAATTATTTCAATGATATTTTTGTTTTAGGTCGAAATAAAACCATATGTAATCGACGAGCAAATGTGCGATGAATGCGAAGGTGCACAGTGCGCCGGTCGTTACGCACCGTATTTTTGCGGTGATGTAACTTGCTTGCAGTACTATTGTGAATCATGCTGGGATTGTTATCATTACGGTGAATATTCTGATAAGAAGAAAGCTTCCCATAAGCCGCTTGTTCGTATTGGTGATCAAACTAAGGTAAATGTTTAACATCCATCAAACAAAAAATAATTATTGAATAAATCAAAATAATAGATTTGAATGAAAATTTAATTTCATAAATATTACTCAAACTTAACAGACTGTTAAATGTAATGCATTTAAGAGAATAATTAGCAGAGTAGCAGTTACTTGTAAAAAGGAAAAAAAGAAAAATGAATAATATTACACGTGAAATCTTGAAGATTTTTATCCTAGTAATTTTAATTAATTTAAGTTGGAAATTTGTCAATCGTTCTAAATCGAGAAAAAGTTTTAAATTATTTTAAATGAATGTAATATTTGCATTAGATTTTAAAAGATTAGTAAACAAATTGTTAAATTTTTGGACAATTTCAGGTCTTAGCTCATCCACCACATCATAACCATTTACCAACTAACAAAATAACATCAAACACAACCGCAGTTGTTGATTGCTGTCGTTACACTGATGCGACAACATGCGTTAATGTACGCTGCTCACAGCATTACTGATTGCTGCATAAGTTTGTGTGAAAACTAAAAGACATTTCCATTGTTTTCGTTAAATTTGACAAATTTTATATAGTGATACATTTTAACCAATCAAATTTTGCAAGTAAAATATTATTTTATTTAAGTAACTAATTTATTTTTCTTTAAAACTTATTGTAATAAATAACTTTTTTTTTTTTTTTTTTTTAAATTATGTAGAGATTTCGAAGATTTTAATAGTATAATAGTAATATTAATACTAATGTTAATAATAATAATAATAATAATCTTACTACACAATAATTTCTTCTTTTTTTTTTGAATAAATTTATCCGGTACTCGTTTCATCTCTTTTATTGTATTTCGGAATGTCTTTTTCCTGAATTTCTTGAATTTGTTTTTGTAAACTTGTAGAAGTTTTTTGGTCGTCTTGCTTGCTGCTATCTTGCATTAACCATTGCAACATTCGTCAAGAATTTTCAAAACTTAGACAAAATTTTTGCTTTTGTTGACATTCGAGAATATTCATAGCAGATACAAGATCAATTGATTGTCTTTCTGGAAAAGATAATTTATAAATATTATCTCGTAAATAAAAGCATAAATTGTTTGACGGTACTTTAATAGAAGAGAACATAGCATTGATTGTAGCATTTTATTCATATTTAATAAAAAAAATAAGTATTGAAAGAAAAAACTATGATTTAGGAAAGGTATACTTTTTTTTAATTAGTCTAAGCTTTACGTCTTTGATTTAATCTAATAACTTAAAGAGGCTTGATGATAGGGAAGTAGTATATGATTGTAATCTTTAAGTAATTCTATCTAACATCAAACAAAATGATAATCATTAAAAAATTAATTTATCATTTAAAAGCTTCTAGAAATACACTCCTTTTTTTTTTTTTTTTTTATAATGATAAGGAATAGAATTTGCTAATTCGCTTCATGAATTTACCTATGCCACCAATATTAAATATAAATTATTTGACTGCTTTTTTGTGACTGCAAATTTTATTTTATTCACAAAGTTTCTATCACATTGTAATTAGCATAAAATAATATATTTGTTTTTGATACGGCAATATTACCTTATTTGTCAATTTTCGATATTTTTGTAAGCATAATTTTAGTTAAAGCTAAATATTCAATTAATTTTTCCTTTGGTATGGTAAGCATTTAAACGTTTAAATTAATTACTTTTCATTCAGGCCAATTTATTCCCCATTTTTTCCTGTTTTTTCTATTTTTCCGGATATGTTTCAACTTTTTTTTTTTTCTCCGTTCTCACTTCTATTATTGATACTTGATACTACTTTTTACTCGTTGATTTTTTTTAATGTTATATATGGTTGTAATAATTTTTCTTTATGTTTTTTTTTTTTTTCCTTTTTCTTTTTCTACTATTTGTAATTTTTGTTAGTTTTTCTTCTTTCATTGCTAATATAATATATTATCTGATATTACAAAGTGCCAGAGCGTACGCCAACGAACGCACGTATTTGATAATTCTTGCGTTACGTTACGTTACGTTACGTTTTCATAGATATTGTATTTTGTTTCAGTGTGATTTCTTCTTCAAAAGAGTAAATTGTTTTTGTTTCTTTTTTTTTGTTCTAAGATCAATAAAAAACAAAAAAAAAAAATTTTTTTTTAAAGTTTTGCTTTGTTTCATTGTTGTATTGAGGAAATTTAATTTGTACGAATTTAGCAAATTAATGAAAAGTGCTAGATGGAATTCCTTGAATATTAGAAGAAAAATAATTAGCATATCGCAAATTTTCTGTTTATTTATTCTCCGATTTGTAAATCGGAGATGAGAACCGGTTAACCGTTCGGTAAACCGTAAAAAAAAAAAATGTAAACCAGGTATTTAATATATTCTTCATAATCGGAAAGAATTATTACAGTATGATATTGGAAGCTAAAGTTTTGCAAAGTTTTTCATAAGTACAGGTAAGTACAGATAGCAGGATAGTAAGAGAAATTTCATATTATTTAAATAAATAATATTTTGTTAATTTCAAACTAATATCTTACTAATATTTGAAACAAAAGCTTTACTCAAATTATTTTACAAAAGTATGCATTTTATGGAGTTTCGGAATATCCTATAAGATAAATTGTTATAAGGAAATTTAAATTGTACAAATTTAGCAAATTAATAGGCAAAAATTAAAAAGTTATTAAAAGTTACAAATATTTTAACTTTATTGTTAACTATCATTTAATGATAAATTTCCAATCAATGTTCCAATCAATTTCAAATGTTTATTATGCATTGCATTCTTGTATTCGTTAGAAAATTTATAGTAAAATCTGTCAAAAAAAAAGCTAATTTGAGATTTCTTCACAAAATTTACATATATCTAAACGAAAGTCAACGAAATATTCTAAATTTGTCTAAAATAATAAAATACATTAAATTAAAACAAAAACCGTATATCATATTTTAATTTAGCTTACATTAAAAAAAGCAAAGCAGATGTGCTAAATATTTGATAGTATAAATTATATTTTTAAAATAAACATTTATACATCTTTAAAAATAAATTTTTTTTTTTTCCTTTTCTTTAAATGCCAAATCGTATATCTTTTAGATGTAATAATCTGGATGCAGATATTTTTTGTCTATAATATACTGCTGAATTATGACAACTTGATTCTTGCGTTACATCTTCCTATAATTTAGCATTTTTTTTTTTTTTTTTTTAATACAAATTTGAAAAAATTTTAATTTTAAAATTGTAGTTTTAAATTTTTTTTAAATTCTTTTCAACCTAAATAACTTAGAATTTTTTTTTAAACATTCTTTTTTTATTTCAATTTAATTTTTAATATTTGATAAAATTATTTCATACAATTGCTTCATCAGTGATAATATGTTTGATAATCGAATACTGTGATGTTGGCATTCGTCTAACCAACAATAATCGTTGAATGCATTTGAGAAGAACAACAAATAGGAATAAAATAACACAAACTGTAATAATAGCAAGAAATACGGAAAAGCTAGCCAATCCAACACGAACTATTCGAATCCATTTTTCCGGTAACGGTTTCTGGAATAAGTTTACATTTGATATCACACTAATGATATTATATGCTAGTAGAAAGTAGATACCATTGTTGTAGATGTATAATTTGCATAATATGAAGAGATCATAGAACTATTCCAGCTCTGAAATAAAAATTCTGATTGATCGAGCATGGCAGCACTGAGAAATATGATAATTTCAATATAAAATTATTTGTTAAATTAAATGTTAAACGAACGAAATTAATTTGAATTTGAATTCAAAAATTTGAATTCAAAATTGGAATCATGAATTGTTAAAAAAAAAAAAAAAATGCTAAAAGTATTAGTTCGACAAAACTGATTAAAATTTGGTTTTGTATTTCGCTTATTTTCTCATTCGATTATTGCATATATTTGTGAATTTTTATTTTCTTAATTGACAACGAAATTTTAATGAAAATTTGATCATCTTTTATGCTAAGTTAATTATTAAAACTTTTATTATTAATTAATTAAGACGAAGATGTAATAAATTAATTAGAGAATAATGAACATACATAATATTCCATCCTATCATCCAGAGCAGCTGAAAATATTTTCAAATTTTGCCTTTCTTACTTTTATTTTTTTCTCCTTACAATAATTACTGTTAAAGTTTAAGTTAAACAATTAAAAGTAAACCTGATGCTTCAGTAAAATTCATACATGAAATTGTTATATTATATATTTCATCTGTTGCATTGTTAGTAAAACATGTGATATTCTTTGAGGCTATAATATATTTGAAACAAAAATTTTTTTTTTGATAATTTAAAATTATTAATTTAAAAAAATAAAAAGTTAAAAAATCATAAATTATTGTTATTATTTTAATGATAAAATAGATCACACTGAAAAAAAAAAATTTTATTGGTCAAAAATCTTCTCGAAAATGTTTTATTTATTTAGTAATAATATAATTATTATGTTTATGTTGTATAAGCAAAATTATTATACTTTGTTTTATATTTTCTTCAAAATAATTCGTTAAATAAATTTGCAAATAATAAATTTAAAAATATATAATAACAAATTAAAAAATTTAATAAATTAAATTTATAAATAATAAACTTAAATAAATTAATTTGCTAGAAACTATAATAATGACTAAAATTGTAGAAAAATTGTAGTAATTTGATTATAGTATTGTTTTCAAAATAATTTATACTAAAAGTTATTATTTAATTTATGTAACTAGATGTGTAATAATTAATTTTCTAATAAAAAAAATCGCTTTGAATCTTTCTTTCAACACAAAATTTCTAATTTTAATAGACAAAACTGACCAAAAGAATTTTCAAAAACATAAAAAAACTGTGTTATATGATTGTTTCTATCATCGAATACAATGTGTTTTTCTTTCGAATTTGTATTTTGTTGTATTTGTTGAATGCATCGTTTCATTTGATTATCATCTATGTCCCATCTTAGTGATATGTTAGTGTTATCATTGTAACTGATAACTGTGCATAAATTCATCGATTTATCCTAAAGTGGAAAAAATTGTTGGAAGTATTTATTAATTTAAAGTAGCATCGTAAGTTTATTAATTTAAAGTAGCATCGTAAGTTTATTAATTTAAAGTAGCATCCTAAGTTTATTAATTTAAATTAACATCGTAATTTTGTTAATTTAAAGTAGCATCGTAAGTTTATTAATTTAAATTAACATCGTAATTTTGTTAATTTAAAATTTTCAGGTATATCATTTATACATGAAATGAATTATTTATGATTTTCTACTTTACATATTCATATAAAATTAAATATAATAAAAGTGTGTGTATGTGGAAAATTTGGTATTAATACTTCCAAAGAAAATTAAGGACAACAAATGCTTATCATAGATAACTCAAACTGATAATAGTGATATCAGATTATTTTCTTTTTACTCATAGTTTAGTGATAATGAAATTTTGCATACGACAAATTGTAAAAGTATGTAGAAAGAAGCAACCATCCAATGCATAATGTGTAAATAAAAATGATTCAATAAATATGAGAAAATGTTATAAAGAAAAAAATGATCCAAATTTACATTTTATATTAGCTATAGCAGTTAGCTCAATGTTCTAATAATTGTTGGTAAATCGATAATTTAAGCAGCTTAATGTTCTAATAATTGGTAAATCGATAATTTAAGCAGCTTAATGTTCTAATAATTGGTAAATCGATAATTTAGGCAGCCTATTGTTCTAATAATTGGTAAATCGATAATTTAAGCAGCTTATTGTTCTAATAATTGTTCGTAAATCGATAATTTAGGCAGCTTATTGTTCTAATAATTGGTAAATCGATAATTTAGGCAGCCTATTGTTCTAATAATTGGTAAATCGATAATTTAAGCAGCTTATTGTTCTAATAATTGTTGGTAAATCGATAATTTAGGCAGCTTATTGTTCTAATAATTGGTAAATCGATAATTTAGGCAGCTTAATGTTCTAATAATTGGTAAATCGATAATTTAGGCAGCCTATTGTTCTAATAATTGGTAAATCGATAATTTAAGCAGCTTATTGTTCTAATAATTGTTGGTAAATCGATAATTTAGGCAGCTTATTGTTCTAATAATTGGTAAATCGATAATTTAGGCAGCCTATTGTTCTAATAATTGGTAAATCGATAATTTAAGCAGCTTATTGTTCTAATAATTGTTGGTAAATCGATAATTTAGGCAGCTTATTGTTCTAATAATTGGTAAATCGATAATTTAGGCAGCTTAATGTTCTAATAATTGGTAAATCGATAATTTAGGCAGCCTATTGTTCTAATAATTGGTAAATCGATAATTTAAGCAGCTTATTGTTCTAATAATTGTTGGTAAATCGATAATTTAGGCAGCTTATTGTTCTAATAATTGGTAAATCGATAATTTAGGCAGCTTATTGTTCCAACAATTGTTGGTAAATCGATAATTTAAGCAGCTTATTGTTCTAATAATTGGTAAATCGATAATTTAAGCAGCTTATTGTTCTAATAATTGTTGGTAAATCGATAATTTAGGCAGCCTATTGTTCTAATAATTGGTAAATCGATAATTTAAGCAGCTTATTGTTCTAATAATTGTTGGTAAATCGATAATTTAGGCAGCCTATTGTTCTAATAATTGGTAAATCGATAATTTAAGCAGCTTATTGTTCTAATAATTGTTGGTAAATCGATAATTTAGGCAGCTTATTGTTCTAATAATTGGTAAATCGATAATTTAGGCAGCTTATTGTTCCAACAATTGTTGGTAAATCGATAATTTAAGCAGCTTATTGTTCTAATAATTGGTAAATCGATAATTTAAGCAGCTTATTGTTCTAATAATTGTTGGTAAATCGATAATTTAGGCAGCTTATTGTTCTAATAATTGGTAAATCGATAATTTAGGCAGCTTATTGTTCCAACAATTGTTGGTAAATCGATAATTTAAGCAGCTTATTGTTCTAATAATTGGTAAATCGATAATTTAGGCAGCTTATTGTTCCAACAATTGTTGGTAAATCGATAATTTAAGCAGCTTACTGTTCTAATAATTGGTAAATCGATAATTTAGGCAGCTTATTGTTCTAATAATTGGTAAATCGATAATTTAGGCAGCTTATTGTTCCAACAATTGTTGGTAAATCGATAATTTAGGCAGCCTATTGTTCTAATAATTGGTAAATCGATAATTTAAGCAGCTTATTGTTCTAATAATTGTTGGTAAATCGATAATTTAGGCAGCCTATTGTTCTAATAATTGGTAAATCGATAATTTAGGCAGCTTATTGTTCTAATAATTGGTAAATCGATAATTTAGGCAGCTTATTGTTCCAACAATTGTTGGTAAATCGATAATTTAAGCAGCTTAATGTTCTAATAATTGGTAAATCGATAATTTAAGCAGCTTAATGTTCTAATAATTGTCGGTAAATCGATAATTTAAGCAGTTTAATGTTCCAATAATTGGTAAATCGACAATTTAAGCTAAGTTTACCACTCAAAAATTCTAAAGATTATGAAAATGATAGCATTTGATTAAATTCGCTGATAAATATTTTCAAGAAAAAAGTATAAAGATTGGTTCGGTCTTTAATCTGCAACAATATGCTAATATCATGATAACATCAGGTGATAACCGTTAAGTAATCTTAGCGATATCAAACAATAAATCTTTTCTGGTGACAAATTTCTCAGTTCAATTGTTATAAACTTATTAGCATTTACATTTTTTTTATTAAAATCTTTAGAAATTTATAATTATCAAATTTCATAGCTGACATGCAATATGAAAAAGTTTTGACAATAAAAATTGAATTATATTTATTGTCATTTTTATTGAGTTAAAAAGAAGTAAAGGAAGTCATTAAATTACACATTATCAATGCTATGCAAAACTAAATACAATTTTATGATATAATTTTGATACAAAAATCATAAGTAATTCATCTATTGGTTAATACAAATTCATTTAATAATCATCAAAATACTTACACAATTTGACATACTGATATAAGTTATTCTGATTAAAATATCATTCAAATTCATTTTCTATACAATACTATGAATACAGAACAAAAAAAAAAAGTTAGATCAAATTTCAAAAGAAGAAGAAAATTCTTTTAGTCTTAACTTTGACAAATTTGCAAATTCATTTGCGAATTTTTTATTTTTTTTTTCTTACAATGACATTGTTGAATTAAAAATTTATTTGCATTCAGTTCATAAATTATGTAGCAGTATAACTTGGACGAACAAATGCCTCGATGATGTCATGATTCTCGATTCGAGTAAGATAGAGAGCTGAACGTCGTAAACTCATCGTTGGTAGTTCAATCCAGTTATTCGAACGAAAATCGTATGCTTCTGTTTCACCGATGGTACCAACCATACCACCATAACCACCAGCAACAACCACTTGGTTGTTTAATACTTCTATACCAAAATTTGAACTGTAAGAAAATGAAATTTTAATTTTATTATCGTTTGCATTTCATAAATTTACAATAGAAATGCAAACTTTCACTATTTTTTTTTTTTTTTTTTTACAGTTATAAATTCAAAATCAGTCTTAAATCAAAACTGTAAATTTAAATTTAAAACCGTGGTCGATTCATTGATCGTAAACGATGCCATTTTCCTTCTCTTGTATCTATAAATTCGCATGTCTGTAGACGACTGGTACCATCAAAACCACCACATATGAATACAACACCTTCCAAAGTAGCTGCACCAACACCTGACCGCTGAAACAACAGTCTAATTATCTAATTTTAATTTTTTATCGATCAATTTAACTTTTTAGATTTGATTAATCTAATCGATTCAGAATTTGGTAGTTTTTACAAACTCTGATGCACAATCTGAAATGATAACTACTAACTCGACTTGTCATATTATTACTCATAATAAACCATCGATCACGTTGTGGATCATAATATTCAACGCTAGAGTGACAATTCATTCCGTCAAAACCACCGATTGCATATGCTATATTTTTCATTATCACGCAGTGGCCATCACTTCTATAAACATACTTATTATTTTTGTAAGAAAGTATAAACAAACAGAAAGTAAATACATTGTGGAGATGTGTATTTTTTAGATTTTACAAGAATTAAGTTAAAAGAATTTTAATTGTGAAAAAAAAAAACCTACTTTAAGTTAAATTTGATAATATATCTGTATAATTAATTTTTTTAACTTTTCATATCAGTTAAATTTGATAATATATAATTAATTTTTAACTTTTTACTAACCTTCGAACACTCATTTCGGCAATTCGATGCCATTGATTCTTTGGTATATGCAAAATTTCAGCCGATCTTAGACGATCATGATTGTTATAGCCACCGATTGCTATGATTCGTTCCGGATCCAGCAGACCACATCCAACATAACATCGTTGATCATACATTGGTGCAACTTCCATACATTCCTATAAATCAATCATTTTTAATTTAGAAATTGAAATTCATCTTTGAAATTGTCTAACTCTAAATGCTTAACATTTTTTGTTTAACTAAAAAATTTAAAAAAAAAAAAAAGTATAATTTTGAATATATTTTAGATCAACGTTAATGAATTAATTTTTTATCATTATCATCTTTCATTAAACTTAATTAAATCAAATTTGTAATCTGAAAAAAAAAAAGAAACTTTGCAAAACCTACACGATTATTTAAATTAAATCTTTTTGTTGACCGATAATATTCAGCACCATTGAAACCACCAATTGTAAATAAATGTTCACCAGTATTGATGACAGCATGATAAGCACGTGGTAATTCAAAAAGTTTCAGTTCCGAGCGTACCCATCTTTGGGCACGACAATCGAGAGTTTCTACGAGCATTGTTGGACCTATATTAGACCAACCACCTGCAAAAAATTAATTTTATGACACTTTTTTTTTTTAAACTATTTTTAAAGAAATTTTCAAAAAAAAAATTTTTTTTTTTTTTTTACCACTTGCAAGTAAAACTGAATTTGGTAGACGTGGTTCATTCTCGCTAAAGCCAATAGCATCATTTCGTCCACGGAGTGCTTCACGTAATTGCATCGCACATCCGTTATTATAATCATTGGCCTTAAATTTTTTGCTCTCATTTTACTTTACTTTACTTAAATTTTTTGCTCTCATTTTACTTTACTTAAATTTTTTGCTCTCATTTTACTTTACTTAAATTTTATGCTCTCATTTTACTTTACTTAAATTTTTTGCTCTCATTTTACTTTACTTAAATTTTATGCTCTCATTTTACTTTACTTAAATTTTATGCTCTCATTTTACTTTACTTAAATTTTTTGCTCTCATTTTACTTTACTTTACTTAAATTTTTTGCTCTCATTTTACTTTACTTTACTTAAATTTTTTGCTCTCATTTTACTTTACTTTACTTAAATTTTTTGCTCTCATTTTACTTTACTTTACTTAAATTTTTTGCTCTCATTTTACTTTACTTTACTTAAATTTTTTGCTCTCATTTTACTTTACTTAAATTTTTTGCTCTCATTTTACTTTACTTTACTTAAATTTTTAGTTTCCTACTATAAAACTACTATAATTTTACTTTACCAACCGTAATCCATTTTCGAACCATTGCTGTTTCTTCATTTTTGTTGATATTTAAATGTTTGTCATGCAATAACTTCAGGATTTCCACTTCGGAAAGTCTAAAACTTTTGTAACTTTGAGTAATGTAAAATTAGGTGATTTTGTTATCTAAAATTAAGTGAAGTAAAATTTAGGTAAGTTTTATAATTTAGGTTTGATGTTAATTAGATTTTATTGACCAAGTTTTTTTTTTTTTTTCAAAAAAAAAAAAAACTGATTATGATTTGTTTCTAATGTTAGCATTATAAGTAAAAAAAAAAAATGGAAAATGGAATTGAAAAATGAAAAATGGAACTGAAACTAAAAATGGAATTGTTTTATTTCTTTCATTAATTGCTAAAATTGACAGTTCAATGTAACAAAATAAAGAAAACTTTTATAAATCAAATTTTGCGATGATTTAGTCAACGTTTAATTGTTATTAATTTTAAAAGGTAACAATTTCAATTCTGAAATAGACCTAAGAAAAGTATTATTTGCTAGAAGTCGATCAAATTGACGGACAATTATTTTCCATAATTTTTGTGCTAATGGCACATGACGATTTTCTGAAAGGAATTTATTAGCAAAGTAACTTATCTTTCATAAAATGTAAAGTAATTACTTTTTTTTTTTCCTTTTTCCATTGATTGACATTGACATTGACATTTTGACATAAGTTTAATCTACCTTCTATTCATCTAATTCTTCTCATTTCCTTTAGAGTTATATGATTTTTCAGTAATATTTATTTTATTTTATTAAAAATTTTTTTTTTTTAAAAATACCAAAATTTTTTTAGCTTTAAATATTTCGCTCGTTCTTTAGTTTAGTCCATTAGTTTAAAAAATTAAAATTTAGCTTAAAATATCTGTAATTTTGAAGTAATGTTTGGTATAAATTAAAATTTTTTTTTATTTTAAATTACAGAAATTTTTTAATTTAAAATATATCTCATACCTGCTTTATGATATGCCAGAACTAACGAATTAGCATTGACTTTGGACAGAATTACGTCTGATATAAGCGTTAGCAATGGATCAATTAGCAAGTAGGATGTTATGTCTAATATCTATTAAAAACTAAAATTAATAATAAAGACAAAATTGTATACTTAAGAAATAAATTCATAATTAATTCCTCCTAGACGTAAATGCATAATTCATCGAATTCTTACATTTTTATACATCACGTGTACACATCACGTATGTATATCACTTGCACACATCACGTATACACATCACGTGCACACATCACGTGTAATATAAGTGTAACAAAGCAGAAAGCATTACTACGTGAAAAAAAAACTTTTTATTGATAGGCAATTTGAAAAGAAGCGCAACACTTAAAGCAATTTAATGCTATTGTGTCCTCTCATATACTACTATTCATATGTGTTCACTATGCTGATGATAATTTCAAGTGAACATGATAAGATAATTTTATCTCAAATGATAAGATAATTTATCTCAAATGATAACTGTACCTCAAATGACAAGACAATTATATCTCAAATGATAATTTTATCTCAAATGATAAGATAATTTATCTCAAATGATAATTTTATCTCAAATGATAAGATAATTTATCTCAAATGATAACTGCACCTCAAATGATAAGATAATTTTATCTCAAATGATAGATGTACCTTAAGTGATAAGATAATTTATCTCAAATGATAAGGCAATTTTATTTCAAATGATAACTGTAGCTCAAATGAAAAGATAAGATAATTATACCTCAAATGCTTTTTGAAGACTCATCCATTGTAAATTCGGCATTTTCCACTTATTTTCACTTATTAGTTGATTAAGGACAGCGCAACAATGTAGAAATCCTTCACTCTAAGAAATGATCAATTCGATTATCACTTATGTTTATATCAGTGATAATCAAAAGTAACAACTAAATACTTACAAACATTAATTAATACTTAAACATTAAGTAATAAATAAAGTTTTTGAATGATTTTTATCAATTCTTTTCGAATATAAACAATGTAATATTTAACTAACCTTACTCCTATCAAAACTTAATAATTTTGATTTTGTTTCTGAGAAACCACCATAAAATGCAGCACGAAAGTATGGAGAAATTTGTGCAAATTCTATACGATCCATTGTAATCTGCAACTAAACATTGAGTTCCATTTAAAAGAAATTTAAAATTTTTTAAATTGAATTGAAATTCTAATTTTGATTTTGCTAAAAGGACAATTAGATTTTCAAAAATTTAAACAACTCATGCAAGTGTAATATTTGAAAAAAAAAAAGAAAAAAAATGATAGATATGATTTTTATCATTTCAAATTTAGGATTGTCATAGCAGTAATTAATTTCTTATAGAATATAAAGAAATTTTTGATGGAAGTTATTATATTACTTTTTAAGTTGTTAGTTTGATAATATATTACAAAGAATTTAAAATTTTTATATGTAAATGAGTGAAATAATATTTTAAATATTAAAATTTTACCGCAATATTTCTATTCAGAATGATGGTAGCACTACTACGAGCTTTTTGTTGTGATTTGTATAGCTCTGTTGGAATTTTTTTTCCATCAATTGTTGTTATGATAGTTTTATTGAAGTGTTGTTGAGCTATTGAATTTACTGTAGATTTGATGTTCAGTGAGGCGGTTGAAACTGATAACGCTGATAATGCTGATGATATCACAGCAGAAGAATCATAATCACTGATATCAGTTGATTGATTTGATAATGATGATGATGATGATGATGATGATGATGGCGTTATTGATAAAGCCTCACTGATTGAGGATGATTTTGTTGCTAATGGAACGATTGATTTGTCACAAGAATTATGACAATTTTTACTTCTCTGTGATGCTTCCTCTACGAATTGATCTAATGAACTGCTCTGCGCTTCACTCATATACGCTCTTTCATATGAAATAAATTTCATTTAAACAAAAAAAAAAAAATTAGTATTAGAAAAAATTTTACAAAATATTATTAAAAATTGCTACTAAATTACTAAAATAAATATTACTAAATTTGTAAACAAAATACAACTTAAAATTGCTACTAAATTACTAATTAAATACTGCTAAAATTGTTTAATACTAAAATTGTAAACAAAATACTACTTAAAATTGCTACTAAATTACTAAATTAAATATTACTAAATTTGTAAACAAAATACAACTTAAAATTGCTACTAAATTACTGAATTAAATACTGCTAAAATTGTTTAATACTAAAATTGTAAACAAAATACTACTAAATTGTAATTAATTTGAAAATGAAAACAAAAAAAAAAAAAGTTAGAATAATTATTCAGCTTATTCACTTACCTCTCTCTCTATCTATCTTTCCTATCACTTTTGTAAATATGTTACTCTTAATGATAACTTATGAAATTTGCTAAATTGATTGTTTCATTTAATAAATTTTGATTATTTCATTGCTTAATAAATATATTCACGTAATTAGTATTAACTAATTAAAATTTATAGATTAGCATAGATATGATTTAATACTTTAATACCAATTACGCATTCAAAATTGCTTTTTCAACTCATTAATCATTATAAATTATACGTCTATTAATGGTAATAATATAAACTAATTTAAATTTGATAAAATATATAATTAAAAAAAATATTATAAAATATAATATAAAATAAATTAATTTAAATTTGATAAAATACATAATATATAAAATATAATAACAACATAAATTAAGTTAAATTTAACAAAATAAAAAATTTCTAATTTTCTTGTTTTAAATTATCTTATTTTATTTTAAATAAATGATTATTATTAATGATTGAAATATTATAAGCAATTAACAAATAGATTAGTCATACATTGAACACTGAATGCAATCTTATTTCGACGCCTTCTTTGATCACTTGTAGCGTAAACAACGTATGCATAAAAAAAAAAAAAGAAATAAATAAATAAATAAAATAAATAATGGCGAAGAGTTGAACGATAAATAAGTGGTAACTTTTGCTACAATTGATGCGGTTTTAGCCCGACCGTCCGCGGGCGGTTTAAGGATGTGTAAATGGCTTTTAATATTTCATTTAAGCTATTTATGCTTTCATTCAAAAATTATTTTTAATTTCTGCTTTAGAAAAAAAAAAAAAAGAAATCAAATTCTTCATAATAACTGAAATCTGGAAATGTCTAGAAATGTTGAAAGAGAACAGGAATAAAACTTTCCTGAATGATCAAATAAATTCATTTTTCTAAGATAAGAAATATTTATGTTTATTCTCTTACTCAAGCTTACTTTCCTGATCCTGTATTTATTGCAAATCGGAAAAAATCTAGGACGAGAAATTTCTTTCATTGTTCTAGCCTCAATTTATTGCTTACAGCTTCTAAGCCATCTATATTTGTTTTCATAGCTTAATCATTTTACTTTCTATCAATTCAAATTCAAACATGTAAATTGTTTGTAGTGATAGATAGGAAGCAAAAAGTTTTTTCAATTTATTATTAATTTAGTAATCACACAGAGCGGTGCAATCATTTTCTAATTTTTACGAAAGAAATAAGTTCTGTTTATCATACTTTTATTCAATTTATAGTTTATTTTTAAATTTGATGACTATCGACTTCAAATTGATCATCTAAAAAAAGTTCTGAATGATAAATTTGTATTTAAATGAAATTAAATCGAAGCAGTAATTGTACAAGTAAATTTCCTCAACTGAGATCCTTTATTGATAATCATATCAATATCATCATTGTTAGTTTTTGTTTGCAATAAATCTTTTTCATCTTCTAATTACCATCTTTTTTTAATAATTATTTTATAGAAATATAAATCATAAGAATGATCGATTCTATTAGCTCAGATAAAACAAAGAGAGGAAAAACTGAGCGTAAAATTGCAGACGAAGTTCGCCTTTACTTCTTATCAATAAAAATTGAAATTAGTAACAAACTTTTTTATCTTTATTGAACTTTTATCATACATTCAACATAATTAGTTAATTTTAAATTTCTTTACTGACTCATCTTAAACTCTTTTATATCGCTTTTTTTTTTTTTTTTTTGATTTTAATATGAAAGTTACACTTATCTATAGAAACTAAATTAATACAGATCCAGTCACAAAGTGATGGTCAGCACTTGATAAAGGATATATCATCGGAATCCGCAAAGTGGAGTAAGAATTCCGGAAATTTTATCATTTATTAGGATTGATATGATATGACTTTATCGATTGACTTTATGATATGACCTATCACTCTGATATGATATGTTATTTATTAACATTTCGCTGATTAAATTGTCACATCATTTTACTACATTCCATACAATTGACTGAGTATACTGTAATTAGGTTGATTCATTTTATCCATCGGACAGGTATCAGGTAACATGCTGGTAGCATTCTGGTAGCATTCTGATCTAGGTAAGATTTAACTCTCAGTCATTTTAGATAATGAAGGTAAAATTGTCACATGGAGTGATGTTACAGTAAAGGTACCACTTGGCAAGAAATCATTGCTTCAATGTCTCAAAATCGTTCGAGAAACAACAAAGACAAAAACAATACTTAGCAAAGGTGAAATTAACAATTTTTTTTTTTAGTGCTACGAATTTGAAAGTATTTTTGAAAATTCTGGTTAATATTATGAATTTTTTTTTTAATTCCGTAAAAGGACAATTTTTAATTCTAACAAGAATTAAAATTTCGAACATTTAGAAGTGATCATTAACAAATTGTTTCAAAGTTTTTTTTACAGTTTCTGGTTATGCAGTACCCGGTACCACACTTGCAATTATGGGAAGTAGGTACGATTTTTTTTCATTTCGAAAAATGCAAATTTGAATATAAATTAAATAAAAAAATTTTTAGAAGAAATGAATTGAAAAAAAAAAACAAACAATTATGATACTATGAATGAAAATGATAGTACAGGTGATAATGATTATCATTAAGTATAATTACAGTGGAACAGGTAAAACTGTCCTTTTAAATGCACTTACAATGAATGTATCAAGTGATGTTGATGTAAAAGGTAATTGAAAATATTAATTAACTCAAAGATTTTTTTTTTTTTAAATTTTTTTGGAATGACAGAAAGTTTGAATTTGAAATATTAATAAAATAATTTCTTTAAAAAAAAAAAAAATCAGTCTATCTTGGAGTTATTAAAATTTAATCTTTACTACTTAATCTACTAGTAAAATTTAGTCTTCACAAATTAATAAATTCAAAAGTTTATGTAAGCTTATTCAGAAAATTTAATTTCAATGCCAAAAAAAAAAAGAACTAACAATTCCGGAAATATTCTCTTTTTAGCTATCAAAAACTGCAATTTACTTTTCAGTTCTTTCTGTATATTTATACTTGCAAATGTTTCAAAAAATTAAAATAACAATTAAATTTTAAACTTTAAACGTCAAAAAATTAAGGAAAAATATTGGTTAATGGTGAACAGCTATCACCGACCGATATGCATCGTATATCACGGTATGTACATCAAGATGATATATTCATTGGAACTTTAACTGTGCGGGAACAACTTATTTATTCGGTATTGTTTATTTTCATTCATTCAAATAAAATGAATTTACCGGAATAGGAAATGAAATAATCCTGTATGACCTCTGGTATAACAGTTCACAGTTCAGGAAGAATTTCATCCTAAAATGTGAAATTTAAATATAAGAAAATCGATTAACTTTTATGTTACTTATTACAGAAGACAAAGTTAACTTAAAATGATCTTGTTATATCTGTCCTATTTTGTACGATATTCTTTGAATATATTCACAGTAATTCAGGCTGAACTTCAAATGGGTCACAGTGTATCGAAAGTGGATAGGTTAAATCGAGTAGAAGAAGTACTCAAAGAGGTCAATTGAACTTATTCTCATTAATTGATCAGATCTTCATTGTGTTAGCATCAAAATTAATTTATGCATTTCAAGAATTTCACAAATAAATTTAACGAATGAAGTATTTTTGATGCACTGATAATATTAAGTCAAATTTGATCTGAAATCAATTTGGCCAAGTATCATTATGTTACTTGTGTAACTCTTTTAAACTGTCACCTTGTCAACCAAACATTTGATTAAGTTACTCTTTAATATGTCTTTCTTTAGATCTTAAATTTTTTTTTTTGCAGCTCGGCCTAAAAAGATGTGAAACGACGTTAATCGGTGTTACAAATCGACTTAAAGGCATTTCTTGTGGTGAAAGTAAACGTCTTGCATTTGCATGTGAAGTTAGCTCATTCATTCTTGCACTAATTTACTGTCAACTTAACTTAGAGTTGAAATTTAAAATGATCTAAATTATAAGAATATATTCTTACATATAAATGTAAAGGACGACGAAAAGTTCATTTTGTTGAAATTCAATTATTTGGCTGCAGATGAGCTAAGAGTACGGTAATAGAAGTAATATTGAAATAGTTAGATAATAGTTTCGTCAAAGATAATTTTAGATTCTCACTGATCCACTCATTTTATTTTGCGATGAGCCAACATCTGGTTTGGATTCATTTATGGCAGTACAAGTTGTGCATTGCTTAAAAGTTATGGCCAAAAAAGGAAAGACAATAATTACGACAATTCATCAACCATCCAGTCAAGTATTCAATATGTTTGACAAGTTTGTCAAACAATTTATCAGTTTACTATTTTCTAATGAAAAATTTCAACAAATTTCATAGTTGCATTCTAAAAACTTTAAAAAAAAAAAAAAAAAAAACCTTAAATGTTATTTAAACTTAAACTTTTTATTTAAATAACTATTTACACTGATAACAGGAAAATGCAAAAATATTTAGATTACTTAAGGATTGTAAAATTATGTCACATTTAATCTTTGTCAACTGAATGTGACAAGTTAATCAATTAATAGATCATAAAGTTTAGCACTACAAAATTTCAGTGTATGTTTTATGTCAATGGGCAAAGTTATGTATTTTGGTCCAATTATTGAAGTGTGCAACTTCTTCAAAAAGTTTTGTTCCAACTCTTTCTGTTATCAAACTATCTTATCAGTCCTTTTTTTTAAAGATAACTTTACTACTTCTTATTCTAAAGAGAGGAAAAAAACTGATTAATATTTTTCTTTTGTATTAGCTAAAATCGATATTTATCCAATTTCTGAATGGAGAATAATTATTTTTGAGACAATATCAGTATGTCAAATGACGTGGAAAATTTTTTTTTTTGCTAGTTTAGCATAGGATACGCTTGTCCTGAAACGTATAATCCAGCGGATCATATTATTAAAACGTTGTCCGTCACGCAAGATGAACAGGAAAGCCAAGCGAGACTGGACGTAAGTGCTATTAATGTCATTTAGATAAATTTTAACAAGTTTCAATTTAATTAAGGTTGAATTTATAAAACTAATAAACTGCAAAATTGACGAAGGTAAATTTTTTTTTTTTTATAAAGTTTCTTGTAAATAATTTTTTTTGGACTAATTTTCTTTTTTTGTTTTTTGTTTTCTGAAATGTTAAATGAAAATAAATAACTCTGACTCAGCAAATATACTCTTAAATTTGATATTCATTCAGTTTCAATTTGACTTTAAAACTTTACATACTGCAACTGATCAAGAAATACGTAAAACAATAAAGAATTGCAGAAATACATTTGAGTTAGTTTGAAAAAAATATTTTCACAACAAATTTGTAGAAAATTCGAACTGAATTTGAAAATTCAACTTTTGGTGCGACGTTGTATAGAAAGTCGCATGGTGAAGGACTGTCGCAAGAGATGGTCGGAAATAAAGATTTAAAAACGAGAAAAATGTGAGTTTGTTAATGAGAATATTCTCACTGAATAAGAAAGGCGACAATTATTCCTGAATATTGGTATCTTCCGGTTATCCTGAATATTAGTTCGTCTCGAATATCCTGAACATTATTCCTGAATAATGATCCTTGCATGAATTTCATGTAATAATGGAATTGATAAAAACGATATCTATAACAATAAATTCATTTTTTTAATTATTAAATTTGATCATATTATATCAAAATCAAAAGTTATTTCCTAATGTAACTTTTTAATTGAATTGTTTTTTAATTTAAATACTTCGTTGTTTACATATTTATTAATGCATTAAGCTTTTCAGACTAAGTGCAAAATTTAAGGTACGCAGTTTCATTTTTATCTCAATTCCGAATTCTTGTGAGGCGTTCATTTCTAACAACAATGCGAGATCCATTACTGCTAAAAGTGAAATTCATTCAAGTTATCGTAAGTTTAGTAATTTCAAAAAATTGAAAAAGACACATCCGGGAAACCGGATGAAGGCAAAGTGTGCTAATAATTCAATTCAACATGCATATTTGATATATTCTGAAAGATTGAAACGTTTATGTTTACGTGATCAGAATAAGATGACTTCAAATATATGTTGTAGAAGACTGAAACGTTTATGTTTACGTGATCAGAATAAGTTGACTTCAAATATATGTTGTAGAAGACTGAAACGTTTATGTTTACGTGATCAGAATAAGTTGACTTCAAATATATGTTGTAGAAGACTGAAACGTTTATGTTTACGTCATCAGAATAGGATGAGTTCAAATATATATTGTAAATGACTGAAACGTCAAATATACCTACATCACTTATCATCATTTTTTTTTTTTTTTCACAAAATTTGATTGAGCATTTTTTGAAATCGTTAAAAATTAAAGGTCACTGCATTAGTGATAGGAATGGTAAATTTTCAAACACAATTAACTGGTCCAACAATAATAAATCTAGAAGGTTTACTGTATAATACCGTACGTGACATGAACTTCATTTTCCTCTTTCCATCTGTTAATGTTAGTTTTTTCTATCTTTTTTTTTTCATTTCTACCCAAAAAAAAAAAAAAGTTTCCTACTAGTATTTAATTAATATTTTTGTTGCTATTATTTTTAAATAATTTAAAAATAGCATCAATTTCTACCGTATCCATCTCTGTTCACTTAAACTATTTGTTAGCTTTTATAAGAAAAAAATTATTCATCAAAAAAAAGGAAAATCTCATCACACTTTGAAAACTATGATATTAATTTATAATACAGGTGATCACGTCTGAATTGCCAATATTTTTACGTGAACATTGCTGTTCAAGAATTTATAGCGCTCCTGCTTATTATCTGGCAAAATCAATTGCTGAAGTTATATTTTTTTGAAATTTAAATTTCAACTGCTCAGAAAATTTCAATTCGCAAAAAAAAAAAATTATAGTTTTATTGATTAAAATTGAAATTTTCATAAATTTTAACAATTTCAGCTTCCAGAATATATCATACTTCCATTTTGCTATGCAGCTATTGTCTATTTCATGAGCGGTAAGTGACAAATTTCCATTAAAAAGTTATTTTTTCGAATTAATGAGCTAAGAAAAATTCTTCTATCCTATGAGGGAGAGATTATTTAGGTTTAATATTAATTGTCTTGCAATTATTTGTAATTATAACATTAATTGTCTTGTAATCAAAAATAATAAAATAAACTTTAAAAATCAATGAAAGTAATTTGTCATAATTATAAATTTATAATGATACTATTAGGCTTCATTTCAAAGTTTAATTTCAAATTCATTTTAATTTATAGGACTCTATTTAGCAGTAAAAGCATTTATCATCTATTGCACAATAACTATTGTACTGACAAATTTAGCAATTTCAATTGGTAAATTACTTGTTAAAATTTTCCCATTTTAATGCATTTTGTTTTTACTTTTAAGCACTTTTGAAATTGTGTCTTGAATTGTTTTCAAAAATGAAATTTTTGAATATTTTCAATAAAATTTATAACATTTTTTTATTGTTAGATTTATCATTTAGCACAGTAATTCAAATTTGTTTTTACGAAAACAAAAAAAAAAAAAAAAAAAAGAAACATACCATAATTAATTTCTTTTTCACAGCTAAATTAAAAAAATGCGAATAATCAAATTAATTCATAAATATTTCAAATTCCAAAATTCCATATTTTAAATTTGGAAGCATTTTACTCCAGCGCGACAATTGCGCATCAACTTTTCAGCATATGCTGGTGCTTGTATTTTTGGTGAAGATAGCTTAGCTCTTACCTATATGCCCTGTTTCATTTTGCCAAATTTGGTATTTGGTGGTTTTTACATTAGTTTTCATTCCATTCCTATTTATTATCGATTCATTTCATACATTTCTTGGTTTCGATTTGGTTTTGAAGCATTTCAACTGAATCAATGGCTTAATTACAAAATGATACCTGGTAAACTACCATTAATTAAAAAAAAATTTGAAATGATTATCAGCAAATAAATTCCTTCTTATCTCTTTAAAATTATTTATCAGTTCTGTAGAATTATCTTTCACTTTTTTTTTTGTTTGTTTTTTTGTTTATCTTCCTAATGTTAATATACTAACAAAAATTGTAGTTTAAATTTATTCTTCTTCCTAAATAAATATTTGTTAATTTTTGTAGGTTAATGATAAATTCCCTTCATTTTGTTTTTGTTTTTTATTTTTTCCTAATAATTAGCATTTCAAATGATAAATTAGCATTCTAAATTATTAACTTAACATTTAGATATTTTTGAAATTGTTCATTACTGATTTTAGTTAATGAATTTAAATGTAACTGCAGATATCCTGAAAATCTTTGATTACTTTTCAGGATGTGAAGATGGTGCAACAGAGGTAAATTATTGCCCAGCATTTTCGGGAAAAGGTGTACTGATACGACGAGGAATGAGCACTTCACAGATTGTTATTTTTATCAATTTAATTATTCTATTTGTAATGTTAATTGGTTTTCGAATTATTGGTTTGGTGGCATTATTTCTAAGAGTTCGATTAACTAAATAATTTAATAATTTATCTATCTTACATTGTTCAATTTGCGATTTACATTAAATGAAATAATTAAAATCTTTCGAATTGAATTTTTCGTTTTTTTTTTTTTTTTTTTTTTTTAATGAGAAGTTTTTTATAATATAATAAAATTGGAACATATTAGTAAATTTATACAAATAAAAATTCTAAACAAATTTAAATTCACATAAAGTAAACAAAAAAAAAGTATTATATGAAATATAAAATTTACGTCGAAGCAATCACAGTGAACTTTTCTTGCTTCATCTATCAACAAAAATCTGTGATATTTGTCTCGAAAATTCCTGAGTATTACTTTACATGCTACCTTTAATATAATCATGATAAAAAATTTCAATAAAAGAAAATCAATTATTCATGAATAAGTTAAACAGAATAATTTAACACTTAATTCTGAACTCATTTTTCTAAAATATAAAATTTCTGATTCTGGTCTTCCTTTTTTTTTCCAAGAAAAAAATATTTTTCAGTTTTCTGAAGTAAAAAAGAAAAATTCTCATTTAATTATAAAGAGTTTTTGAAATGCATAATTGTATGGAAACAAGGAGAATTTTCATAAAAATTTTTATTACATGCAAATGACAATATGCAGTAGAAAGATGCATATTAATAAATTTATACAAATATAAAATTCTAAATAAATTTAAATTCACATAAAGTAAACAAAAAAAAAAAGAATATTATATGAAATATAAATATTATTGCAAGTATTTTGTTAATAACATATAAATAGATCATTTTTGGGTAAAAATTTCATTCTTCATTCTTCATAATCGTTGAGGTATTGAATTGGTGGTGGTACTATAAGGTTAATTGGTTTGGTTTACAGTGAATGTTTATAAAATTTAATCATTTTTTTTTTTTTTTTGAAATTATTAATGTGCAATTAAAAATTGGTATATAATAAATGAAAGGAAATTATTGCATCTTTTTATCAATATTTATCTGATAATGAAAATGATAGCAATAATTAATTAAGGTAAGGTATTATGGTTGATAAAACGTTAGCAGATGAACAGTACTACCATGGATTGCTACCACGTGAAGATATTAAAATGATGTTACGTAACAATGGAGAATTTATTGTTCGAACAACGGAACCTGTTCCTGGACAACCACGTGCTTTTGTTATATCCGTTATGGTAGCAGAAGAAAAAGAAGAACTCGGAGTATGAATTTAGATCACTTTTTCTATACTACCTTAGGTATTTGTCTACCTCAGGTGTTTTTTTTTTTTTTGGAACCCTTTAAAAATGTTTCTTAAAAAGTAGAATTGTAAAGACTTTTAATTTAGATTTTTAAATTAATTTAAATCACATTTTATTCCATCTTTAACTTCTTTTAAAATCTATCGTTTCAAATAACACAATTCTCATAATCTAGCAAGAATTATTTGATTGATATATGGAAAAATCAAGTTTCTTACAAATTTCATTTTAAATATTCAAAAGGATTTGAAATATTCTTGCGATAATTTGAACATAAAATAATTGTTAGATAGAGCGATAAGTGATATTAAGTTTAAATTAATCAATTTTTTTTTTTGTTTGATTAAAATTTCATTTTGATGGAAATTAACTAATCAATTTTAAGTTTATTTTGTTATTTTTAATACCACAAAAATTTTTATTTAAAAATTGATATAATAAAGTAAGAAAAAAAAATTTTTTTTTAAATTTAGATTAAACATTATGTAATACAACGTACACCAAATGGTAAATACACAATTGAGAAATATGGTTTTGATAGTGTGCCTGAAATGATAAATTTTCATCTAAATAAACATGAAAGTTTGGTAAAAAATGCTGAAGTATTCCTGACAACACCTATACTTCGTCAAACCTGGGAATTACATCATGAAGATGTTGAGCCGACAAAGAAATTAGGCGAAGGAGCTTTTGGTGAGGTACATCTGGGACGTTTACGACTTCGAAATGGTCGTAAAGTTGATGTTGCTATTAAACTGGTAAACTGATTTTTTTTTTCACTTTATGAAATTATCTTCTAACTGATAATATTGTAGCTTTTTTTTTTTTTTTTTATTTTTAATATTTGTTAGATAGAAATTATCACACATGGTAATCTTATTATACTATCACTTAATGATAATTTGCTATTTTAATTAGCTATTTTAATCCATTTTAATCAGTAAATAAATTTCTATTTAAATTAATGATAATTTTCTATTTTAATTAGTTATTTTAATTAATGATAATTTTTTATTTTAATTAGCTATTTTAATCTACTTTAATTAGTGAATAAATTTCTATTTTAATCTATTTTAATTAATGATAATTTTATATTTTAATTAGCTATTTTAATCTATTTTAATTAGTAAATAAATTTCTATTTTAATCTATTTTAATTAATGATAATTTTCTATTTTAATTAGTACTTTTCTATTTTGTAGGCTAAGCTAGAAGCGCTTACAAAAGAGCAAATTAAGGAAATTATGAAAGAAGCTCGTTTGCATAGAACATTTGATCATCCAAATGTATGCAAATGTTATGGAGTAGCTGCTGGCCAGGAACCATTAATGATTGTTATGGAATTGGTTAGTTTAAAAATTGATAAATTTTATCTTCATTAAATTTCAAAAAAAAAATAATAATAATTAAACCAATTTTGAATTTAAAATCATGAAAATGTTAGGTTTTAAATATTTAACAGATTCTGAAATTTTTTTCATTATAATAAAGCAAAATTGAACATTTTTTACATTTAATTTAAATTTATAAAAACAAAATTTTTATATCTGATTATTAAATTAGTAATTTATTTTAGGCAAATAAAGGAGCATTAGATTCTTATTTACAAAAAAATCATGTTTCTGTAGAGCAAAAAATGGATATGTGCTTAGGTGCATCATGGGGACTTGAATATCTTCATGCTAAACCTGTTTTGCATCGTGATATTGCTGCACGAAATTGTCTCTTTGGTGATAATAAGGTATTTGAAATTAATTTTAACAAATTAAAAAATAGAGTACAACTTTTTTTTTTTTTATAAAATATAAAATTTTATTCTTAGTTTATGAAAAAATATAACAAAATACAGAGTAAATATTTGACTAACTTTCAAATTTGTTAAGCTAATTTTGCATTAAAAAAATTAATATTATATTAGAGATTGTTACAATAGAATGATAAAATGTTTTATTTTTATTAATTTAAAAAAAAAAATAATAATAATTAAAATTAATAAATATTCTAGAGTTATTAATTGTAGATAAAAATAAGTGATTTTGGATTAACACGTGAAGGTACTGTATATCAAATGGATCCTCGAAAACGTGTACCAATTAGATGGCTTGCACCGGAAACATTACGTACAGCTATGTATACCCAAAAAACGGATGTATTCAGTTATGGCATTATGTGTTGGGAAATTTTTGCAAATGGTCAGGAACCGTATCCTGGTTTTACTGTAGCTGAGGTTAACGTTCGGGTACTACTTTTTTCATTATTCAATTCTTTTTGGTTTTTTTGGTTTTTTTTTTTTTTTTCACAAATATTACTTAATGAATAGTAATGAAGAATAAATAATAAATGAATTCTGAAATAGAAATAAATCAAAGAAATGATTTTATGATAATCTTATTGAAATTATGATATTTAGTATTAAGATATTTGAAAAGAAAAATTTTTTTAGGTTAAAGAAGGTTATCGAATGCCATTACCTGAATGTGTACCAGCACAAATGCGTCGTCTTATAGAAGTTAAATGTTGGTCAGATAATCCAAATGATCGATGGTCAATGGCTGAAATTTCGAAAAATCTTCAACGAATCACAGGCACACCTCGTCCTAACTTTACAATGGTTAGTTTAAAATGAATTAAAAATTTTAAAGATTAAAAGTGCAATTCTTAGCAATTGATTATTAAATGATAAAATAATTTTATTTGTTGTTTTGGAATAGAAAATATTTAAATGTTAAAATGTTAATTATATTTTTTAGATTAGACAAAGTAAAAGAATTGATAGGATGGTAAACTTATAGGATAGATAGTAATAAAGTAAGTCATCACATTCAGAATATTTAATATATCGAAATATTCTAATTTATTAAATTAAATCGAAGTATTCTAATTTTAATTTGATCATATCGAAGTATTCTAATTTATTAAAAAAAAAAAAAGAAAAAAATCATTCTAATTTTTTACTTCTCTTTCACATATCTGTTATTTGATTTAAATTAGAAGCCAAATAGTCTAAAAAATCTTTTCAATTTATATTTGATGGCAATAATCTGATTGTAGTGATAATAGTACTAATAAAATTAGTCTTTGATAATAATTTTAAAGGTAACATTAAGAAGTGAAGGTATGGTGATGCAAATGTTAACCATAATCAAACTGTTAATTAAAATATTTCCTGTTTCTACAAAATCCCATTCCTTATTTTTTAATAGCAACAACCGGATGAACCAGTACAACCAGTGCAACCAGAAGGTGGTGAAAAGAAGAAAAAAAGTATGATGAAGTCGAAAGTAAGGAAAAGTAAGCATAGAAGTGCGAAACACAAAGATTAAAGTATTTCAAGATAAATGATAAAATTTGAAATGAACTTATGTAGTGTATTTGTCTATTGCAAATGCATGCAACCTTTAATTACTGCAAATGCATTAACTGCATGTGATAAAGGTTTGCTGTGCAACTTATAATTAATATATTTAAATAAAATTAAATTATATTTAAAATACAAGAAGAGAGAGAGAGACATATTTCAAATAAAAATTAAAATATATTTAAAATAAAAGGAGAGAGTGAGACATATTTCAAATAAAAATTAAAATATATTTAAAATACAAGGAGATAAAGAAAGACATATTTTAAATAAAAATTAAAATATCTTTAAAATAAAAGGAGAGAGAGACATATTTTAAATAAAAATTAAAATATCTTTAAAATAAAAGGAGAGAGAGAGACACACATAAACATTTCATTACTTAAACATACTCAATAAAAAATATTTTTTGATTTCTTCTCTTTCAATTATTATTTTGAAGTTAGAAAATATACAATGTTACTTTAAAAAATGAAATGTAAGAGTTTATTATTTTTTTTGCTATTAATTTCATTTTATCCTAAAATAAAAACAATTATTATATGTTGGAAGAAAGTTTTAAAGAAAAAAAAAGTAATATTTAATAGAAACATTTAATGAGTAATGTTTAAAAATAATGTTCTAACATTCCATATTATCAAAAAAAAAGTAATTTTTAAATTCCTTTTCTGATTTTCTGATTTTACATTTTGATCACATTTTAAATTCCTTTTCTGATTTCTGATATTATAGCAAATGATTGTCTAAGTATTAGCATCAATCTTATAAAAATTTTGAGTTCCATTCTTGACCATTTGATACATCTAAATATTATTTCAAATTTTGTTACATCATTTATCCATTGATTTAACTTTAAAAAAAAAAAAAAAAAAATGAAACAACAATAATAATTTATGCCCATTTTCGAAATTGGTGGAAATGTCTTTCATTTTTAATTCATTTCAGTTTGTTTCAAGTAGTTTCATTTTTTTTTTTTTTTTGTTTTTACTTTTTGCTTTATTTTGCACCAAATTATGTTAAAATTAATTTGATTACATTAATTTCAAAATATTTTATGCATTGCTAAAATTTGAATGCTAAAAAATTTTCAAAGCTATTAGCATTTCGAGCATTTTCATTAATTCAAATTGATAATAAACAAAATGGAACAAAACACCATTTAGTCTAATTATTTTGCTATTATCTTTTACTTTTTCATTAAAATTAATCTTAACTTTTTCGTCTTGTCTAAGCCCAGTCATTATTAACTTTTTCGCCTTGTCTAAGCCCAGTCATTATTAACTTTTTCGCCTTGTCTAAGCCTAGTCATTATTAACTTTTTCGTCTTGTCTAAGCTCAGTCATTATTAACTTTTTCGCCTTGTCTAAGCTCAGTCATTATTAACTTTTTCGTCTTGTCTAAGCCCAATAATTCTTAACTTTTTCGTCTTGTCTAAGCTCAGTCATTATTAACTTTTTCGTCTTGTCCAAGCCCAATCCCAATTATTTGTCCTTTCTCCCAGAAATACTGACAGTAATGCTATTTTTTCGTTATTAAAAGCCTAGAAATTTCATATAGAATAGCAGCAAAATAATTCAACATTTGACAGCTGCTAACCAATATTATTACTTACTTCCATTACTACTTACTTCTAACTCATATGGCCAAAGACTAGGACATACAATGTGTCCTCTTTCTAGTCATATTTTTCTTCTCTTTATTGTCATCCATAAACTTTTATTTTATATTTACAATGCAAAATAATTATTCATTATGCAAATGATAAATCGTTACACATTTACAATGATAATAACAATAATATAATTAAGAAAATAAGCTAATGCAAATCTATAAAATGTCAACAAAGATACAATACGAGAGAGAGAGAGAAGGAGAGAGGGGGAGAGGGAGAGAGAGAGAGATATTTTTATCTTATCAAAAGTAGTGGACAAAAGTGCTATTTCAGCTTATCATAACAGAATTCAAAATTATACTTTCATTAATACGGAATGATTAGTGAACTGATTGATTTGATACAATTCTCCATTGTTCGATCCATTCAGAGAGACGTTTCAATTGTCTTTCAGTGATCAGTCGTCTCGTTTCATTCCTCTTTTTGTTATCATTTTCACCTTTATAATAAATCTGTCCATGTTTCGTAAGCGGATTTATGAGAATATTTTCCGGTTTCTCTGACTTTTCCGTTTCCGGATTCGATATGACAACCTGTAATTCTGAATGATACCTAAAAACTGGTTGGGACATGAGAAAAGCATAGACAAATGTACTGTGATATTACTACTAAGATTTCCTTCCATTCCAGACTGCAATTGATAATATAGTAATATGTGTTAATGATTGTTAGTGCATTTACTTTAATTCGAGAATTTCAGGTGACAAACAGAAGTTTAGAAGTTGTTGACATTTTTATTTAGTATCAAATTGTGATTTTTTAATGTATGTGCTTTTTGTTTTTGTAGTTATAGATTAGAAATTTTACTCACCTGACCATGTTTCTCAAATTGATTTTGAATTTTTTCTTTATCTAGTACCTTTGGTGAATTTTGATATCTTGATTCATCTGTCATGCCAAGCTCATTTGATGGAGTTGTTTTTTCGGACAAACCTGATGATAATTCCGGTTTCGTATATTTTGATACAATGTAATTTTTTCCTGATCGACCTGGTAATCCAGGTTTTCCAGTAGCTCCTAAAAATTTCTTTGATTTCTATGTAGATATGAAGTTTGCTATAAAATGAGAAAATATTCCATGATATACCAGGAGCTCCACATTCTCCCATTGGACCAGGTAAACCAGGTAGACCAGGTTGTCCATTTTTTCCAGGAATTCCTGGTAATCCAGGACGGCCAGTTTTGCCTGGCATACCAGTGTTTCCTGGTAGTCCTGGTGGTCCAGGAGGGCATAATATGCAATCTTCTTCATCACTAATGTCATCCAGGAAAAATCCCGGTATTCCTGGCTTACCATCTACACCATTTTCACCGTTTTCTGAAAATTATATACTTTGAGTATTGAAATTAATATTTAAATTAAATCCAGATATTATCAGTGGAAATGAAAAGGATGAAAAAAAAACAAATCCATTTTTAAGCTTCATTTCCATTCAATGCTCTGCTCGCATTTCTTTATAAAATCTTGCCTCCATCAACACCTGGTTCGCCAGGTGGTCCTCTTGGTCCTTCTGGACATCGAATCATTTCCTTAGCACAATCTTTAATTAATGAAAATGTATTCCACATTATTAATTTATATATATATATAATGATACTTAATAATCAATTTTCTTATATTCCCTTCCATTCCTTTTAGATTTATAATTGTCAAAGATATTAAATATTGCAAATTCTAACTATCAATTTTCTATTCATCTTCTAATGATGCCAAACAAATCAATATTTAAATCCTTCAGATGGATATATTTGTAATTGAGCTATTCTTGAACTATTTTCATCATAATTAAATCAATTAATGAAATATCATCTGATGCTGATTAGTTGTGAGAAAACTTACTGCATCGTTCAGCTTTAAAATAATTTGATCTTCGCATCCTGCTGAAAGGCATTTTGCTTTGAAAGTTCATCATATCATTCCAAGTACCATTCACATCATACTGCAATGCAAATACATGTCAAATTTGCTCGATGTGATGTTTTATGATATGATATGATAAGGTGAGCATTTCGTTGTGATATGATATGATGCGGTAAGCACTTCAATATGATATGATATGATATGATATGATATAATGTGATGTGTTATGATATGGTATATGTCAGACTTGCAGCCAAGAACTGATTCTCAACAACTCAATGAATAGATGAAAAACATGAATTTCAATTAGGTTTATTATTAAGTAAAATTTTACTTTAAAAAGCATTAAATTAATTAATTATTTAAGCCATTCAATGTTTGTTTTTGCTTTTTTTTTTTTTTTTTTTTTTGCATAAAATCAAATGAAATCTTTACTCTCTAGTAATTTTTACTAAACAATAGATGGAATACCTTAAAATGTTCCATTTCCTTGAATATGAATTCATACAGATTGTCTACATCATCCTTTATCAAAGTAATTAATAACCAGTTAATCGACAGAAGTACTGTACAAAGTATTTCAAATGTTATTAAAATACTTCCCATAGGTAATCTAAGATTAATAAATTGTATCGCATCAAAATTCGAAGATAGTTCTATCTAAAAATTACTGCAAGAAAATTAACATTAAAATTATTACAAAACCCATCAATTCATAACTATGCTAATAAGAAGATCAGAATCAATTCTATTACTGATTTATTTGATAAATAAAATTAATTTAAAATATTGTAGCATATGATTATGTTTACCAAATATAAAAATAGATAACAAATTGAATAAATAAATAATGCTTCGAATAGATATTGTTAAATGAAGAGAAGAGAAGGTGACAGTAATTTGACAGTTAGAATGGTTGACACGACACGATTTGAATCGTTTTGGATATATCAATTGAGATACTTGTCATCAATTTAATATTCAATTTGTAATAATTTTATTTCTCATTAAAAATGTAAATAATACATAAATGAGATATATTTATGTTCCAAAATTCCTCATTTTCACAAATAATGCCTGCTTTTACATTCTCTTCCTTTTTCTTCTCTTCCATCAGCATAAAACAAGTTTAATTTTACATTTTTGAAATGGAATGGAATTCTTGTGTTATAAACATACCTCCTTTTCAGCGAATAATAATAATAATAGTAATAATAATAATAATAGTAATAATAATAATAATCAGCAATAATGATAATAATAATAACAAGTAACAATAACAATGATAATAATCAATAATAATAATGATAATAATAATAATACCACTCAAACTTCCTTACTTTCTTCATCCTTACATTGTTTACATTCTATGTTTACGGCATTACATTTTCAAAACATCCTTCCTTTCTTTTTTTTTAACTACAAATATTTTCATCATTTATTTCCTACATTTCTACATCAATCACATTTCTCATTTTCATCTTTCAAACAAGTGAATGCCATTAGAATCTTCACATTTTCAATTTTATTATTATCACTGTACACCATCATTTGTTAGTTATTTTCTCATAAATTTATCCTTCTCCAATAATTTGATCTCTGATTCTACAAAAATCTTTTGTATTATTTTGACATGTCACCGCTTTTCAATGCTATCTTTAACTCTTGTACATTTCCAACATTTTGAGATTGAACTATTCAAGTTCATTTAATTGTTCAAAAAAAAAAAAAATCATTATCACAAGTAAGTAAATCATCCATAATTGTATTATTATGGATGATTTACTTATTTTACTTACGATTTACTTACTATCACAAGTAAGTAAATTCATCCATAATAAAGTAAATCATCTACAAATTGTATTTTCAAAAAATATCATTCATACTTTTTGAAGAATAACTTTAAAATATAACCGTGAACTTTATTTTTTTTTTAATACACCAATTTTGCATCACAAATATTGGTATACTGTCATATCTGTTTCACATTGAAGGAGCTATAGTCGAATGGTAAACGCCAAATAAAAGCGTAAAAACGTGAAAACGTAAAGTTGTAAAAAAAGTGAGGTAAAGCAAATTTAGCGTAACAGCTAATAGCGATAGTTAAATGATAACATAGTATCATTTCAAGAATGTTTGTTATATGATAAATTTACTACCTGAAGAATCGTCACTTTTTGACAAAGGACAATTTCAAACAACAGGTAAGTCTTTTTTTTTTTAAAAAAAAAGATGAACCATAGAAATAATGCAAAAACGATGTTTCTTCCTTCTGATAAAGTAATATATTTTCCACATAAAAATGAATAATGAATGCAACATTAGATTAGCATAATAATTTAGAATTTGGCATAAACTCTTTTCTAAGCTTTATCTGATTCCAAACAAAATTTTTTACCATTTAAAATTCTTCCCTTCTTTTTTTTTTTTTTTTTTCAAATATAATTTTAGAAAATAATGAGATTAAGCTTAAAGTATCATCATCTAATTTGCATAGAAGTGGATAATTTCTCTGTTTCTTAGGATTAATTATACTTGAAAGAATAAAAGTATCAGTTGAATGCATAATTTCTAAACAATAAATGTTCTTTCCTAAATTTTAAAAATAAATTTTAATTGCTTTACATAAAAAATAGCAAAATTAGGCAGTTCATTCATCAAAAAATGAGGTATAAAATGAGCACATCAAAACAAAAAAAAAAAAAAAAAGAGAGATATAAGTCAATAAAGTGTATGTTTAACAGAAAACAATAATTAATATAAAAATTAATTTTGATTTATACGACACAAACATTCCAAAACAAATAATTAGATTTAACTTCAAAACATTCTTTTTTGCATCACTTACAATTGAAAATGGTCAGATATCTGATCTGATCTAATCTGATCTGATTTGATCTACTCATGAAACATATATCATCCCTTAGTGAAATAAGCTATTGTGTATTTATTCCTCTTCTAATCAGAATTTAGCTGTCCGATTGCTACTCGGTTCAAGAAGCTAAGCGAAGAAACATTTTTCACCAGAAATTTTGCTAAATTAAACTTTAAAAGGGTCAAAGATCAACAGCTGTAATTTCTTATTGAATTACAGTGAATTTAAATGAAATTATATTTAAACATATTGAATTAAGGACAAAATTAATAGAACAAATGCATGGAATTTCAATGTTATCTTATTAAGAATTTAGTCGACTGAACACTCACTGTAAAATTTACATTCAAATATGACTATGGTACTATACTTTTCGAATGATCAGGTAAACTTTATAATACCTTTTGAGAAATATAGGATTAAATTTGAAAATCTTTGAAAAAAATTTATAAAAAACAATGAAGTAGAAATATAGTGTCCAAAAGGAATTAAATATGGTGGTTGCAGAGTTTCGAATTAAAGCTAAAATTTCAATAGTAAATCTGCAATTCTGCAAATTATTTGTTGGTCATTAAAGTGAACATAATATTGCAGAGGTCATCATAATGCAGAGGTCATAATTAAGGATCACATTAATTTGTAATTAATGAATTCTTCTCAAGGATTGCTTGGTCCAACAACAGAAGTCGATGATTCTTTATTAAGTGCTGTATGCTCGGTTAATTCAATGTGATCAATTTTTGAAATAATCTGCAAAATAATTCCATTTTGTATTTTCCATAATTAATTGTAATTTACTAATTTTAATCAAATATGGTAAATACATTCACAAAAAGAAATTTTTGAAAATTTTTTGAAAAAATATAAAATGAAATTACTACAATATAACTAAAATCATAGACAGAAAATTTCTTTTACAAAAATTTACCCTTGTAGTGAAATCATAGTCCTCAGGTGGTTCAATGAATTCGCCATCCGAATAGAATTCCTTCTCATGAATACGATTGAAACAATTCAGTCGTAATATAAGTCCTCAAAAGAAAAAAAGAAAAAGATACCTTAGAAAAAGAAAAACAATTTGAAAAATTAAATTCAAAAAAAAAAAAAAAAAAAAGAGATTACCGGTGACAGCTCCACCAATAATCGAGACTACTAGGACAATAGCAAGTGCTGCAAGTTGATAACCAGCTTGGACAAATATTTCACGACCTTCATCATTACTATTCATTGCTGGATAGATATGTGTCACATTGCTACAATTGTATAAATTAACATTTTAAACATTTCACTTTTAATTACTTTAATTTAACAAAAAAAAAACCCTCATCCATGCTAATTATTTTCTATTTTGTTTTAGCACTTTTTTTACACTAAAGAATGTCATCTAACTGTTAAATATTCAATTTATGAATTAATCAACATTTATTAATTGCCTAAATCAACATAATTAGAATTCAGATAATTATAAACAAGAAAAATAACAAAATAACCCAGTTCCATAACGAGTTGGTTCATATACAGCCGTAAAAATGAAACCAAGAATACCAGCCAAAATGCCTAAAATAGTAATAAATTTATCAATATTTAATCACTTTCTTTAAAATATTTCAAATCAAATTTTTCTTCTTTTTGTTTTTTAATTCTGATATTTTATGAAGAAAATTTAAAACGTTGTAATATTTAATCAAAATTAACTATTACCTGGCAATCCATGAATTGAGCCAACACCACGTGTATCATGAAGTCCAAAAACTCGAACTCCAATTGGCTAAAATTAAAATGAAATTATTTTTCCATCATACATACATACATACATCTATTGAAATTATATTTGGTATATAAACAAACCCTAATGTAATGATTTCCAAGAACCGAGACTAAAGCGCCCAAGCAACCAATGAGAAGAGCATAAAATGGTTCCAAAATAATATTCGCTACAGTACCAATAGCAATGCCACCAGCAAGAACCGAATTTGATATATGTATCATCGAGAAACGATACTGAAAAATTTTTGTTGTAAAAATGTTGAACACACACGCACACAAATTAGCATAACACTGTAAATATTTTAGGCAAATTTAGCTATTTTGAAAAAAATAAAAAATAAAGTGTAATATCTTAGAACCTTATGTTCATGATCAAGAAGTTGACTAATTAGAAAAGTGCAAATGGTGGAAGAGCAAAGTGCTAAATAGGTATTCAGAATAGCACGATGTCGAGAATCTTCGGGAATTGCTAGAGCCGAATTGAATGATGGAAAAAATGCCCAAAGAAATAAGGTGCCTGAAAAAAAAAGAAAAGAAAAGAAAGAAAAAAAGGATGAAGTGTATAGAAATAAATGTTAATAAATTTTTAAAAAGAAATTTTAAATATAGAAATTAGATCAATTTTAATAATAATTTTTCAATTTTTTCTAAATATAGAAATTAGATCAATTTTAATAATAATTTTTCAATTTTTTCTAAATATAGAAATTAGATCAATTTTAATAATAATTTTTCAATTTTTTCTAAATATAGAAATTAGATCGATTTTAATAATAATTTTTCAATTTTTCATTCTTATATTTAAATATGTTATCAAAAATTAGTTTAAGCATTCATTTTCATTTTAAGCTAATAAATTAGTAACCACCAGAAAAGACTATAACAGACCAATAAGAGCAAAAATATTGGAATTGTAGCTAGAACCCTCATGTTGATGAGCAATCATTTCTTTCTTGTTGATCACTTTTGCAACAGCCAAACCAAAATATGCTCCAAAGCAATGAATTACCATGGAACGACCAATATCGATTACCTATACAAATCTTTTTTTACTTTACTATAAGCAAAGTAAAAGATAATTGTATTTACTTAACGTTAAAGTTAAACTAATAATAATATCTTTTGTAATAAACAAAATAACATTCAAAATAGATCAAAAACTTTGAGTAAAAATATTTTAAATATTTGTTTATCTGAGAGAGAGAGAGAAAAAAAAAAAAAAAACCTTAAGGTAACGTAAGATGACATGTTCAACAGCAACTGCTATTGGTACTTCGATAGCAGACATCACCATATACTGCACTGGGGTAAGTTTACCCAAAACAGCACCCATTGTGATCAAAACGGTAATAGCAACAAAATCAGCAGTAATCAGGCTAAATTTAATTTTCCATTTTTAAAAAAAAAAGTAAAAAATGAAGTAGTATTTTGTTAATTCTTTCATTTCAATTTTGTTACGAATTGTAAATTCAAATAGTAATGATTGTGAAGTGAATAAATTAATTTAATAAAAATATTAATTATACTCAAGGATGGAAATTGCAAAACGTCCATTGTTGGCGAATTCATGTGAGAAGAAACCGCGCACAATAAGCGCCCATTGAATAGCATGAGAGGTCAACAAAAGGTTAATCGAAAGAGCAGCCAAGCCGTAACGTCGTAAGAAAACCATTATAAATCCCATACCAACCAATGTCATCAAATGAACATCTTGGAATACTAAAATATTTCAAAAAATTTTTTTTAAAACATTTCAAAAAAAAAAAAAATAGTAATTAGCTCATTAAGCTCATCTAATTAAATGAGGAAACACAATTTTGCATTTGAACAATTTCAATTTTTATCAAATTATAAAATTAGAATAATTTTTATTTCACATTTAAAATTAGAAAAATAAAATATTTGACATTTAAAATTAGAAAAATAAAATATTTCACATTAAAAAAAATAAAACAAACATGGATAATTAGTGTTAATGAAGTTTGTACTGGTAGTGCCACCAGGCATCGCATTATTTGAATATTGTCCAAACAAAGCAAAAAGGATGAGAAATAAGACCTGAAAGTTTTTTGATTTATTTTTTCATTCAGTTTTCTTTTTTATAGAATTTTAAAGAATGTAATTTTTTAATTTCAAAATTATTTTATTTAAACATATAAAATTATTTCTTTTAACATTCACAGAATTGAGGTTATATTAGCAACATTAGCAATTGGTAGATATGAGATGATTGATTGATTGATTGATTGATTTAAAATGAAAAAGTATCAATTTTTTTTTTTATAAATTAATGTTCTCTATGTTTACATAGATGAATCATCCATTTCATGTGACATCTGTCATGTAATTAATCTGCTAATTAAATCAAATTAATTTCACCATACATTGAATTAACGTTGCTTACGTGTTTTAGTTACACGTTAGCACGTTAGATTCAAAATTATACATATTTATGAGAAGAAATAATTAATATGGGAGAAATGAAGAAAAGTAGATGAAATCATAACGATAGTAATTTTTATCTGAAATTAAATTTCCAAAAACTATAATAATGATGATCATCCTACCTTTGAAATAATTTAAATTCTAGAAATTTGATATTTTGGATAAATCTTTTTAGAAAAATATGGTTAAACGCAAAAGAAAAGAGAAAAAGATTAAAATTAAATGAGCATAAAGAGAGTATGGGAAGACTTTTGCCCAAAAATTCCATTAGTGTGGGTTAAAGATGATCTGTATCGTTCATGGGTGGTATGAATATATTTATACAATGACAAATTCGTTTAAAAAAATAAATTTAAAAAAAAAAAAAAAAGAAATTCTGCTAGATTTTTCAATAGATTACTAGTAATATTCGATTTATTCATCAATACTCCTAGATATTCAGGAATCTCGACTCTCAGGTCTAGGAATCTCGACTCCCAGGTATTCACTAGAACATACCGAATAATCTTGACAGTTGTTTTTTCAAAAGAGATTTCATCCGGATTTCATTAGTACATAAATTTCTGTATACAAATTAAACTATCCTTAAGCAGATGTAAAGTGTTTGAAGAGTTTTGTTTATTTGGAAGTGTGCATGAGAATTAGGAAGGATACGTGAATTTAACGTAACGGAAAATAGCAAACATATGTAAAAGCTTGTTTATTGTTTATTCTATCTGTTTTTCAAAGTCTTCGATGTGAATTACAAATGAAAGACTTCTCCAGGAAGAGAACAATTTTTTCCATCTCTTCAAAATTCATTTCAAAATTCATTTTTAAGATGAAAGAAGAAGCAATGTGAAGAGATTAAAATAAATTACTTAAAGCAACAAAATCAATCAAATTGTTGCGATAATCAATGAACTATTGAAATATTTGTAGTCATTATGACAAAGATATTCTAATAAAGAACTACAAACAAATAAGATTGAAATTTGAAAAAAGAAATTGAAAACAGTGATACAATCATCGATTAATTGAAGTGTAAACAACTGCAATTCAAAACATCCGTCCAAGTTGCTTTCATGAAAAATAAAGTTTTAAATCATTCCTGGTACTTGTAAACTAATAATGTCATTTAAAATAAAATCTTTTTTTTATTATTCCATATTTAATTATTGTTAGCTTAGCCTTTTGTATCACTCTCTTGCTTGTTATTAGGTTCTTTTGAGGTAATAAATTCTATAATGACCAATAAAATTAATTTAATTAAGCCTTATATGTCTTTTCTCCCACTGAACAAAATAAATAATCTCGAGATATTTGTAAATAATTGGCACTTCAAATGAATTAAAATTAAAACAATCATAATTTCAAAAAAAAAAAAAATGCTGAGGCAGCACAAACACTTTGATTTAAATTATAAATGGAAATTTCAAGCAATTTATTCATTAAAGCCCTAAAATTTACAAAATTTAATAAATAAAATTAATGATTGGCATACCTGGAAGAAGATCGCAAAAATAGTAAATTGCTTTCGATGAAACATTGAAGCCATTTCCGATTGACTGCAATTAAAACACAGATTTTTTTTTTTTTTTTTGCTTTATTGAAATTACTTTTTTTATCAACAAACAACAATAACAACAATAGCAATTAATATCAACAAAAACAACTCTTCATATCCTGTAAATTTTTTACAAGTACTACTAATTCTCTTAATGCATGTAAATAAGCTAAGAGCTAATTAAGTAAACAAAATAAATAAGAAATAATTTTTTGCATCAAAGGACTTTTTTTTTGTCTTTGACAGAATTTGTCATGAAACTAGCAAAAAGGTTATCAATTGCGCTAAATTTCTCTACATTACAAAAGATGATGATGATGATGATATGTCATTTTGGTGACAAATAAGAGTAAATTTTTTTTTTATTTTGGTGACAAATACGAGTAAAATTTTAAAAAAAAAAAAATTTTTTTTTTATTTTGGTAACAAATAAGAGTAAAAATTTGCAATTGTTTATGTTGAAATAAATTTTTATGTCTTTCTCAAATATTTATTTGTTTCATTTCATTGTCATTTGAATGATATAAAATATTGATGATCTCAGGAAGGAGGATTAAATGAAAAAAAAAAAAAAAAAAGAAATGAAAAAGGTGACAATTTTTGTCCACTTCAATGAAAAATTATGAAACAACTAGATTCTTGCTTTAGTTTGGAAAAAGATTCTAACGACAACATATCACCACCAGCACCAGTACCACCACCACCAGCATCATCACCAGTTCTTTCCCTCAGGTTTTAATTTAAACCGGAATAATGCTTATGAAATAGTAATGAACAACATCGTATCTATCACAAATAAAATCACAACCATTTATGACGCAAATAAAAATATTTGGATATTTGGATTATGCTAAAAATAGCTTCTTTAATTCATTTGAAGTTTTTTTTTTTTTTTTTTTTTTCTAAAATTTTAAAAATGTTTGAATGAAATTTTATGAAGATAAATGGAATCAAATCATATACGATATGACATTATATACATATATTTATAAATTATTACCATTGGTAATTATCGTAGAAATAGCTAAAATCATTCAAGCGGAAGCTAACAATCAGTAAAATGCAGAGAAACTTGCGATTAAAAAAAAAAATTCTAAATTAATTTTTTTTTTTTAATTTTTTTTCCAATCAATTTATGTTTTAAACATTATATTATTACCTGAAGATGAATGATTATACAATTTTGGCATTTCGGTTTTAATCAATGATTTTTAGTTAAAATCAATATTCCACAGTAATAGGAACAAATATACAATAGAAAGTGAAAAGATTATCTTAAATTTAATTTCTGTTTTATTTATTTTAAATTCACTTCTTCTCCTTAATGCTTTTTTAATGTTCTCAAATTTAAGTGCGATAGAAATTATTCGTTAAAATTTTACATAATGAAATTTATTAACTCATTGTCATAATTTATCATTGTACTAATCGACATATTAATCATTTTACTATCTCAGTAATACTTAAATATTAACCTTTCATTTTCGAAATGAGATCAAGCATCAAACATCATAATTCTAATTAATTTTATAAGCTAGCAATAGCAACGATGAATTTCAATAATCATTTTCATTCACCACAATAGCTGGCTATTTAAGTAAGAAGAAAGAATTTGATTCAAATTTTTTAATGACACCTGTCTGTGACATCCTCAATTATCTCATCCTTTTTTTTAAAAAAATACATTCCCTATAAACTAACACCTACAATGATTAGTAACGTCGATAAAATGCATTTACTTTTAAATTAGCTGATAGCATTCATCATGAAAAGCTTCTATGAACCATCATTCTCTTCTACCATTCTCAAATTTACTTAACTTTCAAAACAAAAAAAAAAAAAAAAAAAGGAAATGGATAGATAATGAAGAAAAATACAAACCATTAACTAACAAAGATAAAATTTAATAATTTCATTTAATACACGGATTTCATCAACAACTAACATTGCAATATGCTACTAACAGATTATTTTATTTATTTGATTTGATTTAAACTTATTTGCGCTATTCTTTTTCCTTTCCTTTTTTTTTCTTTGTTATTGTTGCTAAAATAAGTTTATTAAATGAGCGCATAGATTGAAATTCAATTTGATAATATTTGAGAAACTTAAATTGAATTACCTTTTACGAAGTTGCATCTTACTATTGCTACTATCATTGAGATTTGCCATAGAAATATTCTGATGGATGATGATGATGATGATGATACTGCTGGATAGTGATGAAGATGAGATGAATTGTTAGATAATTAGATGATAAGTTGCTGAAGAATGTTTCAAATATAAATTGAATTGAATCAACCCATCAAACACACACATACACACACACACACACACACACACATACATACACATACACATACATACCAACAATTTCAGTAAAATATATAAACATAGCAGAGTTACTCTGTCATAGATAGAAAACAAGAAATTGTCAACTACTTGAGAACTCTCTCTCTAACGATCTAATAATGATAGTAATAAACAGTGTATGATAGTTTATGACATTCATTTGATGCCCTCATTGAAGAAAGAAATGTTACCTTTTAAGATGTAACATAAGCAGGTTAGAAATATAAATATAAATACATCCAATTATTATATACATTCATTCATTTATACTTTTATATTAAATTAAAATTTATTTTTTTTTAAAATTAAAATTTAGAAAAGAAGAAAATTTGAGAGATTAATGTCATTTAAAATTTTCACCAAAAAAAAAAAAAAAAAAAGCAAACTACAATCAAAATTATAATAGAAAGATTTAATGATTGAAATTGAAATTAACATATCAATGGATTGAATTTAAATTTGTATTTTGTTTGTTGTTGTTTCAAATTAGAATTTAATTAAAGCAAAATATTATCTTGCAATTAATTAAAAATGACTTCGAGTTGTTGAATATAAAATGAAAAAAGATTAGAGTTAGAAAATTAATGTTGGAATGAGGGAAGGAGCAAATTATTGAGAAATGGACACAAGGGAGAACAATTAGCATCACTGACCAACCAAACCAGCATTGGTCATCGGTCAACATCACTAACATTCTGGAATGAGGTTAGACAGATATTTGTAGTGGTAGTACTGGTCACTCATCCCTTTCTGTATAATAAGCAAATCAACGGTCATTTCTGCTGCCCATCATCTATTTACCATCTTTTTCTCTCTATCTCTCTTTGCCCTTTGTAAGCATTAATACCGTTATTTTGATATGTACGCATGTCTGTCCATCTCTTCTCCTTTGTCAATTTGAATGACCAATATGAATTTTTGTAGTCTAACTAACTTTTGAAATGCTCTATCATTCTTCATTGCTTTCTTTATTGGTCGAAAGGCTTTTTGTCCTTTTACAATTAATTCTCAATCCACTCTAGGAACAGAATACTGAGAGGACAACAGAGAAAGATATAATCCTTTCGAGCAATTAATCGATATTTAGCTGAGGACATAAGCCAGGCTGAATCTCGATTCCATAGTGACCTGACACATCTAATTGAGTGACCAAACAACAATTCTTCTTCTCACTTCGGCTTCAGACAGAAATGTTTCCAGGTGATAATTAGCGCATGATTTGTTTGAGGGACCAATCGTAAATGCTAAGAGGTACATACCTACCTGTAAATAGCCATTAAAATAAGGGAAGTATATAATATCTCCTCTTAACCATCCATCCATCCGTCCATCGCTATTAAATCAATTTTTCAATTTGATAAAAGCATCAGCTTTGCACTCTTCTTTTTCCATTCATCCATAAAAGTTTGTAGAAATTTCTACCTTTAATTAGTATTCCTGTCAACTCTATCTCATTTATCAGAAATTGTCATAACGATTCATTTCATATTTTCATTCATTCCACAAATGTAATATGCAATTTATCGGATTGATAATTAGACTGTCAATCGAAAAATTCTGATCTATTAGAGAAATGAAAAATCGTATGGATGGTGGTCAATACACAGACACACTGTCGATTAAAATAAAATTTTGAAGTGGAATGGAAAGGTAATGAAATGTTATGGAAGTCTTAATGTCCATTATCATCATAAATTTATGGCAAATGTAATTATTCATTTTCAAGACAAATCACATTAAGCAAATTAAAATGAAACCTCAAGTGAATTACAAATAGCCAATCTCGACTAAAAATGATGCAAAATGAGTCTAAGATTTGAGAGATAAAGAAATTTAATTTTCAGTTAACAAATATTTATTCTGCATTAGATTCTGATAACTCTTCAGAATAGCATTTGAAATGAGAGTGATAAAACAATTGAAACTATCAAACTGTGAGACACGAAAGCTAGGATTATCGATGGTTTTCGAATAAAACTCTAATTGGATCACTTGTAAGAAGATAAAACAGGTAAAGCAGGTAAGATATATTTCTAGCATAAGATAAACTTTATATCTGCTATCCTGGCGATAAACGAAAATGAAGTATGTAGTAAAATGGATTTAACCACTTAAATTCAGAATATTTGAAAGTTCCATCTGTCTGATTCGGCTAACAATTTTTATGGACTTTTAACCGGTTTCCATCACCGGAATACAACGATGATAACCTATCAGTGCATATATTTTAATTATTGTCATATGTGCAAATGAAATTGAGTTTCACACAAAAATAAATTTACAGAATCAAAACAGCTCTGCTGAAGATTTAAAAGTATTCAAAACCGGATTTATCACTTAAATAAATTCTCTTATTGAATTCATCAAGTATGGATGGATAATCGATCTTATCTATTAATTCTGAAGATTATCATTTAAGTGATAAGATCATAGTTTCTAAAATTGAAAATAATAAACAACATTTTCGGTTTTTGTTAATCTCAGCACATTCTTCGTATTTTTAAAGAAAAAAAAAAAAGACGCCAACCGACATCCAACACTTTGAAATAATTCTAAAATCGTCACAACTGCTATGCTATCAGAATATTATTTTAAGTATAATCACGATAACAACAACTAATAAATATTAAAACTGTTTTCCGCTAATTTACATTCCGGTTTGTAGCTAAATTCTGAAATTTGATCAATTGAAGTGTACTTATTTTTTAAGTAAATGCATTTTAAGGATGGAACTCTTCATTGGAACAGAAATAATGTTAAATATTCTTCAAATTGAATTGTGCAAACATTTCGATTCCTCTGTTTCTAAATAAACAAAAAAAAAAAATAAAAAATACACTGCAAATAATATTAAGAGATCAAAATGTAATCAATGGTTCAAAATTTGTTCGAGAACAGTAAAAAAAAAAAAAAAAATCAAAAAAGCTTAATCGTTATGGATCGGTGACAGTGACAGAACTTATGGATGATGACATTATGACAAGATATGACAGATGTGACCTGTAAAACTTGAAGTGCTTCCAACCATGCAATTGTAATATCATTTAAGTGGATGAAGTGGTTTTGCTGATTGAAAATTAATTCGAAATTGAAAGAAATAATGACAAGTGCGCTTAATTTTAATCATCAAATGTCAACTGCCTACATTTCTGAGTACAAATATCCATGGTATGGTATACCATAAACGATAATATAACAATAACATTACGACATTTTTAAAAATTATCATCAAATAACTATTATAAAAAATTAATTTTTCTATTGGATACAATTAGAATATTACACCGATTATGACATCCAATAGAATTTGTGTCCAGTAATTAACTTTAATTTTAAAAAGTGGTAAAAAAAAAGAAAAAAAAAAAAAAGAAAGAAAGAAATGTCACCAAAATTGTCACTTCTGTTGATCAATTTTTGTTCCTCTGAAACAAAGCAATGCTAGCTAATAATCTTCTCTAATAATGTCAACGATAAAAATGATTGCTACAGTGATCAGATCTATAATCATTTATCAATAACATTAGTGTTAATTTATTTATGCAAGAATTAGTTATCATAATTTTATTATTATCAAAATAATAATTCTTTTCAACAGTTATAAAATGTATCATATATTAGCACCATATGAGAAAATTAAAATTTGTAATGAAATATACACACATCGATAGTAAGGAAATGTAAATTTCATTGTAGAGTAAACAGTTGAATATATTGACGGTAACTTATATGATGATGAGGCTTGCCGACACAAATGCCCTTGGGTAAACAACCCTAAATTATTGGAAATTCTCAACAAGCAATATCCGCCCATATATAATCACTCGAAAATGCATTCATCTTTTCAATTGTCCATTATTTATTTCACCTGAGGATGTCATTCATACTTTACATTCAAATGTAACACTCAATATATGATGAAAGAATTCCGTTACGAATATTACGGTGGATTAAATTACAAAGCATTTTGGGGAAAATAAATAATCCAAAATTAAGTAACCAAAATCTTTGATAATTTAATGAGTAATCTGATCTGTTATCTAAAATAGCATACAATTTAAGCTATTTTAGCCTTTTGATAACAAATTAAACATAAACAACAAAGTTAAACAAAACACTTTGATAATTAGCTTATTAAATGGGGGTCGGGGTCGGGGGTCGGGGGTGGGGGTTTGGAAGGCTTTAAATTTTTGTTTGAAACAAAATGAAAGATGAATTAGCAAAAAGAATAATTGGAAATAATGAAAAAAAAAAAAAAAAAAAATGAAACTGAAAAGCGCTAAAAATAAAAAGAGCAAAATTTGAATATATTAGCGACAAAAACGCTCGACGATATTTGGACGAAATGTGCTCATTCGGCGGATTAAAATGAAAAACATTTCTATCAATTAGTTAATGCTACCAATTTGACTATTAAAATAATATCCAATCAGTGGAACAGAATAACATTTTTGCAATATATATTAAATTTAAAAAGAAAAAAAAAAAAAGAAAAATCAATTTTGCAAAAACATTCTAGAAAGATTTACACAACTGACTTTATTGATTATCGATTAGTCCAATGATCTGAGAGATTGAAGTTGTTATGAAAATCTTGCATAAAGATAGGATTTCAGAAGAAGTTTACGAAACATTGCTAATTACTTAAATTACGTTTAAATGTAAAATTCTTGCAAAAATTACAAATTTATAAAAAAAAAAAAACTGTAAATAATTCACATATTGTTGATGATAAATTGTTTTTATGGCAGTAATTGAAAGATATCAAAATCTTAAAGTTAAATGCCTCATTTAATGTAGACTGAAGCTTATCTTATGATATGATAAAAAAAAATTTTATCAAAAGGAAAATAAATAAACAAATTTAATATGAAGGTAGAATTGCGCAGATTAGAAATGATTGAAATAAGGACATTTGTGGTTGAATGGTATGAAGTGGTTAAGAGGAGACACATAATTATGTCAATTAAAAATAAATTTCATAGTTTATTAAATTTTTTGAAAATTTATATTTTATGTGTAAAAATTTTACCAAAATAAAATTTAAAAAAAGAAAAAAATTTGCAAAATTTTCTGTAAAACATACATTAATGCATAGAAATAATCAACAAATTGTAATTAATATCTTTGATATTTGAAACCATATTAAATTACTCATAATGTATACACGAAAATTAAATTATTTAACACCAATTTATGCTCTATTTAGTAAATTTTCAATATACAAACATTTACTTCATACAATTGACCTTTGACCCCTTCAGAAACTTCAGAAATGAATTTGATTGCTTTTTCCATGAGTTTAATTAAATGCAGCGAAGCTGATGATGGAAGAAAACTTTTTATTACTATTATTTTTTTCAAAGTAATTAAATTATTTACCATTATGGATGAATATTTGATTGAAAAAAAAAGAAAAAGAAAAAAAAACTCAGTCATTCATTAATAAATTTCATTAAAAAGCCAAAAAAAAAAATACAATTAAGTTTAATTTTTAAAAAGCGCTCAATATGTTCCATTTTTGAATTAAAATCAATTAATTCATAACCTTTGCAAAAAAAAAAAAAAAAAAAAAAATATGTATTCAATATGCAAATTATGGCAGAAAAAATTGGATGTAAAAGTTAAAAGGAAGGATAAAAGAGAAAAACTTTTAGTTTTTGTTTATTATTTAAAGTAATTCTAAATAAATGAATATTTTCCTTTTGATAAAATACACTGCGAGAGCAAAAAAAGAAATTAATAAATAAATAAAATTACTTTTAATTATGACATTTAGTTATTACAGCTATGAAAAAAAAAAAAAAAGAAAATTAATCTGAAAACAAAAAAAAAAAAAAAAAGGAAGCAAAATAATTTAGGCTAACATCAATATTACACAATTTTAACAGCTAAGCGTTAAAAATTAAGCCATCTGGTAAAAATGAATTAATTGTACCATCGAACAAATCCAATCATTGTTGCAAGCATCAAAGATAAATTATTTAGAAATGAATCGCTCAAATTTCATTTACATTCCCTTCTTTCTTATTTCGGCACACTAATTTGTCATTTCTTACTTCAAAATTTCAATTTGCTAAATAGCCAATTAGAAAATTGCGCATTGTTTAAAGTAATGCGCGTGTATGTGTGTATGTATGTATGTATTTGTTTGTTTGTTTATGTGTGTATGTATGTATGTGTGTGTGTGTGTGTGTGTATGTTTGTGTACGTTACGTAGCTACATCTATGTGTATGTATGCATGTCTGTACGTGTGTGTGTGTGTGTACGGATTTGTTGAAAAATGAAGAATTAAACAAAGAGCACTAAATCATATTACATTTATTTCATTTTTAACGCATTACACTTTTTTTTTTGCTTTCAATATGGCAAATTGATAGACCAACAAAAAAAAAAAAAAAAAAAAAAATTAAATCTTTTTGCTACAATGATTTATGTTTGTTTACTTTCTCTTTCATTTCAATGAGGGATCTTTAAATTTCTAAATCATTTAAGTTTTAATATTTATTTCTAATCAATAATAGAAAAAAAAATTTATATAGTTTTTTTTTTTTTTTGCAATATTAGCTTATTATTAGCAAAAACTCAAACAGTTTTACATAAATGTTAGCTGAAGTAAGCGTAAATTCTTTTTTGATACTTTTTAGTTGCACAGTAGAAAAAATTTAAATTTAACAGTTTAAAGAAATAAAGAAATTAGCTACTCAATTAACATTTAATTGCAAAATTAAATGAAAGATAATTTGGTAAATTTTTTTTTGATAATTCTAAATTACTCGAAATTAACTGATTGTTAATAAAATTATTAGCAACTTCTAATTGAATTATTTTTGTATATTAATTGATTTAAACTACTGAAATTTCAATTTTGCCATTCATATTTATGTTTAAGCTTTTTTTATTATCAACAACTATCACACTACAATTGTTAAATTAACAACAAAAAAAAAATGATGCAATATTTTGAAAAAGGCTTTATAGCCGGCAAAAATTCTCGGTATTGTTTTAAATTAATTTTAAATAACATAGAGTTATTAGTGATTTTATGCAAGGAAAGAAAGGAAAAGATGAAAATAAAATATTATTGGTATGTCAGTGCGGATAGTAACTAAAACTTTCAGTAGAATTGTACTTTCTCTTTAATTACTATTAAAGAAAAGAATATTGTTAAATCTTTAAGAGACAACCATTTATCAGTGTCACTTTTGTGATAAGACTATTTGCGCTAACGACTTATCACTATTCTTACCACCGTAAATTATTATCACAATTGTTCCATTAACAGTATTATTACATTTTAACAGCATAAAACAAACACTAAATTACTTTCAAATTAAAATTTAACCTTAAGTTCTCATATGATATTATTTCTACCGTTTAAAGAGTAACTGTTACTAATCATTCATTAGTCTAAGTTAAAATTTACTAGTAAGCAGTGTTAATAACAGTAAAACTAGGCAAAGTTATGCTTTCAGTATTAGTATAATTGAAATACCAAATTGAAAAAAATACTAATCTTATACATATTTACTGTTTCCACACAATAAAAGGTAATTCAGGCACATTCCAAATGCGCAACTGACCTACTTAGCATAAGCATCACCATATTAGCATATTGCGCCTTATTGTCAAAACAGGTATCATTAAAGATTAAAATTAAACTGCAGTACTAATTTCAACCACACTTAGCTAGCGGGATGTTATAAAAAAAATTATAAAAAGAAATTTTTGTTTTTTCAATTATTTCATTTCTTTTTATTCAGAATAAAAAAATAATATGTGTTTTATATGTAAAATATGCAATACATATAATATATATAATATTTCATATGTATGACACATCTATTAATTTTTAAAATTTAAAAAATTCAAATTAAAATAATAATATACACTAAATAATATTATTGTTTTAACTATAAATTGTGACAAGACAGATTATTATATAACTGATTACGTTATTTGTAACCCAGTTAAGTAATAATTCGATTAAATTATAAATGTTAAGCAGCAGATGCATTTTAAGCATTGTTTATTTTTAGAGCAATTTTAATTAAAATAGAAAAAGACTAAACTTGAGAAACTTTGACAATTTCGTTAAATGAGAAATGACCGTGTTAATCATTGAGGATAAAATTTAAATTCAAAACTATTATCTTTAACTTTTTATGAGCAGTAAAGTAGTGCCTTAATTCAAATTCAAAATCAAATGGTAGATAACTCGATGGAATCACCACAAATAACTTTGATATGTGTATTTCATCAGAAATGATTGTACTGCCTTATTGATACTAATTTCATTTCACTTTCTTAAGGTAAACTTTTTACTTCGTACAATTCCAATATATTTCTTATCTATTTCTTCACTTTTCTAAGTAAGATTAAGTGAAAAAATTGTCATTTAAATTCCAAAAAAAAATTTTAATTTCGGAAAATTTTTTCGACTTAATCTAACTTTTCCAAGGAAGAGAAATAGATTAGAATAGAGATATTGATAGTTATTGTTATCATATTTGTGCTACAAATAAGTAATTTCACTTACAATTAAATATCTGATAGCCTTCCTAGACTATTAGCAAAGTCAAGAATAACTTTTGAGATAAAATTGATTGATTAATTAATAAATTTGTACCTTTATGGTTAAATATACAAAGACAATGTGTTAATGGATAAGTGATATAGGCATTGATAGTTGTTGTTGCCAATACTTAAGTACTTGGCTGTTTATTAACATAAATTAGCTGATATCAACCAATCATTTGCTTATCAATTATGATCAGAAATCAATACCGCATTGTCGTGTTATATTCATTGTTTGATATTGTTGATAAAGAACAGTTGAAGGAGCGAAACGATGCAGAAATAAAAAGACAATATAAAGTAGACCAATACCAAGAAGGTCACCAACGGATGTTAAAACCGGTACCGAACTATTGTCTGGATCCATCCGGAACCACCACAATCCATAAACTGTCACTTGACATAAGTAAAATAATAGAAAACCCTAAAAATTTGCAAAAAGATGAATTTATCCATGCATATAATTGATTAAAACAAATCATTTAGAAATAATCATTATGACTGAATTTTTGTTCAAATTGAAATTATATCAAAATCAATTATTGCCACTTCTGAGTAGATCTCTCTGTGTTAACAGTTTTATCACAGTTTTATCAGTCAATCATCTACTACAAACCTAAAAAGCAAACATAGTTCAAAGTTCAAAGAGAAATTATTACTTGCACAAGAGCAGCCATAACGTATGATCCAACAAAAATCCAACTAAAGTTAACATTTTTTGCTGTAAAAATAACCACAACGACAAAGAGAAAATTGTATGGAATCGCTGTTACTATTAGCAAAATTGCCACTTTTGAATCCAAATCTGAAATTTATGAAAACCTGCTAAACTAATGTTATTATTATTATTATTATTATTATTATTATTATTATTATTATTATTATTACTATTACTATTGCTATTTATTCTATTTATTCTATTACTATTAATTGCTAATGCAAAAGCAATTGAAATTTTTGTGTTATTCCTCAATATTTTTGGCTTTTTCCTTTCTCCTTTTCTTTTAAATTTCGTACTACTTATTTTAAATAAATCCAATTGTTTTTTTTTTTTTTTATTTCGATTTCAAAACTAATTGTAAGCATTGACACAAGCCATAAATTAATAAAGCATTAAATTTTTGAACGGAAAAGACGAAAATCATGGAAAAGAAAACTAAGTTATGCAAGTTATCTTAGCAATGATCAATTAAGAGTAATTAAAAGTAATGATTAATTAAGAGTAATGATCAATTAAGAGTAATGATCAATTAAGAGTTAATGCCACAAGAAGCTATTAAACAAATTAATATCAATCGTAATTTTATGATTATCATCGTTTCACACTCCAAGTAATTAAGAATAGTGAGAAAATTCGATGAGTGAGGTAACTATTCGACTGATTAGCAGTCAAAAAAATTGTCTGACAGTGTCATATGGCAAAAAATTGTTTATTTTGAAGTTTGAAATACATAAATTTTATCGATTGGGTAAGAAAAATGGATTTGATAGGATATTTACTAATAATATTATCAAAAATTAAAAAAAAAAAAATGAATTCTAAAGAATTCTCAAAATTTGTTTTCCATCAAAAAGTCTGAAACAGCGTTTGATTGTTTCAGGATTTAAATTCCGGTGAAATCATTCATTACGTCAGACAAGTGTACCTTACATGTTATGATGAATCAGGTCCAAATATTGGTCACTAGGATATACCAAATTATTCAATTTTGAACATTTATAACTTGAAATATGACTTTGTCTAATTTCATATTCATCTAATCTTTTTCAGTAGATGTTAAAATATTTTCAACTGATTTACTAGTGAGCAAATAATTTCAATACACAAATATTTTTATTATTTCTTATAATTTTACTTTAATTAATAGCGATATGCTTGAGCTTTTAGTTTTTATCATTTAAAATTCACAGTATTTTTTTACACTAATCTCAAAAAGTAATTGAAATTTTCAATTTTAAATTATAATAACTAGACATATATACATTTTACTACAATGCAAAAGGAGTATATATTTAAAAAAAAAAAAAAAAAAATTGTTAAGATCAGACAATATTTCAAATATTTTGTTAATCAATTAAAATGAATTTATCATAGATGCTCTTCATCTTGTTTTTATTTTTGTTTTTTAAGTCCATTTTCCTTCTCTATTTTAAAAATAAAACTTTTTAATGAAAAAAAAAATATCAGTAATTGTATCGCTAATTTTTAATTCATAATATTTATGCCAAAGAAATTTTATAATTCTCTCTCTCTATGCTATTTTATACTTTGAATATTTACCAAACTTTTTATATAAACAAGTTTATTTTAGAGATGAAAATGCTAACGCTTACGGCGTAAACATAAAAAACGTAATGGATTTAAAAAAGTCCATATAGTTGTACCAGCCGGAAGTTTACCGAGTGAATATTCCGATAAATGTAATGCTGTAGCAAGACGACTGGATTGTACACTTACACGATTACCAGCAAGTCCTATAAATTTTAAACAGGTAGCAATTTTTTTTTTTTTTTTAATTAATCAAAGGTATGTGTTTTTGTCAAAGATATATGCTTAATTTTATTATGAACTGATGTTTAACTTTTTTTTTTTTTTTTTTTTTTTGCTAAAATTTATAAATTTCAAATGAGAAAAAAAGTTTTTTATTTTTTTGCATTGAAAAAAAAATTTCTATATGATTTTAAAAATGCACCTGTAATAAGTGGATGAAGTGCAGCAATACCTGGAAAAACAACAATTGCTGACTGAAGTAGTAAGCCGCTACAGCTGAAATCTGAAATATGATGAACTACTGGCACTTTTGAAATTTGTCACATCTAGCAAATTCTCAGAAGATAGTGATAATTTTTAAAAGTTTGAGTTTAAGAGTTTTTAAACAAATCACACTTAAAGCAAGAATTGAAATTTTTTCATAAAAAAAAAGCAAAACAAAACAAAAAATTTTGTAATGATAAGAAATATAAAAATTATAATTGATTAAATGAAAATTTATTAACTATTATTGATGATAACATTTCAAATTTCTTTTTAGTATATTTAGAATAATTTTTTTTTTTAATTTTAATTTGATAATTACTATTAACTTTTTTTTTTTTTTGACACAAACACTAACCATCCGACAATAATAGCTGCTGTGACAGCAAACCAACCATCCCTTAGAATAGACCTTGTCCGAGGTTCTTTTGCAGCATAGTAAGCAAGAAATGGTGTTGTGCAGAATAAACAAATCAATAGTACAATATTGAAAATGTATAATTTATGAATGTATATATGAACTACTAACATTCCTATACCAATCTGAAAAGTTACCTGGAAATTACTCTGACAATTTAATACTTTAATAGCCAGGTAAATTAAATGTTCTAATGGCTAGCACTTATCTACTTTATAAATCATTTGAATTAATTTTAAGCAGTATAATAAAAAAATATAAATATAAAGTATTATAAAAAATATAAATATAAAGTATTAGAAAAAATATAAATATAAAGTATTATAAAAAAAATATAAATATTAAGTATTATAAAAAATATAAATATAAAGTATTATAAAAAATATAAATATTAAGTATTATAAAAAATATAAATATTAAGTATTATAAAAAATATAAATATTAAGTATTATAAAAAATACAAATATTAAGCAAAATCAAAAACAAAAACATAAATATTAAGCAACATAAAAAAAAAAAAGTTACAAGAATAATCTATTAAAAAATGAAGAAATAATAAAAGAAGCAAATTTCATTAAGCTTTAGATCAATTCTCACCTTTTTTTTTCTTTTTTTTCAAAATAATTGCTTACCCAATTACTTCATTACTAGCACTCATTTAAAGAATGTATAATTGATTTTAACACTTAAAAACTAATTTAAAAAAAAAAGCAACTTGTTTCAGATCATAAAAATGATAAAGATTGAAAGAATTTTCAATTAAAATTTAATCAAATCTAAACTAAATTAGAAATTATTAACTATACAAAGTGTTTTTTTTTTTTTTGTTATGTTTAATTAAAAATTTACAAGCATAATTAATGTGATAAAATCGCTAAAAGTTGCGATAAGTGGCGCAGCGATATTATCAGGATCGATGCCATATCGGCGAGATGAAACAACAATAGCTATCATTACAAAGCCAACAACAAAAGATGATAACGATGCTGTATAAATACCACTTGAAAGTATCACTGTTATATGAGAGTGCTTAAACTAAAATGATTAATTAATGATAATTTAGCATATCTAAATGATTTGTATAAATTGAAACAATAAAGAAATTATCAACGTTTCAAATAATACCTTTAAGTGCTAAATAATTTTTTGATAAGAAAAATTTTGTTGTAATATTTTCAGTAAGCTAATTTAAGATAAATTTTAATAAAATAAACTTTCATTTTTTTTTTTAAAAAAAAAAAAAATGAAAGAAAACTTTTTCTTATTCTGAATTACATAAATTTTTTTTTCTGTACTTCGTCATGATACTGTTAATTTAATTATAATTAATACTGTTAATAATTATAATTACTGTTAATTATAATTAATTTGTTAACAATTTAGAATGATACAATATAAATGATATAACTGATAAAAAATGATAAGCATACATCACAATTAATTAAGCTAATTGCACTGCTTAATAAAGCTGCAAAAAATGATAAAACAATTGCTTGCATCTCAATAAGACATAAATTAAATCGAGCAATAAAAAAAATTTCGCCTGCATTATTCGTTTGACCTGCATTACTCTAAAATTACAAAATTAATATTATTATTACTTTTTCTAATTTGAGACAAAATTTTAGGAAAAAAAAAAAATTCATTTTTGGTTGTTTTTTTTTTTTTTTTTTTTCCTTTTCTTATTTTCTATTATAAATGAATTTATTTGATTTAATAAATAAATGTTAGTGCTATTGGTAATTTACAATATCAAAAAAAAAAAATATTCGTATCAAAAATGATCTAAATCACAGACCAAAGTGCAAAATCGTGATGCATAGGTTACTTCAAGATTGCCTTTTAGGCCAAGTAAAGCTGGTACCAGAATAAATGCCTCAGGTACATATAAAAAAAACCACCAATGTTGTGCTCGTTCAAAAAATAGCCCAATGCAAATCTGTCCTAGTCCAGCAATAAAGAATGGTAATAATGTCTGAAAATTTTTTTTTTTTTATTTTATTATTTATTATTTTCTCAACAAATATTAGATAATTTTCAAAAAAATCGAAGTAAATATTATTACATTTACCATCTTTTCCTAATAAAATACTGTGATACAGCTTTCAAATCGTAACCTCTGACCTCTGTAATGATCGTAATCACCGTAGATGCCAGCCAATCTGTATGGAAAGGCAAATTTCAGAATACTTGGATCATCCTTTTTTACTATAAAAATATGATGACATACTTGTTTTAAAACGCTGATCAATATTGTCTTCTCTCTTCCACCATCTAAACATTGAAATTAATTAAAACAAATATAAGAATATATACAATAAATAATAAATAAATAAAATAAAATAAATAAAAAATAAATAAATAAAATTTTTATGATTGAAACTTTCTATATAATTAATTTTTCATTATACTAATATTGAAATTCTAATTACATCTCATTCAGCTTATTTTTACATCATCAATAGAATTAGAAATACTTCGATATTAAAGAATTAAAATGTTTCTTGTGAAATATTTCAAAATTTTTAAAACATTGAGTGATTTCTTGAGGTTGATCTGATGTAGAAACTATTGATTGCGAGAGTACTGATTCTGATCGTCGTATTTTCGCCATTGCAATTTCTTTTTCTTTTCTTTTTTCTTTTTCTTTTTTTTTTTTTTTTCACTGAAATATTGAAAAACATTTAAAGACAAAATGTTGACGGATGTTTTCATTAATTTTTTCATTGTACCTTAAATAAAAGTGTAAGAAATTAATTGCAAATTTACTCTGAAACAAAATTAGAAATTATTACAGAGATTAATAAATAATCAACCGAACTAACAAATCAAAAAATGAATTAATTATTGTATAAAAATTATTTTTAAAGATTAATTGTTCATGATATTTGCATATATTTGTGCATTAAAAAGTTTTTCCTTCATGTTTTCATCTATTAACTTTTTCCTGAACTGAACTCTTTCAGGAAAAAAAAAGGAATTAAGAAGGAATAATGCTTTGATTGATTACAAATAACAGTAAGTTACAATTCTTTTGTTTATCATTCATAGATTTTAAATTGCTTTATAATCGATCATTGTTTTCCTATTTTTTTATCATCACAAACTTTATGCTTCTATCTGAATTGATAATTTTGTTATCAGTTGTCTGTTTGTTATCATTCTTTCTTTTTTTATTATCACGTCACTACGAATTATATCGGATATAAAATATAAGATTGTGAATAATAAGGTTATCTTTTTCTTTTTATAAAAGAGAGAGAAATTTAAAAGTGAACTGAAAAGCAAATATTTTAAAATTGATAAATTTAGCACCTGAAATTAATATTTCAAAGTAATTCCACAAAATTACAAATATTTACACCAATTATTTCAAATCATTCTATTATATTTCCTGCAATTATTTATGACAAAATTGTCGGCAAAATATTGAGGTGAATATTTGGTGACACTAATTTACATGCAGTGAATATTTGGTGACACTAATTTACATGCAGTTAAACTAAAGTAATTCATAAGCGTAATTTAGTGATATTAACTTTAATCAGAGTTTTCTTTCTTTTTCCAGAATTTCTGATCAGTTTTTGCAGAATTAATGTAAGTCATTTAATTATGGAAGTGAAAAATTCTGACATATTAAAATTTTTTGAAATTTTACAAAATTACAAATATTTATTTTATTATTATTAAAAAGTTCTGTGATAGAAAGTGTTATTCTATGAGATTATTGATCATAAAGTTTTAAACATTATTTATTTATAAATAATCCTAAGCTATGAACAAAAAAAAATTCCTATATGATGTGATTTGAAGAGAAAAAAGAGATTTAATTTATTTCAAATTTATAATTTCACTTCCATAAACCATCTGTGATTGCTTACTCTATTTGATTTGTTAATTTGACACCCAATTCAATACCAAATATTTTTATCAATTTTCAAGTAATGACTGCCGTTGATTGTTTATTTCATTTTGTTTACATGTAACTCTTCATGCATGCAGCTGCACTTTTACTGCATCTTGCAAGATGTGTCATCCATCCATCATTCTATGCATAACTGTAGAGCATAAATTGCATGTTATCTCTCTTTTACCTCCACAAACACATTTATTGTCTCTTGATAAATGATTAGCTTCATGTACTACTTCACAATTTCAAATTGAATTTGCATTTTGAATTTAGATAATTGCAATTTATATTTTAAATTTAGATAGTTGCAATTTATATTTTAAATTTAGATAGCTGCAATTTGTATTTTGAATTTAGATAGTTGCAGATATTTTGTTGCTGTTATGCAGATTACTTGCATTCATAAAAGTTAGCTTATTCGAGCTAGCTGGCCTAGGATTAAGAAAAAAGAAAAACACTTTGTTAAAATGATATTGGCCCAGATATCGAGATATACTGGCCAGATAACTCTTGATAACTTTAACTTTTGAATTTCACTGTCATTTTTTAAGTCTCATTTATCATTTACTGAAATAGCATTGAAATATGCATTGCAACTTTAAACAAAATAATTGCAAACAGTTAACAACAATCGATTTTTTTCATTATTTACTTTATTGAATTGTCTATTACTGTATTTTCTTCATTGTTTATTCAAATTGTAAATCATTCATTTCAATTACAAATATTTTATAAAATGAAAAATCCAAATTTTTAGTTTAATTTATCTGAATTAATTTCAATTTCTTCTCCATTCCACTTCTTTTCTACTCATTTCTATGTAAAATTTATATCTAATTAGCATAATTATTATTTAGTCATAGAAATTTGAAATTATTGATTTGTTAGATTTTTTTATGAGAATTGAAATCTTTTTGATAGCAGTAAAAGATCATGATAATATCATAATTATTTATTATAAAATTAATGTCATATCTCCCTGGAACATTTCAACTTATAATTATTTAAGAACAATGATAAGAAGAAAATGCAAATTACTGTTGCAAAATTTTTCATTTGCATTCAAAAACATTCAAATGTTGAAAATTTCAATTCGAGATTAAAAGAAAAAAAAAAAGGAACTTCTTATTAAAAATGTTAAAAAGATTATAGCATTAAAAAAGAAAAAAGAAAAAATGAAATTAAGAATTGAATAATTTAATAATTTAAATTAAACATTTGCTCAAGTATATGCTAATAAATGATTTATAATTAGTAAACAATTTTTTAACATACCATCTCAGATCTATCCTTTCTCTAAAAATTTAAATTACTTTTTGTGCACATTCCCTTAAAATTACAAAAACTTCCTCTAAAGATTGATGCATTCTTTCTGAATAGAAATATTTCAATAAATTATTTCAATTTTTCACACAAAAAATTCAAAAAAACAAATTCTTACCTCTTTTTTCTTTTTTTGATTCTAATTGAAAATTTACATTATGTAACAAAATCATATGACTTAATTTTTACAAAAATTTTTGACGAATATTATTAATGAAAAAATAAATTTTTGTTGTAAAAAAAAAAAATAAATAAATTATTAAGTTTTTTTATACACAAAACAAATAACTTTTTCTTTTTGTGCTTCACAATATTCTGTCGTACTAACAATATAAGTAAAGCCTGCATCTGAACAAATAATATCCAAGTCATTTTCTTTTATGCTTTCTTGAAATGCTTTATGTATTGATCGTTTCGATATGACCGGATCCGTTTCATCCATATTCTAAATAAATCATTTTTATTTATTTATCTAATTTCTCTTCAACAAATTTATTCCATTATTTTGGCAGAAAAAAAAAAAAAAGAAAACTTTACTAAAGTGTTGATTTTCCTCTTTTTTTTTTTTGATTTATTTTTATTGAATTATTAAATTTGTAAGAAAAAAATAACCTTTTTAAGTAATTCCCTGAGCACTAAGCTATTACATTTGTTTTCAGAAATTATTACCACTCCATGAGCACTTCGTTCTGTTATTGATGCTGCTGTTGACGATAATGGTGATACTAAAATTTCTTTATGATTTTTCAATTTTAATTATTATTAAAAAAAAAAAAAAAAAAAAGAACGATCTTTTATAAATAAATAATTAAGTAAACAAATAAATAAATAAACAAATATACATTGTGTACTAGTTAAGCAATCATAAATACATGAAGCTAAGAAAGAAACAAAAAAAGAAAACTTAAATTTTAAAGTATTCGTTCAATCTTTCAGAGAATTAAATATATCAAAGAAAATAATTTCCATAATATTTTATCCTAATAGTAACTTTAAAAAAATAGAAAAATGTTTAAAAAATTTAAACCATACATTGATGAGTAATATCAGGATTCAAAAATGTTGGATCGTTTAATTTTTCAGCTTCATTTTGAATAGATGGAAATTGCTGAATGTCCGATGTATTCTGTATATCTGTTTCAGTTCCTAGCAAATTTTGTGGATTTACAGATGGTGGTGAAGCGCCATGCGCAACTGCTAATCCAGCACTTTGCGCAACATTTCGTACAGAATCATAAATTCCTTTTTGTGTTGGTCCTAAATGAAATTCAAAATGTTCAAATGGAATTCGAAAATTTCTTTTTGCTATGATAAAAGAAATTTTATATTTTAACAATAATATATGCACAAAATATTTTCTTAATTTTATATTTGATATATAAAATTAAACTTAGAATTTTATATTTGATTAGAAATGCAAAAATTTTTTGATATTAAAAAAAAAAAAAAAAAAAATTAGGGTTAAAATGTTAATGATGAATGTTTTCAATTTTTTTTTCTTTTTTTTTTGTACAACTTTTATAATTTGAAACTTACCGAAATTTTGACCTCTAGCAGGAGAAGTATAAGTACCAGCGGCGGTATTTCCAGCACCACAATTACAGCTGGACTGTGGTAAGTAAACAGGATAAGATGGTGGACATAAAGCAATAGGTTGTGGTGGACAAGGTGTTGGTAGGGGACATTGATTACAAATGGGACATATTGGTGGTGGACAAGGAATTGGTGGTGGACAAATTGGCTTAAACATAAAAGTATATAGTAGAAAAATAAAAATGAAACAGTGATAAATTTAAAGAAAAACTAATCTTTGAAATAAATATTGAAAGAAATTTGTGAATGGAAATATTCGAATAATTAATGGAATAAATCGAATTTTTAAATTGATATTAAAAATTAAACTTTAATTTTTTTGAAGTTAAAATTCGATATTAATTAATACAACAAATAAGAATGCTATAAAAAGTTTTCCGAAAATTAAAAAAAAAAAATTTTTTTTTTTTCTTTTTGAAAGAAATTTTTAAATGGAAAAGAAAAAATAACAATGGGATGTTTACAACTAACAAGTGGTGCAGGAGTGGCACATCCACAACTTTGTGGCATTGGTATGCCACATTCACAGCAACAGTTATTACCGGTTCCTAACAGGAATGCCTGTACCGGAACGGAAATTTTCAAAAGTATAACAAATATCAGAATGAGTGTCATTTTACTTTGCAAACAATTTTATATATTTTCGTTCGTCTTCAGCTGAGGATGTTATTGTGCTCTTTGGTTTCACCTAAACATCAAAAAATAATTGTTTCATTTGAATAAAGTTTAGGTATATGTGTTACTAAAGTTATATCTGAATGAATCATATAAGTTTATGCTAAGAAATGAATAATTTTGAAACTGTGAATTTTATTAACAACCAAAAGCTATTAATAGCTAAAATTGCAAATTAACACTTTCAAGTAGTTAATTAATTATTTAAACAAATAATTCAAGAGATATTGTTAGCAATTTAATTAACATTTGCTTACTAATTGTAAGATTTATAAATTAGGATTAAACTTGATTATAAGTTCAACACATCAAGTAAATAAATAAGTTTAAGTTATTATAAGTTAATGAAAATGAAACGTTCATCCTTTAGTTGTGATTAACAATTGTGTAAAATTTGAAGAAGAAGAAGAAGAAAGACAAAGTGGGACAAAATGAAACGAATAATTTTTAAAAAGTGGAGAAAATTGCGAATTTCTATTATTACTCAATTACTGACTCTAATGACTGAAATCAGAAATACATATAGTGTAGAAGAAACAGGTGAAAGTAGAGAGATGAACCGGATAAAAGAGAAAGAGAAATCCGGAAAGTGAAAGAACACTGAATAAGGATAAAATTCTTGAGAATTTCAAAATTTATCTTTCAATCTATCACTATTTCTGTCCTTTTTCATAATCACTATCTCTGGTATTTGTCATTGATGATAATTCAAATCCATTAGTTTTATCAGTCACCTCTTTATGTCATCAATGTCTGAAAATGCAAGGATAATTATCTATCTCTTTCTTCTTCAACGAGAAAAAGAAACGAAAATGTTCAATGACCCAATTTTTTTTTTTTTTTTTTCTTTTTTACCATTCTAATTTTCATCAAAATACTAAGAATTAGCATTGACTAATAGCGCATAACATAACAATTGCGCACATTAATGAATTTTCATTGTTAATTTTATATAAATAACAAATTTTCAAAGGTAAATTTTCTTCTCAACGTTAAAATTCAAACATTCATATTTAAAAATAACAATTGAAGTAATAATTTTTCCTTTCGTATAAGTGTAAATCTTATAATATAAAATATAACTTTTATTATTACAACACTGAAATTCATTGCTTCGAAAGAATTTGAAAGAATTTTTATTTAATTTTTTTTTTTTTTTTAATGGATTAATGTAGTTGATAATGTTTTAGTATTAATTATGAATATTTCAAGAAAATTAAAGATAATCTTTTATCTGTATTCTATTCTAATTCATTGGATATATGATTATTCTTTATTATTTTTCTTTTTTTTTTGCAAATATTTTTGAAAAAATGAGAAATTTTCGAGTAAATAATGAAGAAATTAGATTGGATAATTTCATCAATTTATATTAGATTGACGATAGTTTGAGAGTAAATCGTCATCGTATTGCAGATAGTATTGTCTTCAGAGGATTATTTTTAATGAATTTCAAATCATCAACAATGACTATCAGTTTGTATAAATTTCAAACGATCTTAAGTTTTGGACAATGAAGAGTAAAAGAATTTTTACGGCAATAAAGATAGCATATGTGATAGAGAATTGAAATTCTGTATAACGGAAATATGATTGAAAACCTGAAAACAATGATATTTCATTGTAAACTAGGTCTTCTTATCATGTAACTCTTTCAGGTAACAACGAATATTTTTCCAATTCAATTACGTTTGTAATTTCAAAAGACAATTAAAATTGATCCTATTATCATCAAATCTATAGCTTGTCTTCTATTTTTATTTTTCTCAATCTCACTTTCTTTTCATCATATAAAGATATCTTTCATCTTTATTATGTAAACGGAATTCTTCAACAATCAGAAAATTAGGCCATCAAATTTCCTGTTTTGGATCAGAAAAACAGTTCTAAATAATTTGCAAAGTGAGCAAGTAATAGCAAATTATATATGCACATAAAATAAAATAATTAGTTATAATGATAATAATAATAATGAATAGTAATAATATTAATTACTATTATGATAATAATGACAATTTAATTGTTATTATGATAATAATAATAATAATAATGACAATTTCTAATTTATCGTCTTTATGATTCATCTGATTTTAATGTGTTTTATTTCCTATGTAAATCCCATAAGATGGCATTTGCATAAGATATTAATATATCGTGTGACATTTGCATCACACTTATGTGACGGATGACTAGATGACAACAGCTGATAAATGCTGATAATGATGTTGATAAGAAATGTTGTCATTATTATTCTAAGAAAATGAAATTAATGGTAATATTTGGAACAATTATCATAATCTACTGAATTGAATTAAAAATTAATAGACGGTGTTTCAGATTGTTTGCCTGCCTTAACAATAAGGTAAATATTATTTTGAATCAATTCCGTTTTAGATGTTCCTTTTAGTCCATTCAAAAAATAAACAAACAAATAAACAAACAAAAATTTTAAATGCAGTTATGTTTGTTTTCAAGCATGTATAACAAACACTTCGTAGATGCAACAACGCGGTGTAAATATCCCAGTTCATTTGATGTTTATGAAAAATTCTGAACTGATCTATTCAATAATTTATATGACCATATTAATTAATATATTATCATAATTTAAATTCTTATCATTACAAATAAACGAACTTTTATAAAAATCTCTCTGAAAATTTAAAATAATTTTGATTGTTTTCAAATGGTAAATCAGTAAATACTTAAAAGTTTGCATGTAACGCTGATATTTGGAATAATAATCAATTCGACGATACTTCATATTTCAAAGTTTTCTTTTTTTTTTTTTTAATTAATCACTTTTCCTTGTTTAAATTTAATTTTTATTTAAATTTATGAATATGCAAATGTCAATATGCAAATAAAATAATAACTTTTTTTGATTATACTTCATTACAAGATGTACCGTAATTCATTTGTTTGTATTTTTTTTTTGTAAAGCAAAATAAAAAAAATTCATCACTTTTATAGCAAAGAAAGACAAAGTTACGAGGAAAAAAAAAAATTGTTTTTTGATTTTTTTTAAAAGAAATATTATGATAGTTATCGGATAAAATAAAATTCAAAATTTTTTCATTGGTATTACTATTAACAGAAAGTAATAATAATTGTATTGAAATTTTAATGAGGAAATAATAAAATGAAAACAATTAGTTTTTTTTTTTTTTTTGTTTTTTAAAAAAAAAAAATTAAAACAGTAAAGATTGAAAGGAAGAAGGAAACAAATACTTATCAACGAATCCAGCTATATAACAAAAACGAATAGCTAGAAATAGAGGAAAGAACTGTATTAATGAGAGAGTACATTTCATTAAATCATTCTTGAAATATCAATACATTTTAGCTATTCAAATAATTCTTAAATTTTTATATTCCTCTAAAAAAAAAAAAAAAAAAAAAAAAAATAAAAGAAGCTGCAAATAGCTAATAAAATAATAAAAATCTTTTTTTTTTTTTTAAAAAAAATATTATACTTTGTTAATTATACAAGTTGGAAAATTCTTTAATTAAAATGATCAGTTATTTTATTGGATATTTTGTTCATTTACCTTTGAAAAATTATCAAACACTGTGACTATGTTTGATATATAAGAAATTTTATAATTTAAATTTAATTAAAATAAAAAAAAAAAACAGTGTATCACAAAAATTCAACTTAGTCATTTCTTAATTTATGAAATTTTACAAAAATATTTTTGAAAAAATGAAAAATTTCAAGACTAAAAGAAAAAAAAAAAAATGGAAAAGAATTTTTTACAAAAAAAAAAATGTTTACTTTAAAGTTTAAAGTGGAACTACACAATATCAATGCTTACTTTTTCACTTTTCAAGAATATACTTACTTTTCTTCAAAAAAAAAAAAAAAAGAAATTTTCACACCTAATTGGCTTAATTAACGTACATAAGGAATATAAGCAAACAAAAATGATTCATCGGATCTTTAATTAAACATCAGATAACCATTAATTAAACAAACAAAAATATTTCATTTCTACGATATATTTCAAATCAGTGTTCGAAAATTATCATAGCTTCTAGTCATCATTATAAGTTGCTAATTAATGAAATTTAAAAAATGAAATTGTTTTAAAAACCACTCTCGAGTATTATTACTGTTCATCATTCTATTATTTTCGAACACTGCTTTAACAAATTATTTTTTTTACTTTTTACGAATGTTCAGAAACTATTGAAATGAATGATTAAAACTAAAATAAGCCTAGAAGTATATGTATATGAGGTATAAACAAAATGAGGATTTCATTCTCAATGAGGCTGTATAATCGTTGTAAAAAGAGGAAAAAGTATTAAAAGAATGATAATATATTGCAGATTAGAAAAAAAGATTTAACCAAAATTTGATGACAATAACAATTTCTAGGATAGACAATAAAAGCATATGAAAGAGAGGAGGTAATGCTAATGGAGGAAAATACAATTTATATAAATGATTACTTTACTAACTTAGATAACCTTTACAAAATTTTGTAAATTCTACTGAGGTATGTTTCAGGTATCTAAGTAAGTAAGTAAGTAAATAAGTAACAAATTTATGAGAATATTATTTTAAAGGAAATAATGAACTATTTTCTATTGCTATTGCTTATAAATGAATTAAAATTTGTTGAAATTGCAAAAATTTTTAGATAAGTTTTTTATTAATTTAAAAATTTTCATTTATAAAATTTTTTAAAAATTTAAAAAAAATAATTTTTAATTCATAATCTCCTTTAATATCATATTTCATTATGTAAATTTTTTTTTTTTCTTTGACAAATATATGTGAATTCAGTACTACTGATAAAATGATAGAATAAAATAGAACAGACATCCCAGTTGAAAGACAAGCCTACTTACAAAGCATCAAATAACAAAAAAAAAAAATTTGTTTAAAAAATTTAAAAATTAGCGTTCAGGAATTTAAATCTTGAAATGCTATAAATTGGTACAACAATTTGAAAAATGGGAATGCCAAGAAAGAAACAAAAAAGTGAAGGAAAAAAAAAAAATCTATGCAAAAAAAAAAGTCTATCGATGAAGATTTTTATATTTTATCTAGAATATCTTCATCATAGACAATTTTTGCATAATATTTAGGGATGTATTCTAGTGAGGTAAACAAAAAAAAAAAAAAAAAGAATTTTTTTTTTTTCAATTAGTAAGCAAATAAGCAATACTTATATGATGGAACTATGAAACAAGAAATACCGGTTCAAAAATGAAAACCGGGATTGTGACCCTGTAAACAGGAATATGAAAGTACTGGCAAACTTTAAAAAAAAAAAAAAAATTAAAACAATTTATGTTAAATATGTATGCACAAAATATTGGTTAATTAAATTTTAGACAGCAGTATTTTGCATGAATGAAAGAAAAAAAAAAGAAAAAATGAAATAGCAAAGAGGAGGAGAAAATTAATTTATGCAATGCTTCAAATTGAATTAAAATTAAAATGAAAGCCAAACTAAACTACCATAAAAAATTGAAGTAGAAAAAAAAAAGAAAAAAAAAGAAGAAAAAAGAAGAAAGAGAATGACAAAAACAAAGAGTGAAAAAATGAAACAAATCAGTAAAATATTTCTACTTTTCTATGTCAACCAAATTCTACATACTGCAAACATCGACAAATATGCTTGACATATGACTTGTTTCCGCTTTATTACTGCTTTCCGGAACAATAGCCGTTGGTGTAACTTCCATGGGAATTTTCCACTCTAACTGTCGCATATTGTTCAAGAGTGTTTGGAACAATTGATCGTTCTCCAGAAAAGTTGGAATTTGATTATTTGCTAACGCTTGACTTATGGCTACTTGAGTCAGATCGGTTTGTTGCTGTCGTTGTTGTTGTTGTTGTTGCTGCTGTTGTTGTTGTTGCTGCTGTTGTTGTTGTTGTTGCTGTTGTTGTTGTTGTTGTTGTTGCTGCTGCAGTGTTCTGGATAGAGCACTTTGCGCCGTAAGGTTTGGAGCGATCCCCGTAACTGATGTTGGATTAATGGGTACTGGAACTGCTATCGGTGGATTGGTTGTAACGATGGTATTTGTATTACCATCAGAATGTGTACATGGCGGTGTAACGGAAAGTGCAGGGAGATCACTTTCCGCTGCCGTACTGGTTGTTGTGGTGGTTGGAGTGGTCACTTGTGGTTGAAAAAGAAACTGCAAATGAGGTAATGCGGATGGTGAGGGTCGTTGCTGTGATGATTGACCAAGTTTCAATGAATTAGCAGCTGCAGAACCAGCAAGATAACTGGTCAAAGTACCAGAAGTATTGTTAAAGGAACCAGTTTCCAACATATTTTCTGTAGATGGAGGCTGACCTGGCAGAAATGATACTGCTGGATGCCGCATATTCTGCTGAAGTTGTTTATCTGGAATTTAACTGCTTATAGCAAGATTTAGAGGAAAAAAAAAAGTTGATTTAATATTTTTTTAAAATACACTTTTAACTTTCAAGATCTCAAAGGCTCGAGAATCATTCAATTTTATTATCAAAATCTATTTATAGTATTACAACATAGTTATAAATGCAACGAGTTATAAGTAGTCTAGGTGTGAGTGTTTTTTCTTGTTTCTTTTATTATATTTCAAGTATCAGAAGACAGTCAACAATGTGCTTACATAGAAGTGCATTGAAATTGTGGAAATAAGGTAGCGGACCGGATGCGGCTACTGCTGCGGCAGCATTTAAAGTTGCTGTGATATTTTCTCGTGTTATATTTAGCAGTGTATCTTTCCGCTGCCGTCGTCGTATTTTTATTTGATCTGCCATCAATTTTTGTCTTTCGCTTACCACTTGACACTAGAAATGAAAAATTCCCTGTCTTTGCAATATTATTGGAAAAATATTATATCTTAACAATGAATCCTGAAAAGGGATCTGGAATGAATTCATTGATACCTTTGCGCAATTACAATCACGATATGGACAGATGCGCTTGTGTCCTTTCAGTCGCGATTTCCTTCCATGCTGTCCACATTTTTGACAATTTGGTATACGCTCTAAAAATATTAAATTCGAATTTGAATGTTACACAGTACAAAATTTATTTTTAAAATAATTATTGTATTTTAGAATGCATTATATGCACTAGAGTTTTGTAATAAAATATGAAAATTAGTAAGAAAATTTCATTTTTTATTTTATTGCAACTGCAAAAAAAATGCTTTAACGGAGATTTGATCTTCCATCGTTGAAGTATATTTTATATCTCAATCTTATTTTATTCAGCATTTTGCATAAATAATACATAATTTGTATTATTTAAATTTGCATGAGGTTATCAAATTATTCTTCACGATAATGATATCTTTGAATTCTGTTTTCTTCGCATCTTGAAATTCTTCAACTAATCTTTTCTTCTTTTTCCATTTCTTCTCATCTTCTTTTTCTGACAATCTCTTGCTATAATTTTCAGATTTTCAGTTTGAATCATTAACGGATCCGTCCATAGTTTTTTTTTTTTGTTACACTGTTCAAAATTGAAATTATCTCGCATTACTGACTTCTTCATGTATTATGAATGAAGTATTATCGAAAACGAACTGGAAATTGGCGCACTATCAAGTTGCTGAACGTTTTCCGCACATCGGACAGGTGGCAATGATGCGAAATTTGTTTGCTGTGCTTGACTGATCGAACAGTAGCCCAGTTGTGTTAAATCAAATCCCATTATAATTGTAGTAAGAAGAGTGAAGTAATTAAATGACCACTAAAGTGACCATCACATATAACCAGCATCTTATTATAGACACAATCATAATTTGATTTACCAAATGAAACAGTTTTATGTATTCTATAAATTATCAAGCTCAAAGAATAATCGTCGAATTGTGAATGTCGCCTAGAAGAGAGACAGATGTTGATGAATTGTTGTTGTGAATAAACAAAATATATTGAAATCTATTCCGCGATGAAATAAATGTACGATGAATCAATTTGCAAAAAACATTTACATCCACCTTTTTTTTTTTTTTTAACTGATCCACCTGGAACAAATCTATATTTAAATAACAAGTCATGATAATGTAAGATAACAATGAGGTCCAACTAATTGCCACAAATTAAAATCAGATAGAAAATGACTAGGCGCTAATGACAGTTTGGATCAATGTGTTCATATTGATAAAAAAAAGTAAACATAAGAGTAAGTAAAAAAGTTAGAGGGAAATTAATAATTGTTTAAAAAAAAAATTTACAGACTAAAATGACCAAACAATGATTCATTGATTGTTTCAGTTGCAACTTCAACTGATAATGATAATTGGAAGTAAGAAAGAAGAAAAAAACAAACAAACAAACAAACAACTGAGGGAACAGATAGCGCGCAAAAGAATGTGGACAAATGCTTCATGCGCAAATGGACTAATATTAGTATCAAATAAAAGTGATAGCAGTAGTTAGTGATATTTGCAGGAGAGAGAGAGAGAGGGAGGGAAAGTTTATGGCATAAAAGGAGCTTAAAAAGGACTGAAGTTCAGCAAATCGACAAAAGTAAGAAAAAGAAAGTGTCAATGACAGGGAAGAAGAGAAGGAGAACAAGTGACAAATTTAATTTTCCAAAAAAAAAAAAGATCAAGTTCCTTCTTATGTTGACAATGTTTCCAACATACAACATACATACACACATGCATACACACATACATGAGTAAATAGTAGGAAGTAGTTCTCGAAAAAGTAGCAGAAGTAAACAATAAGTGTAGTAGCAACGATCGTTGTAAATGATGGCAATGATCGGAACACTCAATTCGCTATACAAATTTTGCTAGTTAACAAATGTAAGTAAGGGACGCTAAGGCTAGTTTAGCATAAACAAGTTACAGCCCTGCCCTACCCTGCCCTTCATCCCTTCTGGCATGTTTTTTCTTTTTTGTCTTCTCTTGTTTATTGAAAAAATAAAAAAAAAAAACTCTGCTCAAGTTTCCTTGCAAAGCCTTACACTTATCTTTTTGCTATTGCTTACTTACCCTATTCTGCTCTAACTCTGCCCTATTCTATCCTACTTTAACCCTTTCCTATCCTACCTTACCCTACTTTGTCCATTTTCTTTCATTTTATGCTTATCTTTTTTTCTCCATAAACTATATAATACTAGTTGATACTACTACTACTACTACTATTACAGCTAACATTGCTACTACTATCATTATTACAAATAGTTTTACTATTGCTACTAGAATAAACAAAATTAGCAATTAAAATTTCAATCTTACAAAAATCATAATTCATCTCAAAAATTATGATTGTTTATGCGTAATTATAAAATAAAAAATTCAATAGTGTTAATTGATGAGAACTTAGTTTGGAAATACACGTACGTGATCAATAAACGTAACTGATATATTAGTGATATAAAGTGATTACTGAGTGTTTATTTGAAATTTTAAAATGTAATTTATGTTTCATTCAATCAAAAAAGATTTGGTGTTATAATGAAAGACAAAATGGTAGGAAAAAAAAGAGAAAAAAAAAAGAGAAAATTCTCAAATAACTAAAATGACACTTTTCCTGTTAGCTTTTAAGCAAAGTGTACTTCTTGCAAGCATTAGAAATGGAAATATTTTACTCCACTAATAACATTATATTGAAGAAATTGGCCTATTAAATACTTAGCCAAGTGAGAGAACCAATTTTCTCTTCTCAATCCAATATCATATCACATACATAAATTGCAAATGGCAATAAATTAATGATGAGAAACGATCAATTGTTTTTTTATAAGCCTAAAGATTAGAAAATGAAATTTAGATGATGAGTGTTACTTGAAAGTTTCAATTTGAAATTTAGTGAAAAAAAAAAAAAAAAAAGGAAAGGACAAGAGATTATATTGTTTCCTTGATATATGTCACACTTATTTGCATATAAGAAATTAAAGAATGGAAATGAAGAAATTGAACAAAAATTAAGTTTATATTTTCATTTTACACAATTTATTCTTTCTTTTTTTTTTTTTTTTTCAAAATTGCAAAGGGGAAATTTTTCAAGTGATTTCGATGAACACTGCTGATAGGACGAAACCGGACATCCTGAAATGTTGCAAGCCAGCTGACTGCTATTAGTTGAAAAGTTCTACTACTAAATGCTAACATCGTTTTTGCCATTATGTCTACTACTTTACTATCACCGCCATTGCTATCAAATAATGTTTTTTCTCCAAGTACTTTAAAAAAAAAAAGGAAAAGGAAAAAAAGGAAAAGAAAGAAAAGCAGCTCTCGACTGGATGATAGTTTGTCTGTCGTCTGAAATAGCCTGAATGCAAACAATTTAACCAGATCAGTTAGCTAGATGACGACGATAATGATGAAACTACCTGGCACAAAACGTTGAATATAGCCGCCTGACTGATTAGAGGATGGATTCAGTCTTTTTTTTTTTTTTCTTGTTTACACAAACATTTCCGTTCCGTCATTTATTGGTCCGAAAAATATGCGAAAATACTTTTGAAAGTGAGCATTTGATCGTTGAAGATAACGAGTAGATACCTCTTTTCAGTCGGCTATGTAAAGAAGTGTTGAGGAAAAGTTTTAAAATGAATTAGTATTAGTGAATAAGTTATAGATTCATTTTTAGAGTAGCCAAGAAGATGTAAAGCCAAGCCAAGTTAATAGAATGATAATTGGTCTAATGATTTTGATGATTGATTTGAATTAATTTGAACTATTTATATTAATCTAAAGAAGAAGAGCGTTCGAAAGAGAAATACTGAATGGTAATCATTTTATCAACAAATCAAATGATAATAAATTCTTATTAATGATGAGACAATTCAATATATATGAAATTAACGGAACAGAAAAAAAAAAGTTTTCAACTTGGAAGGAAAATTCTAAAAAAAAAAAAAAAAATTCAAAAATGAACTGAATGAAAAATTTGATTAGTTTATTCATAATTCCAAACTTTAACCAAAAAAAAAATTCAAAAATAAAGTGAATGAAAAATTTGATTAGTTTATTCATAATTCCAAACTTTAACCGAAAAAAAAAATCATAAAAATTTTAAATTTTATTCCAAATAAATTTTAAATTAAACAAATGATGATTGTAGCATATTTTTTTTCCCATTGCAGAAGAGGAAACTTTTGAATTTCAATAGATTTAACAATGCTTTTTCATCGAACTTATGAATAAACAAATAAACTTTTAGTTTTTTCCTCATTCAAACTATAGTTGGAACATTCAGGAAAATTAGCTAAGCTGAAAAGCTATTTTCAAAGAAAAAAAAAAAGAAAAATTCATAGAATGAATTGAAAGAAGTTAGACTTACAATCTATTCAAATAAATATTTTAAACATCGCAACTGCTAAAACAAAAAAAAAAAAAAAAGCCAAAAGCTATGTATTTTTTCTTTTTTTTTTTTTTTAATTTTCCACATGAAGGAAAATGTACACAAACAAATTATTGCTAAAATACAACGGAAAGAGTTATCATTTAGTATTAACATTAGTACTCTTGTTATTCTTATTTTAATTTGTTAAGCAATTTTAAAGCAAATAATTTAATTCACATTTTAGCTGAATAGAAATATGGAATTTTATCATTTTACTGATGCATACAGAATTTTTTTTTCAGGAATTCCGGATAGCAAAACTTTCATTAATAATGTTTTAAAAGTTGTTCGATACTGTTAACAACGATGATATCAAAATATCAGTGTAATTAATAGCATTTGCTCCCATAAAAAAAAAAAGAATTTATGAAATGATAATGATAATAACTTCTGTCAAGTTTCTATTACTTAGAATGATAATGATAAGAATTCAATGTTGATAGTATATTGATAGTAACTGCCGGTAGTAGGATGAGTATCATATCAGAAAGATAATGAATAGATGATAGTATTATCAGTGATACAATATGATTGATATTAAGAACTAATGAATGTTCGCTTAACAACAGTGTAGTTGAATAAATGAATTTAAATTTTTATTTTAAAATTAAAAAAAAAAAATTAGGATTCATTTAAGTAATAAATTAATTCGAAGATACAAATTGGAATTTGGACTATAATGAATTTCAGAATTTAATAATTATTTTTTCAGGCAATGCTAATAAAAAGAAATCATTAACAGAATTGAAACAATGAAAATGATAACAATACACTATCATTTGACATAATGAAATTATGATTGAACGAGAATTTCAGCACTAATTTCCTTTTATATTATTTTATATTTTAATTTTTATTATATAAAAAATATGAATTAATTTATTCAGATTTTTTTTTAATATAATAACAATAAGCTTGTAAAAAGTTCGATGAATAATTTTATAAGTGAATGATAACCAGTTGTATTGTTGAAATAAAATGCACCATTGAAAGAATTTGTAAACAGCCAAAAGAAAAACACCCATTTGGTTTAATTCATATATTTCTTTTTTTTTTTAATTTCGAACTATTTCAGCTCAAAAAAAAAAATCTTTCAAGATGGATACTTGAAAACTAATGGATAAATTTATGTAGAAATATAAGCTTAATTTCATTTTGTTTTTTCTTGATTTTTTTTTTCTTTAGTACAGCAATTTGTTCATAGTTGCTATTCAAATTCATATCGATGATTTGAAAAACTTTAATTTTTGAATTTTGAATTTTTTTAAAAAAAATTTGAATTTAGAAAAAAAAAAGTCCATTTCTATTTTCTGTGACAAATTTTTGTTTACAATTACAAATATGCTACAAATTTAAGAAAAGAAAAGAAAAAAAAAAAAAGTGTCAACCTCCTTTTGATCTAGCTGTCAAACCACAATGATCATCAACACCAACTTCATTTTCTACATCAGCAACATCTTCCAACTCATGCAGTTGAGTATTAAGTACACGTCTTTTTTCAACCAGTATGCATTTGTTACAGGCGCAATTGGCATATACACATTCGCATTTGTGATTCTTACGTGGTTCCAAACGATTATGATTAAGACAACGTTGACAGTAATAGACCCGTTTGGAGCCTAAAGAGCAAATAAACAAAAATGAGAGGTAGAAATTAAAATAAGATAATACTTAACGAATTGATAATGATAATATCAAGAATTCAAAATCAGCATTTTGCAGTAAAAAATAAAAAATAAATAAAAAATTGATAAGAGAAACTCAATACTAATATCATTTAAGTAATGAGTTCTATCAGTTCTTAGTTCAAGATCTCTCATATAAAGGTTGATTAATACTTACTTATCGATTAGACTAAATTTGTGGAAGTTATTTATAGCTAGAAATACATTTATAAATTTTATGCTTTTTTAATTGAGTGTTATATTAGAATGAAATTTCAAAATTCACCAATTTTGTCAACAGCAGCGGCAGCTGCGCTTAGAGCAGCAATTGCATTAATTGTCTCAAATCTAAAACAATGAATTATAAAAGTTTCCTTTAAATGTTTAACATTTAGAATTTGAACAAAATGATAATAATATGATCAGTTGACAAAGTAAAAAAAAAAAACTTAATGTGAGTTAAATCACATAAATTTATTTTTTCATTTCAAACAAAAATGAATTTTTTCTTTAGCAATAAAATTGGCAATGTATGCTTCGAATTTTTGAAAGTTAATTTTAACTTCATTTAAAAAAAAAAATACAAATTTAAATTGAATTTTTAAAAAGCAAATTGAAATTTCAAATAACCTCATCATTATTACAGACAATAACTGAGATCAATGTTATTAGCAAAAAAAGCCAAAAATTGCTTTTTGTGAGGTAAATAAACAAATTGAGCTTCCGCGAATCGTAATGATCTGCAATAAAGCATAAATATATTATCGTATCGATTATTTTCAAGCAATCAACGGATATCAGCAATTGTAATCAATAGTAACTTTTAACAACGAATTTGCTTATTTGTCTATAATGAAAGTAAAATTAAAATTGAAAAAGAGTTCTAGCATAAATTTCTCAGTCATTCACGAATTGTTCTTTGATTTTATCGTTGTCACACCCACTTGTTAATTTACCTGTTAAAATAATTGAGGGAATTTATTTATTATAATCACGCAACATATGCATATTTCATGCTGGCTACTTTACTTTAATCTTTAAGATACTATGATTTGAAATAGAAATGAATTGAGCAAGTGTATTTGAATTTAAATATTAGTGAAAAATTAATCATATCATAATCAATTTGTGAAACTGAAATGAATACATCAGTTCATATTTACAAATTTGCACTTAAATATTAGCTCCTATTGATCAATGAGTAAGATGAAAAAAATTACTTTAATATTACCTCACAACTCAATAAGTTAGAATTCGATCATTCGAGTATATGATAAATAAATTTACTATAATATAATGACAATATGTAAGAGTAAACTTGCATATGATATTTAATAAATACAAATATCATTGAAATAAAAATGAAAAAGAGAAAGTGGAAAGAAAAAGTTAGTTTGGGAAAAAAGAGAGAAAAATATGTGATAAGATGTATTCATAATTAATAATAAACATAATAACAAAAATATATCTTCTCGTGTAATTTTGAAATTTGAAAATTTTTTTTTTACTAAAAATAAACAGAAAATAATAAAAAAGCTGCTATTGCACGGAATAGAAGCTATTAAATTAAAATGTGATAATAACACACAGCTATTTCAAGTTTGTCGATTATTAGAAAAAAAAATGTTTAGTTATTGAAAATTTAAATAAGATTGAAATTTCTCTCATTTTCTGTCATCTATGTGAATAAGAGTTCAAATAAGACCTAAATTTGCAAACACTGTCAAAGTTAGTAAGCAACATTTTAGAAAAATTACAATCAGATTAAAAATGAAACTGTTTTTAAGTACTAAATTTGAATTCCGATTATAGATATCTTGCATTACTGATAACTGATGATAACAGAAAAGGATAGCTTTTAGTGATTCATCCATTTACCTACTGCAATTTCTATCCAGAAAAAGTTGTTCTAACTTTAGGCAAATGCTTCAAATCAGAAATTTAAACATTTCATTATCTATATTCTTCCTAATTTCCTAAGGTAAGAAAATTAGCCAATAAAAAAACTTTATAATGAGAAGTTGATGAAAAAAAATTATCAGTAATATTATTTCAAATATATTATTCCTAATAGGAAGTTAAAAGTTAGAAGTAGGAGTTAAAATTAACGGATCTTTTTTTGTCAACATTTTAGAGTTAGTCAATTAAAATATTAAAATTATTTAAATTAAAATTTAACAAAAAATTTTTCTTCGATCCGTTACTATCATTGCTGAGATCGCTAATAGCATGGATGAGAAGAAATTTTCAATGAGTAGTTTGTGTGTCAATCACATAGCAAATTTTTTTTTATTGAAATTCAGAGAAATATCATTTCAAAAAACTTTTTCTTTTTTTTTTTCTTCAATTTTTTGTCATATTGTGCAAAATATGAAAGATATAAATGAATGGAAAGTTTGCAAAAAAAAAAAAAGAGTATAAGTAATGCATAGATTATTGAAAGTAAGTAAGCTTTTTCAGTAAGTAAAAAAAAAAAAAGTGGAATTTAACATTAATTGAAAATGAAGTTGTAAAAATCTTTTATTATGTATGCTTTTTGACAAAGCAAAATAAAAAAAAGTCTCCAAAAATTTCATATTTATCATCTGAAGTTAGCAAATTTTCATTTGATAACTTCAGAATTTGCATGATGCAATGAAATGTAGGGAATTTAATTGCCTCATTTTGAACCACTCAAAATGTTTTCATAAATTATAAGCAAAATGGAAGTTTACTTTATATATTTAGTTTCTCGTGAATTTATGGAAGTGATGTGATAATAAAAAAGTATTTTCAATATTTTTCCATTGAAAAAATTTTATATGAACAGAAGGGATTTCCAAATTTTACAATTATCACATTTAATTCATTTTTTTTTTCAAACTAAGAAAAGTATTGCACTTCATTGAGTTTGCTAATTTTCTACATGCATTCAAAAAAAAATTACGAGCTTGAGCAGTAAGCTAAAATAATAGTAATTAATAATTAATGATAATAGAAATAACAATAATAATTAATGATAATAGAAATAACAATAATAATTAATGATAACAGAAATAATAATAATAATAATTAATGATAATAGGAATAACAATAATAATTCAATTTTTTAGAACTGTAAATTTTTTTGCTCCATTTTAACCAATTGAAATTGATGCAAAATGACTGTATAATCAGTATTTGCTATATAAAAGTTTATCGCATTATGTTAATTTCCGTTTTAAAACAATCATATATTTTTTTTGATAAATGTTAGAGTAAAAAATTAAATTTGAAATATAAAATTAATCTGCAACTTCTCATTTCCATTTCTTCAAATAAACAATTCGGTAGTACTAGCAGATGGAACAACAATAAAGACTATAAACACTTTCTCTGTTCTGTTCAAACATATACATACATTCCTGTATTTTGTGGTAAAATAGAAACGATAGTAGAGAGAAATGTCGCAGAGGATGGATGACAGCACGACAAAGTGTCGCCTTACTGATCGATGTAATGATGAAGAATAGCAAACCTGGTGAGAAACAAATAACTCAGTGAGGACAAACTACCGTATCCGGAAGTGCATAACTTTTTTTTTTTTTTTTTCTTTAATAAACAACTTTTGAAATTGCATGGATAAGACAATAAGAATTGAAGCAATGAGAAATTATCAATAAGAGAAGGAGGAGAGTGAAAGAAAGAGAGAAAGACTGATGAGAGTTATTTTATAGAAAGAATAATAGGAAATGAGTAAATAAATTTTCAATATTATGAATGTAAAGAAAAAATTTGCAGGTGAAAGGAATTAAAAAACAAAAAAAAAAAAAAAAAAAAGAAAGGAAATGAAGAAATGATAAGAGATATTTATTTTAATGTTGATAGTGAAGAGAGGAAAAGAAAAGTAAACAAAATAGAAGGGAATAAAATGATGAAAAAAAAAAAAAAATATATTGTTGGTTAAATTTCAAAAGAGAGCATTTTAGTTTAACAGTGAAAAAGAGAAGAGAGATGGGAAAATTTGGAACTCATTGCAAAATGGATATTGAATATGTGTATGTGTGTGTGTGATAGCAAGGAAAAGGCGCAAATGATAATGATGGTGGCGCATATTTCATTTTCAGTAAGGAAAGAGAGAGAGAAATGGAAGAAAGAAAGAAAGAAAAAGGAGAAGGACAGATAAATATATATGTTTTCTTGCACTTCCACTTTCATAATTAAATGTTTTGTTGTTTGCTAGAGAGATTATCAATATACTTCCAGTGATATCTTTGATGGATAGTGAAGGATTAAAATGGTTATCTATCCAATCAGGAATTCCTTGTTAAAGTATCAATTTTGAAATATTGTAAGAGATTAAAAGAGATCATTCCGGAAATGTATTGTAACTGTGAGATTAAAAGAGATCATTCCGGAAATGTATTGTAACTGTGAGATTAAAAGAGATCATTCCGGAAATGTATTGTAACTGTGAGATTAAAAGAGATCATTCCGGAAATGTATTATAATTTGATAATTGTTTTCATTGCGGACCTGTATGTATCTTTTCCGTATACAGTTTTTTCCCTTTCATGGCTTTGATCAAAATTAAAATTTTGTTCAGAAAAAAAAAATAAAATTTTAATTCAATTTATCGAAATTGAATCATATTTTTACTATTGCATACTTAAGTATAATGCAAAAAAAGACTGTTATATGTGAATTAGCTATGCATTTAATGTATGTTAGATATCATATATTTACATGTCCGCAAATGTATGTGAATGACTTACGTGTATACCACGTACGTAATTATTTGTGTATATGTATTTAGATATATGGAAGTGATAAATTAAAGTCTGTTCATTATATTGTTAATAACATATCACGTAAGATGTTTACGTGTTGATACGTAACGCAGACAGATAAAACATATTATGCATTTGTTGTCACGTAAGATGTTTACGTGTTGATACGTAACGCAGACAGATAAAACATATTATGCATTTGTTGTCACGTAAGATGTTTACGTGTTGATACGTAACGCAGACAGATAAAACATATTATGCATTTGTTGTTTGTCCAATAAAATGTGACAGCAATGCAAAAAAAAAAAAGATAAGAAAGAGTGAAAAAAGAGATGAGTGCTAATGAAATTGCTTCAGAGTGACGACGACGACGACGACGACGACAAATGACAACGATAAGAGAGATAGATAGACTAGTTTGTATTACACTTTATTGTGATAATAAAATAAGTACGGAAATTTTATGATATCAAATAATTTGATCTATTTGAACTAAAAATGAAAAAAGTTTCTAGAATTTTCAGATGACCTTTACTTGATTACAAGTTCATTTGATTGAAATAGATTACATTCATTTGTTTTTTTTTTTTCTATAAATTATTTTAATCGATATTCTATTACAAATTATATCAATCAGTCATGGTGACACAACGTTAATATTATTTGAAATGCAATATTTCTTCTTTTTAATTCAGTAAACAAAGATTACATACTGTAATTGAAGAAAAAAAAAAAAAAAAAGCGGAATGAAAAGCAGAAGGTATATTTATTAATATTAATTACAAAATGAAATCTCATATTAATAAAATAATTTTGTTGCTAAAAAAAAAAAAAAAAAAATAAGCATTGGTCATTATTAGCTTTGTAGCCAATGAAATGACCATTAAATA